CTGTCCGAAACCTTTTATGTTGGTCAAAATATTTTTAATTTTTGATCAGACTGCCTCCTTACTTGGAAGAACAACTCTTTCGATTGTCGTTGACATTGCAATTGTTGTTGCCTTTGGCAATATGGTTGCCGTCTGAAAATATTTATGTTGTTCATATTTTTTGATTTACTAATATACATGTATTGCCTTCAGGCTTAGACAGAACAACCCTTTGGCAAGACCGTTAATATGAGTATGATAAACTTGACCTTTACTGATAAATGAATTTGGCCTTCAAGGTCAGATTTATTTTAAATTTGTTGTTGAATTTTGCTTTAACATGAATAACTTTGTCATTTATAAATTGGTTGTCTTCATATTTTGTCTTTAAGACCTTAAGAAAAAGCTCAGAAAGGTTATTTTGGTGATTTCTATTTCAAATTTGAATAGGGTTACCTTGGGAAAAAACTAAGTCACATAGCCCAAATATGGAAAAACCTTGGCTACTGTTTCAGTCTAAATATCCTGGAGATTGGTCAGTAAGAGTGCTTTTGTGATTTCTAGCTCATGTTCACCTAGGTCACCTGGGGTGAAAAACTAGTTCTCACAGTTAAAACATGGAAAAACCTTCTTTAGACATAGATGCTACTGTTTCGGTCAAATTATCCAGGAAATTGATCAGAAAGGTTGGTTTTAATGATTTCTAGCTCAAGTCCGAATATGTGTGACCTTGGGTCAAAAACAAGGTCACACAGCCCAAATGTTGAAAATTCTTTTTAACTCTTTAGGGGCTACTTTATCAGTCCAAATATCCCGGAAAAATTACGAAAAGGTTTTTTTGATGATATGTAGCTCAAGTTTGAATATGGGGTTTTTTGGGCTAAAAACTAGGTCACATAGCCCAAAAATGGGGAAAAAACTTGTTTACACTCTAGGGGCTGTGTCAGTCCATAGATACTGGGTCCTAGTGCTTTCTAGCTCAAATTCATATATGGGTCACCTGGTCACACAGCCCTTATATGGATAAACCTTATTAACAGTATGGACTACTGTTTTAGTCCAAATATCCTGGAAATTGGTGAGAAAGTTTGTTTAGACAATTTCCAGCTTATGTTCTAATATGGGTCCTCTGGGTAAAAAAACTAGGTAACTCAGCTCAAAATATCAAGCAAAAGTAACATTGGTCATCTGGGGTCAAATAAAATCTCAAAGACCAAATATGGGAAAAAACCTTGTTTTCGCTTTAGAGGCTACATTTTTAGCCAGCCAAAATATCCTAGAATTTTCAAAAAAGATTGTCTGATTTCTAGTTCAAGTTTTAATATGGTTCATGTGGTGTTTAACATTTGTCACACAGCCTAAATATGGGAAAACCTAGTAAACAATATAGGTGTAAAATTGTCACCAAATATCCTTAAACTTTGTAAGACAGGTTGTTTAAATGATATCTAGCTTTAGCTGTAATATAGGTCATCTGGTGTCAAAAGCTAGGTGACAGTACATACAACAAGAGCTGTCACAGGAGACAGCGAAGCTCGACTAATAAAATACTGGACACAGTAAGGAGGACAAAACTATGAAAGAAAAATCAATTATGTATAATTATGTATTAAGTTATAGTAAAAAAATAACATTTGTTAACATAAATTCCAAGATCAAGGGGAATCATTCTAGAAATAGTCATGCTAGAGTTATGGATCTTGCCACACAACATTTGTGTAATGATAAGAAATATATATTTGAAGTTTGAAGTAGATACCTTAAAAAGTAAAGAAGTTATTATATTTCTTAAAGAAAATCCTAAGTTCAAAGAGAGAAAAATCTGTAAATATTGCTTCAAGAGTTATGAACATAATGTCACATAAAATGTAATTGATGATAAGGAATAAGTATTTGAAGTTTGAGGTAGATACCTTTAAAAGTAAAAAAGTTAAAATAAAAAATAACATTTTTCTAGTTAATAAATCTAAGTTTATGGGGAGATAATTCTTGCAATATTGGTGCTACAGTTATGAACCTTGTCACATAAGATGTGGATGATGATAACGTAAATATATTTGAAGTATGAAGTTGATCCCTTTAGAAATAAATAAGTTACAGTAAAAAATAATATTTTTTATGGAAAATTCTAAGTTCAAGGGGAGATAAATTTGAAAATATTGGTGCTAGAGTTATGAACCTTGTCACATAAGATGGGGATGATGATAACGTAAATACATTTGAAGTATGAGGTTGATCCCTTAAGAAATAAAGAAGAAACAGTAAGAAATATTATTTTTTGAGGAAAATTCTAAGTTCAAGGGGAGATAAATCTGAAAATATTGGTGCTAGAGTTATGAACCTTGTCACATAAGATGGTGATGATGATAAGGTACATATATTTGAAGTATGAGGTTGATCCCTTAAGAAATAAAGAAGTATCAGTAAAAAATAGTATTTTTTAAGGAAAATTCTAAGTTCAAGGGGAGATAAATCTGAAAATATTGGTGCTAGAGTTATGAACCTTGTCACATAAAATGTGGTTGCTGATAAGAAACATATATTTGAAGTTTGAAGTTGATACCTTAAGAAATGACAAAGTTATAGTGAAAAATATTTTACTGCACCAAAACTTTAATCTAAAATCTGGACGCGGACGCCGACGCCGGGGCGAGTAGGACAGCTCTCCATATACTTCGTATAGTCGAGCTAAAAAGCACTGATATGGAAAAACACTTGCACTATTTCAGGTGCAAATATGAAAGTTATGATGTCAGTTTAAGTTCATGAAGTTTATGAAAATATATCTGCTTTTCATTCATTGCTAACAATATTAATTTAGAGTCTTAATAAACAGCTGAGCGATATATGGACCATCATGACTTTTTAGCTCACCTGTCACAAAGTGACAGGGTGAGCTTTTGTGATCGCTTTTCGTCCGGCGTCCGTAAACTTTTACTTTAAATGACATCTCCTCATAAACGACTTGGCCAATTTCATCCAAACTTCACAGGAATGTTCCTTTGGTGGTCACATTTAAAAATTGTTCAAAGAATTTAATTCCATGCAGAACTCTGGTTGCCATGACAACCGAAAGAAAAAACTTTAAATATCTTCTTTTAAAAAAACCCTAAGAGCTAGAGCTTAGATATTTGGCATGAAACATCTTCTAGTGAGTGTCTACCAAGTTTGTTCAAATAAAAGCCATGGGGTCAAAATTGGCCCCGCCCCAGGGGGTCATTGATTTTAGATAGAGTTTAGATATTAAGCATGAAACATCTTCTAGTGAGTGTCTACAAAGTGTGTTCAAATAAAAGCCATGGGGTCAAAATTGGCCCCGCCCCAGGGGGTCATTGATTTTCCCTATATGCATATAGTAAAAACTTCAAAAATCTTCTTTAAAAGAACCCAAAGAGTTAGAGCTAAGATATTTATCATGAAACATGTTCTAATGAGTGTGTACCAAGTTTGTTCAAATAAAAGCCCTGGCGTCAAAATTGGCTCCGCCCCAGTGGGTCATTGATTTTCCCTATATGCATATAGTAAAAACTTAAAAAATCTTCTTTTAAAGAACTCAAAGAGCTAGAGCTAAGATATTTAGCATCAAACATGTTCTAATAGGTGTTTGTTCAAATAAAAGCCCTGGGTCAAAATTGGCCCCGCCCTGGGGGTCATTGATTTTCTTTATATGTGTATAGCAAAAACTTAAAAGATCTTCTTTGAAATAACCCAAACAGCTAGAGTTTAGATATTAAGCATGAAACATCTTCTAGTGAGTGTCTACAAAGTGTGTTCAAATAAAAGCCCTGGGGTCAAAACTGGCCCCGCCCCAGGGATGTCATTGATTTTAACTATATGTGTATAGTAAAAACTTTAAAAAATCTTCTTTTAAAAAGCCCAATGAGCTAGAGCATAGATGATTAGCATGAAACATCTTCTTATGGGTGTCTACCAAGTTTGTTCAAATAAAAGCCCTGGGGTCAAAATTGGCTCCGCCCCAGTGGGTCATTGATTTTCCCTATATGCATATTGTAAAAACTTAAAAAATCTTCTTTTAAAGATTTCAAAGAGCTAGAGCTAAGATATTTAGCATCTATGTGTCTGCCAAGTTTGTTCAAATAAAAGCCCTGGGGTCAAAATTGGCCCCGCCCCTGGGGTCATTGATTTTCCTTATATGTGTATATGTGCAAAAACTTAAAAAATCTTCTTTGAAAAAACCCAAATAGCTAGAGTTTAGATATTAAGCATGAAACATCTTCTAGTGAGTGTCTAGTAAGTTTGTTCAAATAAAAGCCCTGGGGTCAAAATTGGCCCGCCCCGGGGGTCATTGATTTTCCCTATATGTGTATAGCAAAAACTTAAAATCTTCTTTGAAAAAACCCAAATAGCTAGAGTTTAGATATTAAGCATGAAACATCTTCTAGTAAGTGTCTACAAAGTTTGTTCAAATAAAAGCCCTGGGGTCAAAACTGGCCCCGCCCCAGGGGTGTCATTGTTTTTAACTATATGTGTATAGTACAAACTTAAAAAAGTCTTCTTTTAAAAAGCTAAGTGAGCTAGAGCTTAGATGTTTAGCATGAAACATCTTCTTATGGGTGTGTGGGGGGGGCTATATACGGGTGAGCGACCTCAGGGCCATCATGGCCCTCTTGTTTACAATTTCCCAGTTGTTGCTGCATAAAAGCCATTATTCTTGAGTTTCCTTTATCCATTTACACATACCATTACATAATTGGTTTCTCTGTGACTTACATAATGCTCATTTATTTTGACTACCTATTAAAGGTAAGGGAGGGGTATTTGTGTCATTTTTAGCTCGCCAGAGCTGAAGGCTCAGGGTGAGCTATTAGTATCAAAGGGGGATGCTCCAGGTCCTTCGTCCGTCATAATGCGTCAACAATCGTCTTCTTCTCTGAAACTACTGGGAAGATTTACTTCAAATTTGGTCTGTACCAGCCTTGTGACAGTCACACTTGAATATGCTCATGTCATTCCAATTGGCCCCTTTTCAAATTACATTGTATTCTACCATTCAGAGGCCCCGAAGATTGATCATACAACTTTGCCTACCAACAATGAAGTTCCTTGTGAAGGTTGGTGAACGATTTGATACTGGACATTGGTATATCAGGATCACCTACACCAACTGTGACATGGTTGAAAGACGATAACCCTATTGTAGGAGTAAGTAAAAATCATGTAAATTCATTTGAAATGGAAGAGGTGCCTCTGTTTTACATAAAGTAATCAACTTTACTCTCTATAGTTCTGGCATCTGTGTGTGTATCAGGGTCTGTTTAAACAGTATAGATCTTATTGAATCAATTTGGTCATTCTCAAAGAGTTGTATGTTTAGGTTACAAACAAAATTTGAGAATTCAGAAAATTTCATTTTATTCTCAACTATGTTATATTACAACATAGTTTGACAAATGCTGAAAATGTCAATTTTGTTTTAAGATCCTAAGAACTTGCAATTGAAACAGATCCAAAGTCCAATAAAGTACAAGTTTAATACACAAAAAAGATAGAGAAAAGTAAGACAGGCTTGAATCTTATATAGCATAAAGTAAAGTTTTAACCCCAATTTATATTAAAAAATTGTAATATTGCCTTTTAACTAAACAGTATATAACATTGATAATGATTTTGGATATTGTTGATTTTCAGGCGACAGAATCCAATAATGATGGTGTGGCCAAATTGGAAATTCAAAGTGCCAAACGTAGTGACGCAGGAAAATACCAAATTAAAGTGGATAATGAGATTGATTCAGTCACAGCTGACATTTCTGTAATTGTTTGTGGTAGGTTATAAGTAATTCATGAATTGAGAATAGATCAACGGCACCATTATAGAACAGGTGCATGTAGTTAGGCCAAACTGATTACTTGCTGATGCTAAATGTTATTGTTTTCATGCAAGCAACAATCACTTTATGTCCCTAATTTAACAATGGAGTTATTCATGAATTTAGAATAGATGAACGTCATTAGTGGAGAGCATGTGCATGTAGTAAGGCCAAACAGATTACTGTCTGATGCTAAATGTTATTATTTTCATGCAACAATCACTTAATGTCCCTAATTGAAAAATGGAGTCAAAATTTCTAATCAGAACAAGGTCCTTCATAATATCAGCATGAAAAAAACTTTTTTGGTATTTAGGTAAAATAATAATTTAATGCTTCTCTATATTATGTTTTCAGTTAGTATTTTCAAGTTATAACCTTTCTTAGCACAAAATTCTCAATGGTTGGCTTTTATCTTTCATCAAAATGTCTGTTGTTTGTTTTTGAGAAACATAACTTTATCTTCATTTCTGAAAATTTACATCAAGAGCATAGCAATTCCACACGTTACATACCTTTTGGTGCTCAACAGATGTAAAAAAAAAACATTTAACTTGAGGTATAGTGCTTGAGTATGTTCTAATACAGGAACATGTTAAGCATCCTTATATAGTACTTAATAGAGCATACAACATTTAGTTAAAGTATCCTATCATTGTTGCAAATTGTAGCAAGGTGAGTGATTTCAGGGTCACAATGGCTACCTAAGTTATTAAGATTGGACTTTTTACATTAAAGTAGTTATTTCAATTGTTATTCAAAGTATATAAAATTTATTCTTTATTATTATTTACAATCAAATTACATTGTATTCTACCATTCAGAGGCCCCGAAGATTGATCATACAACTTTGCCTACCAACAATGAAGTCCGTGTGAAGGTTGGTGAACGATTGATACTGGACATTGGTATATCAGGATCACCTACACCAACTGTGACATGGTTGAAAGACGATAACCCTATTGTAGGAGTAAGTAAAAATCATGTAAATTCATTTGAAATGGAAGAAGTGTCTCTGTTTTACATCAAGTAATCAACTTTTACTCTCTATAGTTCTGGCATATGTGTATCAGGGTCTGTTTAAACAGTATAGAGCTTATTGAATCAATTTGGTCATTCTCAAGAGTTGTATGTTTAGGTTACAAACAAAATTTGAGAATTCAGAAAATTTCATTTTATTCTCAACTATGTTATACTTACAACATAGTTTGACAAATGCTGAAAATGTCAATTTTGTTTTAAGATCCTAAGAACTTGCAATTGAACAGATCCAAAGTCCAATAAAGTACAAGTTTAATACACAAAAAAGAAAGAGAAAAGCAAGACAGGCTTGAATCTTATATAGCATAAAGTAAAGTTTTAACCCCAATTTATATTAAAAAATTGTAATATTGCCTTTTAACTAAACAGTATATAACATTGATAATGATTTTGGATATTGTGATTTCAGGCGACAGAATCCAATAATGATGGTGTGGCCAAATTGGAAATTCAAAGTGCTAAACGTAGTGACGCAGGAAAATACCAAATTAAAGGGGATAATGAGATTGATTCAGTCACAGCTGACATTTCTGTAATTGTTTGTGGTAGGTTATAAGTAATTCATGAATTGAGAATAGATCAACGGCACCATTATAGAGCAGGTGCATGTAGTTAGGCCAAACTGATTACTTGCTGACGCTAAATGTTATTGTTTTCATGCAAGCAACAATCACTTTATGTCCCTAATTTAACAATGGAGTTATTCATGAATTTAGAATAGATGAACGTCATTAGTGGAGAGCATGTGCATGTAGTAAGGCCAAACAGATTACTGGCTGATGCTAAATGTTATTATTTTCATGCAACAATCACTTTATGTCCCTAATTTAAAAATGGAGTCAAAATTTCTAATCAGAACAAGGTCCTTTCATAATATCAGCATGAAAAAAGCTTTTTTGGTATTTAGGTAAAATAATAATTTAATGCTTCTCTATATTATGTTTTCAGTTAGTATTTTCAAGTTATAACCTTTCTTAGCACAAAATTCTCAATGGTGGGCTTTTATCTTTCATCAAAATGTCTGTTGTTTGTTTTTGAGAAACATAACTTTATCTTCATTTCTGAAAATTTACATCAAGAGCATAGCAATTCCACACGTTACATACCTTTTGGTGCTCAACAGATGTAAAAAACACATTCAGCTTGAGGTATAGTGCTTGAGTATGTTCTAATACAGGAACATGTTAAGCATCCTTATATAGTACTTAATAGAGCATACAACATTTAGTTAAAGTATCCTATCATTGTTGCAAATTGTAGCAAGGTGAGTGATTTCAGGGTCACAATGGCTACCTAAGTTATTAAGATTGGACTTTTTACATTAAAGTAGTTATTTCAATTGTTATTCAAAGTATATAAAATTTATTCTTTATTATTATTTACAATTAAATTACATTGTATTCTACCATTCAGAGGCCCCGAAGATTGATCATACAACATTGCCTACCAACAATGAAGTCCGTGTGATGGTTGATGACCTATTGAAACTGGTCATTGGTATATCAGGATCACCTACACCAACTGTGACGTGGTTGAAAGATGGTAACCCTATTGTAGGAGTAAGTAAAAATCATTTAAATTCATTTGAAATGGAAGAGTGTCTCTGTTTTACATCAAGTAATCAACTTTTACTCTCTATAGTTCTGGCATATGTGTATCAGGGTCTGTTTAAACAGTATAGAGCTTATTGAATCAATTTGGTCATTCTCAAGAGTTGTATGTTTAGGTTACAAACAAAATTTGAGAATTCAGAAAATTTCATTTTATTCTCAACTATGTTATACTTACAACATAGTTTGACAAATGCTGAAAATGTCAATTTTGTTTTAAGATCCTAAGAACTTGCAATTGAACAGATCCAAAGTCCAATAAAGTACAAGTTTAATACACAAAAAAGATAGAGAAAAGTAACACAGGCTTGAATCTTATATAGCATAAAGTAAAGTTTTAACCCCAATTTATATTAAAAAATTGTAATATTGCCTTTTAACTAAACAGTATATAACATTGATAATGATTTTGGATATTGTGATTTCAGGCGACAGAATCCAATAATGATGGTGTGGCCAAATTGGAAATTCAAAGTGCCAAACGTAGTGACGCAGGAAAATACCAAATTAAAGTGGATAATGAGATTGATTCAGTCACAGCTGACATTTCTGTAATTGTTTGTGGTAGGTTAAAAGTAATTCATGAATTGAGAATAGATCAACGGCACCATTATAGAGCAGGTGCATGTAGTTAGGCCAAACTGATTACTTGCTGACGCTAAATGTTATTGTTTTCATGCAAGCAACAATCACTTTAAGTCCCTAATTTAACAATGGAGTTATTTCATGAATTTAGAATAGCTTATGAACGTCATTAGTGGAGAGCATGTGCATTTAGTAAAGGCCAAACAAGATTACTGGCTGGATGCTAAATTGGTATTCATTTTCATGCAACAATTCCTTTAATGTCCCTAATTAAAATGGTAGTCAAAATTTTCTAATCAGAAACAAGGTCCTTTTCATAAAGCAGCATGAAAAAAGCTGTTTGTATTAGGTAAATAATAATGTTAATGCTTCTTATATTATGTTTTCAGTTTAGTATTTTCCAAGTTATAACCATTTTCTTAGCATCAAAATTCTCAATGGTGGGCTTTTTATCTTTCCATTCAAAATTGTTCTGTTGTTTGTTTTTGAGGTAAACATAAACTTTATCTTCATTCTTAAAATTTACTATCAAGAGCATAGGCAATTCCACACGTTTACATCCTTTTGGTGCTCAACAGATGTAAAAAAAAAAAAATTCCCAAATTGAGGATAGTGCCTTTTAGTATGTTCTAATACCCCGGGAAAATGTTAAGCATCCTTAAATTTTTTAGTTTCTTAAAGACCCTTTTAAAAAAAAATTTTGGGTTTTTTTATCTATTTATTGTTCCCCCTTGTAGCAAAGGGGGGGGTTTTATTTTAAAAGGGTCACAAATGGCCACCTTTAAATTATTTAAAAATTGGACTTTTTTCATTAAAAATGTTATTTTAATTGTTAATTTAAAATATATAAAATTTAAAATTTTTTATTAAATTTTTTACAATTTTAAAAAATTTCAAATTGGGTTCTTTTTTCCCTTCAGAGGCCCGGGAAAAATTGTCATAAAAAAAACATTTCCCTCCAACAATTAAGTCCGTGTGATGGGGTGACCTTTTTGAAACTGGTCCCCCTTGGGTATAAACCAAAGGATCACCTACACCCAACTTTTTTTGACAATTTTTGAAAAAAATTTGGGAAAACCCCATTTAGGGAGTAAGTTTTAAAAATTTATGTAAATTCATTTTTAAATGGGGAAGGGGGTGTCTCTGTTTTTCATCAAGGGAATCAACTTTTACTCCTTTTTATAGTCTCTGGGCATATGTGCTTTAGGGTCTTGGGTTTTAAAAAGTATTTGAGCTTATTTAATCCCAATTTTTTCATTCTTTAAGAGGGTTTTTATGTTAGGTTACAAAAAATTAAAAGGGTTTTAGGGAAAAATTTTATTTTAATTTTTTCAAAATATGTTATTTCGGGACAAAAAAGTTTTTACAAATGCTTGGGAAAATGTCAATTTTTTTTAAGATCCTAAGAACTTGCCCAAATTGAAAGATCCCCCAAGTCGCTATAAAGTACAAGTTTTTAATACACAAAAAAAGATAGAGAAAAGTAAGACAGGATTGAATCTTATTATAGCCATAAAGTAAAGTTTTAAAACCCCAATTTATATTAAAAAATTGTAATATTGCCTTTTTAACTAAACAGTATATAACATTGATAATGATTTTGGATATTGTGATTTCAGCGACAGAATCCAATAATGATGGTGTGGCCAAATTGGAAATTCAAAGTGCCAAACGTAGTGACGCAGGAAAATACCAAATTAATGTGGATAATGAGATTGATTTCAGTCACAGCTGACATTTCTGTTAATTGTTTGTGGTAGGTTTAAAAGTAATTCATGAATTGAGAATAGATAAACGGCACCATTATAGAGTAGGTGCTGTAGTTAGGCCAAACTGATTACTGGCTGATGGCTAATGTTATTGTTTTCATTGCAAGCAACAATCACTTTATGTCCCTAATTTAACAATGGAGTTATTCATGAATTTAGAATAGATGAACGTCATTAGTGGAGAGCATGTGCATGTAGTAAGGCCAAACAGATTACTGGCTGATGCTAAATGTTATTATTTTCATGCAACAATCACTTTATGTCCCTAATTTAAAAATGGAGTCAAAATTTCTAATCAGAACAAGGTCCTTTCATAATATCAGCATGAATAAAGCTTTTTTGGTATTTAGGTAAAATAATAAATTTAATGCTCCTCTATATTATGTTTTCAGTTAGTATTTTTCAAGTTATAACCTTTCTTAGCACAAAATTCTCAATGGTGGGCTTTTATCTTTCATCAAAATGTCTGTTGTTTGTTTTTGAGAAACCCATAACTTTATCTTCATTTCTGAAAATTTACATCAAGAGCATAGGCAAATTCCACACGTTTACATACCTTTTGGTGCTCAACAGCGATGTAAAAAAAACACATTCAGCTTGAGGTATAGTGCTTGAGTATGTTCTAATACAGGAACATGTTAACGCATCCTTATATTTAGACTTAATAGAAGCATACAACATTTAGTTAAAGTATCCTATCATTGTTGCGAAATTGTAGCAAGTGAGTGATTTCAAGGGTCACAATGGCTACCTAAGTTATTAAGATTGGACTTTTTTTACATTAAATAGTTATTTCAATTGTTATTTCAAAGTATATAAAAGTTTAATTCTTTATTATTATTTACAATTAAATTACATTGTATTCTAAGCCATTCGGCCCGAAGATTGAATCATACAAAACATTGCCCCTACCAACAATTGAAGTCCGTGTGATGGTTGATGAACCTATGAAACTGGTCATTGGTATATCAGGATCACCTACACCAACTGTGACGTGGTTGAAAGATGGTAACCCTATTGTAGGAGTAAGTAAAAATCATTTAAATTCATTTGAAATGGAAGAGTTGTTTTGCTTCAAGTAATCAACTTGTACTCTCTATAGTTCTGGTTTCTGTGTATACAGATCTGTTCAAAGCTTATAGAATCAATTTGGTCATTCTCAGGTGTTGTATGATTAAGTTACAAATAAAATTTGAGAATTCATTAAATTTCTTTTATTCTGAACTACGTTATACTTACAATGTAGTTTGACAAATGCTCTAAATGTCAATTTTGTTTATTGATCCTCAGAATTTGCAATTGAAGGGATTCAAAGCAAATATTATTAGACCTTTCTATCTTAAACGGACTTCGTAAACGTAATAATTTAGGGGTTTTCTCAAAACATAAATGCGCGGAAATAAGATAGAATGAGCAGTACGCTAAAGCTTTGATGCAGCGATTTTAACATATCAACATATAAAAGATGGAGACAATTTTACAATAATTTATATAAAGACAAAACAAACAAGTTTCTGAATTCATAGACTTTATTGTAGTGCTAATTTTTCAACCAAAGACCAAGTCTTGAGTGTCGTAAAAGGAGGGCTATAGGTAAATGTCATCACTGCTATCACTACTGGCGCAAAGTTCGGGAGGGAGGGGGTATACTGTAGAAAGCCTGCTTGTCTCATATTTGATTTACGAGGGAGCGCCTATTCCCCCTGCGATGAACCGGCCGATTACGTTGACCTGCCACAACATTCGAAACAGCCGACACTGGGTGCTGAACTTGGTCTTGAATTGCCCTCTCTCTCTCTCTCATCGTTATTGTTGTAAACCAATATCTTTCTGACGTAGACCGTTTGCGGGCTGTGGAACTTTAATACCTCCCCCAACATCATCGTCGTATGTATGTTTGTATAAATATCTCTGTTACTAAAGTATATATAAACTGTAGTGACGCTTCAGTGTGAAATTACACGAAATTCTCAAGCGTTAGAATTATACAATAATAGTACATATGCAATACCGGCTAACATTAAAGCAGCACGCCTTCAGACTTGGATCTTGAATTTTTTTACCTTTCTTAAAAGTTTAGTGCATTTTTCTCAATATTGATTTTCTTGAAATATTTTGGCTCATCTGGAGGCGTGCAACTTTAAACCCTAGGTCCTCAAATGTTGCCGATTTTCTTACAATAATAATACCATTGAGTGTGAAAACCTGTCCATTGCTATTATACGTGTGTCGTTAAAATTTGTGTTATGTTAGACAGCAATTGTGCTACTTTTCTTTGCAACACTATACTATTTGCATTGTATTTAGATTTTCAGAATGAACACTAGTATCACTTTCCTGCTTTAGTTCAATCCCCGTAATATGATTCAGAATATATCATCCGTGCATTGTCATGTTTATTTGCCGTATAATGTCCACACTAGACTCTGTACTAGAAATTCGCATGTACAATATCTATAATCTAACTTGTAAAGCATCAGAAAAATCTATAGATTTATTACATATCATAAACTTAGAAATTACAGTCGCCACAAACTGTCTTCAGTAATATAATTTTATTGTTTGTAATATGGATATGTTGTTACCCAACCGTTAATTGTAACACTTGTCACCATAGTCAATGTGTGCACTGCGTATGTACATGTTGAAATTCGCACATTTATACATGCATTCTACACATCATATGTGAATTATATTACTTGGCCAACCATAGATCAATTGTTTAGTAAACGTGGTGACTGGGACGCAGTTGGTGCAATAGATGGAACATCACACGAATTATTATGACCAATGGATAAGCCACGTTTGTTTGTTTGTTTGTTTTTATTGGGTCTTCATATAAATTATGGTTACATTGTATCCATCTTTAAAGAGTTGATGGTTGATAGAAATACTATAACTAGCATATACATGTAAATCCGATGCATTACAGTTTTATTGATCTTTTTATCATTTATGTTTTGAGAAAATCCCCAATTTATTCCGTATTACGAAGTCCGTTTAAGATTGAAAGGTCTACTGTTAGGTCACATTGAATTATTTCCTACTGAAATAATTGATAAATGATCACCAAACTTCTTAGCATTCTCAGGTACTCTTTTATCAAGTTTGCTCATACTGATTTGATCGGCCCTGTTTAAGCTAAAGCTTAAATGCCCAAGGTCATGGCATTTCTTCAAATTATTGTTTAAACATATTGTATGCTCAATTTTAATATAAGAAAATATTGACAATGGATAATTTCCAACACTGAAAAGCAGTTGTTTCTGGTGAGCGTCTCAGGGCCATCATGCTCTTCTTGCGTAAGTTTAGTACACAAAAAGAGAAAATAAAAATAGGCAGACTTGTATCTTACATTACGAACACTATTTAATATTGAGGGTTGTCCAAAAAATTTGTGCACTGCAGTTAAAGTCGTGAGAGTTACTGATAAAAAAACAATTAATTATATATCATTTGAAGGGGAAATCTGTCTCAAATAAGAAAACAAAAGAAACAAATGTGTAACCGGCGTGTAGTGAAAACGAATTGTCATACAGTTACCTTACTAATGTAATACCGGCCCCAGACAAAAAATTAGGTTAGTTATTTCCTCTGATGCATCACAGTATCCTTTGAACGCTACATATAAATGTTAAAATTCAGGGAAAAGTGTTTGTAGGTATAGCCGACGTCACTAGCAAATATGATTTCATTTGCCTTATTGTAACTGTCGTAAACAAACATTTCTGTGTGGTCCATAATACTGTCATTACGTGAAAATGTCAGTTGCTAAACATCTGGAATTATGGACAATCATTAACTTTTGTGCAAGTATTGGTAAAACACCAACAGATACCTACAAAGAACTTATAAGGGCAAAAGGGGCCAATTCAGTGTCACGAAGGCTGGTTTTCAAATGGCAGAAACACTTTGTAGAGGGGCGAGAGTCGGTAAACGATGACAATCGAACAGGTAGACATCCGTTCGTCCATAAAGTGGGCTCTTGTGACGTCAATTAAGGTTGCTTTTGCCAGGGACAGCCGTTACACCGTAAGAAAGTTATCAGACATAACCAGAGTCAGCAAATCATTTGTTCACAACATATTGCACGAAAAACGAATATGTCAAAGGTAAGTTTTCTAGGTTAACAGTTTTTATACATAAGTAATGTATCTTAAGAATAAAAAATGCAAAATCATTTTATTAATTGAACTCGTAAGATTAAGAGTTCATAAATTGGTAGTAGTGGCTCGTTATAATGCCACTGCAGCATCTGCGATGCGGTGGCATATAGCGATACACCTGTGTGTGTGTGTGTGTGTGTGTGTGCGTGTGCGTGTGCGTGTTCTATAGATTATATAGTGAACTTAAAAAATCTCCTTGTGAAAAACCACTAGTCCAATTTCAACCAAACTTGGCAGGATAGATCCTTGGGTGAAAGACTTCCAAAATTGTCCAAAGAATTTCATTCAATGCAGAAATCTGGTTGCCATGGCAACCAAAAGGAATTATAAGAATAGATTTAAAAAATCTTCTTGTAAAGACCCAAAAGGCCTAGAGCTTAGATATTTTGCATAAGGCATTGTCTTGTAGACCTCTACAAGATTGTTTAAATTATAGCCCTGGGTTCAAAATTGGTCCGTTCCAATTTTGCCTCTGGTGTCAAAATCAGCCCCACCCCGGGTATCATAGGTTTTCCTTATATGAATATAGTAAAAAACTTAAAAAATCATCTCCTCTACATTCACAAAGGCTGGAGTTTAGATATTTTGCATGAAACATTGTGTAGTGAATCTCTAGCAAAATTGTACAAATTAAAGCCCTGGGGTCAAAATTGGCCCATCCGGGGGGGTCTGAAGGTACAAGGCTTAGAGCTTTGATATGTGGTATATGATATCATCTATAGTTTATCTACCAAAGTTGTTCAAATTTTGCCTGTAGTGTCAAAACAAGTCCCGCCCCGGGGGTCATAGGTTTTCCTTACATGTATATTATAGTAAAAACTTTTTACAAAATCATCTTCTCTAGAGGTTAGACATTTTGCATTTAACACTGTGTAGTGAACCTCTAACAAGATTATTCAAATTAAAGCCCTGGGGTCAAAATTGGCCACGCCCCTGGGGATAATTGATTTTCAGTCACTATGTCATAAAGTGAAAACTTAAAAATCTTATTGTCTGAAGGTAACTAATCTGATAATAACAAATAGGTAAGTGATCTATGCATTATGGCAATCTATATAGAAACAAAAAAATTGTGTCCCTAAATTACTATTTAGTGTTGTATTTATGCTGTTGCATGGCTTTTTAAGCTCGACTTTTTTTTTTTGAAAAAAAAATTAGAGGTATTGTTATAGTCGCGGCGGCGTTGCTGTTGCCGGTGCCGTTCGCAAACTTGTACCTGGATCATTACTTTTTTAGTTCTTGGTGTATTGTCTTCATACTTGGCCACAAAAACCCTTGGGACAAGACCTTGCAGTAGACCACCACACTAACCTTGACCTTCATCCATAAATTACCTTGACCTTCAAGGTTAAAAGTCAGTGGCTCTTGTTTACAAATGCAATCTTGTTTTTGTTATCATTTTTTTAAAATCAATAAATCTATAAAATTGCGGCTTAACTTTATATAAAGAAGTGTTCATAATTTAGTTTGCTAAACAACTGATACTCTTTCCTATGATTATATTTATTTAATAATATATTATTTAGGTCCATTCGCGGTGTATACCACATGTGTTGAAATTTTATGAGCAGGAGCAAAGAGTTCAAGAGTCCACCAAGTTTGTACATATGTTTGGACGGCTGGGTTTTCCTCAGCTCTATCAACACAAAAGTACCTTTACAATCCCGAAACTAAGTGCCTGTCAGCGATGTGGTAAAAACTGGGCACGCCTCCGTGGGTAAAGGTTCACGTTTTCATATCAGCTGGGAAGCAGATGTACATGTTTGCTGACAAGACATACCTCCACATACAATGGTGAATGCAGAATATAATTTAAAGGTATATAGTATATTATCTGAGAAATATTATATAATATGATAAAGACTTATTGTATTACTTAATGATAAGACAGTGTGATTCTTTTAAATAGGGAAATCATATATTTAATTTTTATTACATGTATACACTTCGCACAATTGAAAATAATAAGAAATTTAAAAAATATTTTAACAAAATGTTTTTTAAATTTTAATCTAAGGCTTAAGTATTTGTGTAATTCCAGGTGCTACGCCTGATTTGTTAAATGCAGCCGAGGGGTCCGGGTTTTAGTGTTGATTTTATGCACCAGGGAAATGGTCTCCATATACAAAGCTTCAATTTTTTGGGAAGATCATGGATTCAAGCGGTAGCATCCTACCACCGCCCTTTTTTTGGGTCTTTGTAATGTAATTGGGAATACTTAAAAAAGTTGTGAAAAGGTGTATGACAATGAAAAATTATGACAGTGACGCGGACGTCATGTGTTGACCTTGCGCCGTTGCAGCTGTGATTGTATTTATTTTATGTTGTTTGTAAAGTGGCATTTACCTTTTATGTCATAATTTGTTTTACTGTCAATAGAAGAATGATTGATGCAAAACATTTTGTAGTTTTTATTGTTCTAATGCAATATACATGTAACATATTCCACTAGTGCATGAATATATTGGACAACGCTCATAACAATGCCTTTAAATTAAACAGTAAATATAACATTGATAATAATTTTAGATATTGTAATTACAGGCAAAAATATCCAATAATGATGGTGTGGCACAATTGGAAATTCCAAGAGCCAAACGTAGTGACACAGGAAAATACCAGATTAAAGTTGAAAATCAGATTGATTTTGCCACAGCTGAAATTTATGTATTTGTTTATGGTAGGTTATAAGTAATTCTTGAGTTTAGAATAGATCAACGTAACCAGTATAGAGCATATGCATGTTGTTAGGCCGAACTGATAACTGGCTGATGCTAAATGCAGAAATCACTTTATGTCCCTAATTTAACAATGGAGTCAAAAATTCTAATCAGAACAAGGTCCTTTCATAATATCAGCATGAGATAGAGGAATTTTTGTTTAGTTCAGTGTAAGATCGGAATAAATTTCACCGAGTTAGCACCAAAAGGTATATATGAACTTTTGGTGTTCACAAGGTGAAATATATTTCGATTTTACACTAAATTAAACAAATTTTCTTTTTATTATATGCAAAAAAAAACGTTTTAAAAAGACCTAATACTGAATGAAAAGCGCGCCAAATAATAATACAACGTGACGTCATTTACGACGTCACGTCATTTAGTTGGTACCCAGTACTGTGCACGCTGGTATTTCACTGAAACAACGTAAGGGGCTTAAATTCAAAACAGTGAAATTATCAAAGTGGTAATTTCACTGTTTCAAACAGTGAAATTACCAGTTTTATAACACTGATATATTTCTATAAACCACTTAAAAGCATGTTATAAAAAGCTTTATTGGTTCAAATAAGTGAAATGTTATAACTATATGATGCTTATGTTTTCAGTTTGTAATTTCAAGTTATAACCCTTCTAAGCACAACGTGTTTAATCGTACATCAAAATGTCTGTTGTTTGTTGTCCACAAACATAACTTAATTTATTTCCGAAAATTAAATATCAAAAGCATATCTATTCCGCACATTAAATATTAAATACCATGTGGTGCTCAACAAAAGTAAAACACATTCAACTTGAGGCAAAGTGCTTGAGTGGAACATGTTAAGCATCCTTATATAGTACTTAATAGAGCATACAACATTAAGTAAAACTATCCTATCCTTGTTGCAAATTGTAGCAAGGTGAGTGATTTCAGGGTCAGAATGGCTCTCTAGGTTATTTAGATAGGACTTTTAACATCAAATTGGTTATTTCAATATGTAATTCAAAGTATATAAAATTTATTCTTTACTATTGTTGGCAATCATACCACAATGTATTCTACTATACAGAGGCCCCGAAGACTGATCCTACAAGATTGCCTGCCAGCAATGAATTCAATTTGATGGTACAGGTACCATTGAGGATAAACGTAGGGCAAACTACAGTGACTGGTGTGAATGAACATAACCCTATTGGAAGAGTATGTAAAATTCATTTCAATTCATTTGAAATGGAGGAGGTGTCTTTGTTTTGCATTAAGTAATCAATTTGTACTCTCTCTTGTTCTGTGTTCTGTGTAGCAGGGTCTGTTTAAACAGTATAGAACTTATCAAATCAATTTGGTCATACTCAAGTGTTATATGTTAAGGTTATAGATTTTTATGCTCCCTGATGGGTGAGCATATAGTCGCCGCTTTGTCCGTCCGGACGGACGTCCGTCCGCTATTCTTGTCCGGGACATAACTTTGAAACAACAAGAGGTATCAACGTGAAACTTTGTAGGTATATAGATCTCATTGAGTAGATGTGCAGTAGATTATTAGAGAACCATAATTCTGTCTTGCCTTAGAGAACCATAATTCTGTCTTGCCTAATTTTGGAAATATTTCCCTTTGTTCATTTTTACACTTTGAACTATGTCCTGGACATTTCTCTAAATCTATAAGGGATATCAACATGAAACTTTTGAGGTAGATAGATTTCATTGTGTTGAAGTGCATTGTTAAAGAACCATAACTCTGCCTTGCATTATTTTGGTGTTTTTGCCATTTGTTCATTTTTATACTTGAACTTTGTCCGGGACATTACTAAAAAACTATAAGAGATATCAACATGAGACTTTGTCGGTAGATAGATTTATTGTGTAGAAGTGCAATGCTAAAGAACCATAACTCTGTCTAGCCATATTTTGGAGTTATTGCCCTTTGTTCATTTTTAGCTCACCTCTCACAAAGTGACAGGGTGAGCTTTTGTGATCGCTTTTCGTCCGGCGTCCGTCCGTCCGTAAACTTTTACTTTAAATGACATCTCCTCATAAACCATTAAGCCAATTTCATCCAAAATTCACAGGAATGTTCCTTTGGTGGTCACCTTTAAAAATTGTCAAGGAATTTAATTCCATGGCAACCGAAAGAAAAAAACTTAAGATATCTCCTTTTAAAGAACCCAAAGAGCTAGAGCTTAGATATTTGGCATGAAACATCTTCTAGTGAGTGTCTACCAAGTTTGTTCAAATTAAAGCCCTAGGGTCAAAATTGGCCCAGCCCCAGGGGGTCATTGATTTTCCCAATATGCATATAGTAAAAACTTAAAATATCTTTATTTAAAGAACCCAAAAAGCTAGAGCGAAGACATTTAGCATGAAACATCTTCTAGTAAGTGTCTACCAAGTTTGTTCAAATAAAAGCCCTGGGGTCAAAATTGGCCTTCCCAGGGGGTCATTGATATTCCCTATATGCATATCGTGAAAACTTAAAAAATCTTGTTTTAAAGAACCAATAGAGCTAGAGCTAAGACATTTAGCATGAAACATCTTCTAGTGAGTGTCTACCAAGTTTGTTCAAATAAAAGCCCTGGGGTCAAAATTGGCCCCGCCCCAGGGGTCATTTATTTTACTATATGCATAGAGTAAAAACTTAAAAATCTTCTTTTAAAGAACTCAAAGAGCTAGATTTTAGATCTTAAGCATGAAAGATCTTCTAGTGAGTGTCTACAAAGTTTGTTCAAATAAAAGCCCTTGGGTCAAAATTGGCCCCCCAGGGGTCATTGATTTTTTCTTATATGTGTATAGCAAAAACTTAAAAATCCTCTTTGAAAAAACCCAAATAGCTACAGTTTAGATATAAAGCATGAAACGTTTTCTAGTAAGTGTCTACAAAGTTTGTTCAAATAAAAGCCCTGGGGTCAAAACTGGCCCGCCCCAGGGGTGTCATTGCTTTTTACTATATGTGTATAGTAAAAACTTAAAAAATCTTCTTTTAAAAACCCAATGAGCTAGAGCTTAGATGTTTAGCATGAAACATCTTCTTATGGGTGTCTACCAAGTTTGTTAAAATAAAAGCCCTTGGGTTAAAATTGGCCCTTCCGGGGGGGGGGAGGGCGTTTGAGAAGGTCATTGTTTTTCATAATGTGTGTGTAGTAAAAACTTAACATCATTAAACATCTTCTAATGGGTGTCTTCCAAGTTTGTTCAAATAAAAGCCCTGGGGTTTAAACTGGCCCCGCTCCGGCGGCCTATATACAGGTGAGCGATCTCAGGGCCATCATGGCCCTCTTGTTATACATGAACTCTGTTAGGGACATTATTCTAAAACTATAAGAGATATCAACATGGAACTTTGTAGGTAGATATCTCATTGCATAGAAGAGCAGTGCTAAATACCCTAAACACAGCCTTGCCTAATTTTTGAGTTGTTGCCCTTTTTCATTTTTACACTTTGAATGTTACCAAAGACATTAATCTGAAACTATAAGAGATATCAACACAAAATATGAAAAACAAGATCAACAAGGAAAGGCGGCGTTCAATGAACGCAACCCCCATATGACCCAAAACTTTATAGGTAGATAGATCTCATTGAATAGAAAGTTCAGTGTAAAGAACCTTAATTCTGTTTTACCTTATTTTGGAGTTTTTGCCCTTTGTTGATTTTTTCATACTTTTCTGTGTGCAAAACCTACCCGTTTCAAACGGTTCTTGTGTTTTGAGAATTTAGAAATTTTCTTTTCATTCTCAACTACGTTATACATACAATGTAGTTTGACAAATTCTCAAAATGTCATATTTGGTTTTAGATCCAAAGAATTTGCAATTAAACAAATCCAAAAAATAGAGAAAACAAAATGCCAAAAGAACTTCCAACACAGCACAATTGAAAATGTTACAAAGCCAATATAGTGTAACTTTAGTACATAAAGAGAGAAGTAAGGCAGACTTGAATTTTGTATAGCAAAAGATAAAATTTTCACACCAATTTATATTGAAAAATTGTAATATTGCTTTAAACGAAACAGTAAATATAACAATGATAATAATTTTGGATATTGTGATTACAGACAACAGTTTTCAATAATGATGATTTGGCTAAATTGGAAATTCCAAAAGCGGAACGTAGTGACACAGAAAAAAAACAAATTAAAGTGGGAAATGAGATTGATTCAGACACAGCTGGCATTTATGTTTTTCTTCGTGGTAGGTTATAAGTAATTCTTGAATTTAGAATAGATCAACGTAACCAGTAAAGAGCATGTGGAGTTAGGCCAAACCGATTTCTGGCTGATGCTAAATTTTATAATCAAACCCCTGACAAACGAATTTAAAGGGGGTATACTGGAGTCAGCAGCTGGTCTGTCAGTCCGTTGCAGATTTCATGTCCGGGACATAACACTAAAACTACAAGAGATATAAACTTCAAAATTTTTAGGTAGATAGTTCTCACTAAATAGTAGCACTGTGCTAAAGAAGCGCAACTTTTTATTGCCTAACTTTGGTATTATTGCCCTTTGCTTTTTTACACTTTGTCCGGGACATAGTTTTCAAACGACAAGGGGTATTAACTAGAAACTTTGTAGGTAGATAGATTTATTGAGTAGAAGTGCAGGGCAAAAGAACCATCACTCTGCCTTTCCTAATATTGGACTTCTTGCCCTTTTTTTCTTTAACACTTTGGACTTTGTCCAAGACATAACTTTAAAACATCAAGGGGTATATACAAGAAACTTTGTAGGTAAATAGATCTTATTGAGTATATTAGTGCATTGCAAAATAACCGAAACTTTGCCTTTCCTAAGTTTTATTTATTGCCCTTCGTTTACTTTACACTTTGAACTTTGTGCCAGACATAACTTTAAAACGTCAAGGGGTTATATACAGGAAACTTTGTAGGTAGATAGATCTTATAGAGTAGGAATACATTGCAAAATAACCATAACTCTGCCTTTCCTTAGTTTCGAATTATTGCCCTTTGTTTATTTTTAAACTTTGTCCGGGACATAATTCTAAAAAGACAAGGGGTATTAACACGAAACTTTGTAGGTAGAAATCTTATTGGGTAAAAGTGAAGAGCAAAAGAACCATAACGCTTCCTTATTTTGGAGTTATTGCAATTTTTTTACATTTTGAACATTATCCGGGACGTAACTTTCAAACGACAAGGGGTATTAACACGAAACTTTGTAGGTAGATAGATCTTATTGAGTAAACGTGCAGTGCTAAAAAAAACATAACTCTTCCTTGCCTAATGTTTTAAAGTTATTGCACATTATTTGTTTAGTTTTTGAACTTTGTCTGTGACATAACTTTAAAACGTCAAGGCGTATTAACCCTTTACCTCATATATACGCGAAACAACGCACTTTCGAACCCCCCCCCCCTTCCCCTCATTTAGGCCTCAAATAGTGAATAAATGTCCTGTTTGGGCCCCCAACCCATGTTTTCGTTTGAGAAATGTTGATAAAAAAGTGATTCCTTTTTCGGCGCGGACCCCAATTAAAAGATACATCAGGGGGTTGCCAGAGAGAGATGTGCCCCTTCCTTTTTGGGAGGTTTGAAGGGGGCGGTAGTCCCCCTCATCGCCAAGAAAATTTTTGACTTGAGAGAGGCTAAAAATGACCCCAGATCGATCATAAGGTAACGTGTAACCAACGCCGAAAAGCATTTGACTCTATCTCAATCTATTGAGAAGTTGCAGCACTTTGAAATCAATTTTGATGGAAAAAATCAACGCAAAATAGTGATTTTTGGCAATTTTGAGATGTCCCCTTGTTGCCATTGTAACAGCAAATTTAAGCCTGAGCATGTTGTTACAAAGGCAAGGGTCCAGTCAACAATTTTACAAAGTTTGATTAGTATTGAAGCAGTTTTTATATTTTTATAGCAATTTGAACTTGTAACGGGAGACTTTTCAATGAAAACAGCCATTTTTCACAAAATGCTCATTAAGAAATAGTAAAAGTAAAAGTGCATTGCAAAAGAACCGTAACTCTGCCTTGCCTTTTTTGGAGTTATTGCCCTTTGTATTTTTTTACACTTAGAACTTTGTCCGGGACATAACCCTAAAACGACAAGGGGTATAAACATGAAACTTTGAAAGTAGTTAGATGTCATTGAGTAAAAGTGCAATGCAAAAGGTTCGTTACTCTGCCTTGCCTAATTTTTAGAGTGATTGCCCTTAGTTTTTTTGACACTTTGAAATTTTCCGGGACATAACTATAAAACAAAGATATTTACGAGAAACTTTGTAGGTAGATAGATATCATTGACAAGAATTTCAGTGCAAAAGAGCAATAACTCTGCCATCCATAATTTTGGAATTATTGCCCTTTGTTTATTTTTACACTTTGAACTTTGTCCTCCGGGACATTACCCTAAAATGACAAGGGGTATAAACAAAAAACTTTGTAAGTTGATAGATCTTATTGAGTTAAAGTGCAGTGCAAAAGAACCATATTTTTCCCTTGCCTTATTTTGGAGTTATTACCCTTTGTTTATTTTTTACACTTTGAACTTTGTCCGGGACATAACTTCAGAACTATAAAAGGTATCAACTTAAATCTTTGTAGGTATATAATCCCACCCAGTAGAAGTGCAGTGAAAAAGAACCATAATTCTCCCTACCCTTATTTTGGAGTTATTGTCCTTCGTTCATTTTTACACTTTGAATGTGTCATGGACATAACTTGAGAACTATAAAAGTTATCAACTTGAAACTTTGTAGTTAGATATATCTCACTGAGTAGAAGTGCAGTGCAGAATAACCATTACCCTCCTTACCCTTATTTTGGAGTTATCGCTTTTTGTTCATTTTTACTGAATTAAAACTGAATTTCTATTTAGCTGTCCTTCAGCCCTGTTATATACTTACATAGGAAAACACATTTAAGCTTCATTGTAACTATGAAACTACAATGTCTAGAGATGAGATATTTAGCATGTAGCAATGTCTAATTGACCTTTACCAAACTGATATAATTTATGTCTTTTGGTTCAATATTGGTCCCCAGGGGTCACATGATTGATATAGACTTAAACATGTATATGATAAACACATCTGAGACTTGTTGTGTTAAATTACAATGCCCAGAGCTTAATACATTTGTATTTGGCATATAACATCACTTTGTCAACCAAAGATTAACTGAATTTATCATGCCCTTTTTGCGCCGGGTGTCACTAAGTTAATAAATTTGAGTGTTTTAAAACAATGTTTATGGGCATCAAATTTACCATGTGTGTATATTTGAGTTTTTTATTTTAGACAAGCCTGGAGCACCTGGTGTACCTAAATGTAAGACAACAACAGAGGACAGTATAACTTTATCTTGGACACCACCCAATAGAGAAGGAGGTAGCCCAGTCACTAGATATGTCCTGGAGAGGGGAGAGAAGGGTGATGATGTATGGGAAACGTAAGTTGGAATGAGGGTTTAAGTGAGAGCACAAAATACAAAACATTAACTTTTACTTTGACTTGATTAATAAAATAATTTATTATACCCCTGAAACGAAGTGTGTGGGGGTATATAAGGGTCACTCGGTGGTTGGTCAGTCGATCCAGGCGTCCGTTGCATTTTCCTTGTCCGGAGCATAACTTGAAGACTTATGGTTGGAATTCAGTATAACGTCATACAATGGTCAAGCACATTGGGAGGAAGTGCAGTGCACAAGAACCATAACTACAGCTTCACTAATTACAGAGTTGTTGCCCTTGGTTATTTTTCCTTGTCCGGAGCATAACTTGAAAACTTTTGGTAGGAATTCAAAACAACTTTATACAATGGTCAAGCACAATAAGGGGAAGTGCAGTGCACAAGAACCATAACTCTATTCGAAGTAATTACAGAGTTATTGCCCTTTGTAACGTTTCCATTGCTTTCTTTTGTCGGGACCATAACTTGAAGACTAATTGTTGTAATTCAATATAACTTCATACAATGGTCAAGCACATTGAGAGGAAGTGCAGTGCATAAGAACCATAAAACTCCATCTTGACTAATTACATATTTATTGCCCTTTGTTACTTTTCCTTGTCCGGAGCATAACTTGATACCTACTAGTTGGAATTCAAAATAACTTTATACAATGGTCAAGCACAATAAGGTTGAGTGCAGTACACAAGAACCATAACTCTATCTAAAGTAATTACAGAAATATTGCCTTTTGTTACTTTTCCATTGGTTTTTGTATGGAGCATAACTTGAAGACTTATGGTTGGAATTCAATACAACTTCATAAAATGATCAAGCACATTGAGAGGAGGTGCAATGCACAAAAATCATAACTCCATCTTGACTAATTACAGAGTAATTGCCCTTTGTTTCTTTTCAATGTCTGGAGCATAACTTGAAAACTACTAGTTGGAATTCAAGTCAACTTCATACAATCGTCAAGCACATTAAAAGGAAGTGCAGTGCACAAGAACCATAACTACAGCTTCACTAATTACAGAGTTGTTGCCCTGAGTTATTTTTCCTTGTCCGGAGCATAACTTGAACCATAACACCATTTTGACAAATTACAGAGTTATTGTCCTTTGATACTTTTCCTTGTCCGTTGCATAACTTGAAAAGTTCTTTTTAAATTTCGAAACAACTTCATACAATGGTCAAGCACAATAAGAGGAAGTGCAGTGCACAAGAACCATAACTCTGTCCAGCGTAGCTATAGAGTTATTGCCCTTTGTTACTTTTCCATTGCTTTTTTTCTTGTCCAGAGCATATTTTCATACAATGGTCAAGGGCAGTGAGATGAAGTGCCGTGCATAATAAACATAACTCTATTTGGACAAATTACAGTTATTGCCCTTTGTTACTTTTTTGTTTAGTGCATAACTTGAAAACTAGTAGTTGGAATCAATACAACTTCATACAATGGTCAAGCGCAATGAGAGGAAGTGCAGTGTATAATAATCATTGCCCTTTATTTATTGCCCTTTGTTCCTTTTCCTTGTCCGGTTACTAATGTTTAGAATTCAATGCAACTTCATACAATGGTCAAGCACAATGAGAGGAAGAGCAGTGCTCAAGAAGCGTAACTCTATCTGGACTTATTACAGAGTAATTCAATAAAACTTCATCAATGGTCAACCACATTGAAAGGAAATGCAACACTATCTTTAAATGCCAACAACCATACCTCTATTCTAATTGTTTTGCAAGGTATTCTGTTACTATAGTAACTTCCTCATTTCCGAAACACTGACTGTCTTGCGGGGGTATAAATCACATTTAGTGAGTTCTAGTTTAAAATAAATGGTTAGTTTGACTGTAGGTTTTAGTAGATTATTTGTAACACAAAATACAAGACATTAACATTTACTTTGACTATCATATTTTTATCTTAAATAAATGGTAATTTGCTTCGTTGTTTTGACTTTAGACTATATTAATTTGTTTAAGTCAAGATTTTATACACAGCTTTGAAGTGAATAGTTTTACATAAAAAGCTATAGTTTCTCTATCATTTATATTTTTGAATGAATGTAGTGATATTACACAGATGTAATGCAATACAATTTTACTGATCGGGAGTTTTCTTGATTACTTCAACTTGTTTGAAATAAAAATCCCTGAAACTTAAAAAAGACATGTTAAGATCGATTTTTAAAAGAAAATGATTCAATTAACTTATGTAATATATTTTGAGTAGGAAAACACATTTACAGCTTATTTTGGCGAAAATACGATTCATAGAGTTAAGATATTTATATTTGGCATGTCTTGATTAAGAAAACACATTTCAGTCTTATTTGTGAAACTGAAATGCCAAGAGATTATATAAAGCATGGAACATTACCTTGTGAATATCTGCAAAATTGATATAAATCATACCCCTTGGGTCAAATTTGCACGCCCCAGGGTCACATGTTTATATTTTAACACATTGAAGTGAAACCAAACAACCCAGAGGTTAGATAATTGGCATGTTGAATTAATTTCTACAAAAGTAATATTAATCATGACCCTCAGCTTAAAATTGGCCCTACACCAGGAATTCATTGCTCGTGTAGACTAAGGTATAGGCAATTTTGTAGATAAATACTATGCCTCTATATTTGGTATGTTCATTGTCTAGTGTACCTCTATAAAAGTTTTTTGAATCATGCACCAAGGGTATAAAATGCCCCAACCTTTGAAGGTCTTTATTGGGTCTCTACCCTATTTGAAAGATTATTTTCTATTACAAAATAACATTAAGGCGTATATTGCCCGGCCTTTGTGGTGCTCTTGTTGAAGGTTTAAGTTTTGCATTCAAAATCAATCTTTAATTACACTGAAGCTATTCATATGAAACTTAATTGATCACTTCAGAATCAGAATTTTATGGGCCATATCCAAGCTCAATAAAACTAGATGGATTTGACGGAATTAAGTCCTTTTTGAAATTTAAAATTCTTGTGGCACCATCATTCATGAAAACTACTAAAGGATTTAATTTTACATTCAATTTTCAGGGGACATAGGTATTTACATTAAACTTTATCAAGATCATAGTTTGAGGTTACTCTCCAAGACCGTATCTTTGACATGGATTTTAACTAAATTGTGGCCCTTTGAGAAAATAGAAAATTCTTTGCATAACTTTTTTCCTTGTAGTATGATTAAAAACAACTGAAGGTTTTCACATGAAACTCAATTAATGACCCTGCAATCATAACCAGGTGTCACTTTTCAAGGCCCATAAATCTGACATTGATTTTGACTGATTTATTGCCCTTCGTTAACTTTTAAGATTTATGGTCAAAGTGCTGCGTGCAACATCAATATTCAAAACAACTGAATTTATTCTCTTAAAACCAAATACATGTATGGGGAATCATATATTTTTTTTTCTTAATGGATTGCCTTCATACGTTGACACAACAATCCTTTCAATCAGTCTTTTAAATTTACCAGACTGAATTGACCTCCACTATTATTAATGACCAAGCTTAAGCGTCAGGCAGCGGTGGCTCTTGTTATTCTTAGGAACCAGTGACCTCAGCAATAATTGACTTTCCCTAGCTATCATTGACTCTCCTTAGCAGCCAATGATGTCCATAGCCGCCATTGACATTCTCAGCTACCAGTTACTTGCAAAGCAACCTTTCATTTTCAGTAGTAACCAATAACACCCAAAAGGAAATTTCACTTTCCTTTTCAACAAGCAACTTTCAATAGCAACTAGGGACTTCAAAAGCAAATATTGACTTTTCATAGCAACCAGTGACTTCAATCACAATAATTAACATTACTTAGCAACCACAAATATCCATAGAGACCATTGACTTTCTTTAGCAATTAGTGACTTCCATAGCAACTATTGGCTGTCCTTTGCAACCATTGGCTTGCATAGCAACCATTTATGTTTTATAATAACCATTGACTTCCAAAGCATTCATCAACTGTCCGTGGCAACAAGTGACCTTTAAAGCACCAATTGTCACTGACTATCAATAGCAACCATTAACTTTCTATAGCAACCAACCAATTTCCAAGGCAACCAGTGACATCCAAAGCAGCATGTGACTTTGCATAGCAATCATAAACTTTACTTAGCAACAGACTTCCATACAGAACATTGATTTTCTTTAACAATTTGTGACTTTCAAAGCAACAAATGACTTCCATAGCAACCAGTCATGTTTCATAGTAACCATTTACTTGCATAGCATTCATTGACTGTCTTTATCAACAAGTGATATCTATGGCATCAATTGACTTTCCTAAGCAACCATTGTCTACCAATATCAACCAATAACTTAATAACTTTCTATAGCAACCATCGAATTTCCAAAGCAATCACTGATTTTCCAAAGCAACCAGTGACTTCTACAGCAACAATTGAAATTACATATCAACATTTACATTTCATAGCAGGTATTGACAGCTGAGGTGACTTCCTTAGCAATATTGACTTTGTACGGTATCAGCCAATCCAATAATTTCCACAGCAGTCATACACTTTCTAAAGCAATCAGATAATCTACCATTGATGTTCATAGCAATTTGTACAGCAACCATTGTTATCTATTCTTCGAATTGATTTTCTTTAGCAACTTTATTTATTCATAGTTAATAATATTAATGGTTCCCTGTCAGTAAGAGCATCTATATTCAGGTTAGCGATATAAGGGCCCATCAACGTCCTCTTGATTTGAATGAAATGATTCTTTTTGTTAATTCATAAAATATTCATAAAATATTCAAACTCATGTTTAACAATCACAAATGAGAGCAGGGGAGCCCGATGTCTTACAGTTCTTTCTCAAGTTTTACAACAATGTATTACACAAGAATTCAATTGTGTATGGTGGGATGTCTTAAATATCCAAATTTCCTTAAATTTAATTCAGTACTATACATGTATATCGTGTTCATTTTGTTACACAGAAGAAGTTATTCTGTCAACCAAGTCACTGAGTTCACAGCAACGAGTTTGCAAGAGGGTAAAGAGTATGAGTTCCGTGTAGCAGCCTGCAATAATGCCGGAACTGGAGAGTTCAGTAACTATTCTGAACCATTCAAGGTTCAGTCACCACAAGGTATGATTATTTCATATTCCTAAATTTTATATCTCAGAATGCACGTGATTTAAAAATATATATTTGGAAGCAGATTCCGATGTTGCCATGCACAATACTGAAGGCCCTCCATCATATCACAATGAAAATGTGCGTGTTATTTTGATAACACTAATAATTTGTTTGACATAATTTAGTTCCTTCTTATTCGAATCGGCTCCAGAAGATATTTTTAGCTCAACTATTCGAAGAATATGGAGAGCTATTGTAGTTGCCCGGGGTCGGCGTCCGTGTCCGCGTAGGCGTCTGCGTTGGTTAAAGTTGTTTGTAAAGTCAAACATCTCAATTATTGATTGATATATTCAGTTGAAACTTACAAAACTTATTTATAGTGACAATGTACATCAGATTGACAAGTTGGATAACTCTGCCTACAATATTTACAGAATTATGCCCCTTTTTAACAAGAAATTTTGGTTAAAGTTTGTTGTAAAGTCAGATATCTCAATTATTGCTTGAGATATTCAATTGGAACTTACAATACTTTTTTATAGTAACAATGTACATCAGTATGCAAAGTTGCATAACTCTGCCTGCAATATTTGCAGAATTATTTTCCCCTTTGAAACTGAAAAATTTTTGTTTAAGGTTAAAGGTCTTCAAAGATATTTACTTGAAACTTTACACATGTACTTAGGGTAAAATTGAAGGTCACATCTCAATATTAATTACTCTGCCATGTATTTTGGCTGAATGTTGCTCCCTTTTGTACTAAAAACAACTTCTTTTCTTGATTAAGTTTAACATACAAGTTCTGCATATCTCTGAAACTATTAAAGATACAAACTTGAAACTTCATCTCAATAACTATCAGATATTTTGATTTTAAACTTCACATATGCATGAAGGGTCATAATTGTATGTCACTGACCAAGTTCCATAACTCTATCTTGTATTTAGGCTGATTTATCTCCCCTTTTCTACTTAGTATCTTGGTTAATGTTTACATGCAAGTTTTACATATCTCAATAACTATTAAAGATATTTACTTAAAACTTCACATATGCATTTAGGGTCATAATTGTAGGTCACTGACCAAGATCTATAATTCTACCTTGCATTTAGGCTAATTGTTCTCCCCTTTTTCAACTTAGAAATTCGTGGTAAAGTTTTGCTTGTAAGCTGTTATCTCGATAACTACTGAAGGGTTTGTGCTTTTTTTAGGACAATTTTATGCATTCATAATAATAATAAAGCAGTGATTTACTCGATAAAAAATATAAATAACAAGCCTTTGCACCTTTTCGGTCATTTTTATGTATTCATATGTAATCATTATTATACTCAATAAAACACCCTTGTGACAACTTTTTTGAATAGTCGAGCCTTACTGTTCTCCGACAGTTCTAGTTACTTTTATTTCTTTCCTTTTCTTTCTCTCCTTTTCTTATACAAAGTGGCTATAGCTTTGTTATTTATGAATTAATTGCGCTTATAAATGAACTTAACAGTCCCTGGAGATAGACATCAATCTTGATTCATAAATAACCTTTAATTTTCAGGTCCGATTATTATGAAATATGTTATTTTATCATGGAGTGAATACAGATGTTTGCAGCTCATTTTTAAAATGTAGATGATTTATGTATGCAATCATCAAATACTATTAAGTGCAATAATAATAATAAAACATGCTTAGTACATAACACTTTAAAACGAAATGTTTAAATGAACGTTTGTCATATTGCTGCTTAGATACAAAAAGGAACATACAGGATTCCTGTATTTTTGATGGTCGATTGATACTTCTTGATAGAAACCAGATAAGAACGTTAGAGAAATCATTAGATAAAGAGATAGGAAAAGGTCGAATTGGTACAGTTTACCGTAGCAGTAAGTATATTTCCTGTTTGCCATTTCAGCGTTTATATCTTCCTCATATAATTTTGAACGCATCTGCGGATGTTTCTTAATTTCAAAATTTCAAAATTGTGCTATTGTTCTTCTTACTAAGCCGGTGCTAGGGAGTGGAAAGTAACTTGAATTGTTCAATACTGTCCATGAACAGGCTTAATCAAACCGAGCGTGCAGCAGTTTCATTTTGTCGCTTTTCGTCTGTTTTTCACTGTTCTTTTAAGTTTGTTATATAAACACCAACAATCATTAAGAATTTATAGTTTATTCATTTTAGCTTGACTTTTTAACAAAATAAATAGAGTATTGTTACAGTTAAATTGGCGCTGCCACCCACAAACTTGTATCTTGTTAATAACTTTTTTAAGTTCTTGATGTATTGTCTGCATACTTTATTACAACAACCCTTAGCTCTTGTTAAATATTACTTTTTTATACTAGGTAAACTAACTTTTTAGATTCTTTATAACTAGCAGCATATGCCAAAACAGCCATGGATGTAACATAGTATATTCTATGCTGACGAGTTAAAACACTGAGTTTAATCCTTAAAATCCAAATCACTCAAAATATATCACTCACGATGTAGGTTTGCTGACCTTTATGTTTGCGTATGTTTGAATATGTATGATTCCGTAAATTTGTAAATGGAAAGCAAAATTATAAGTTGCACTAAATTTGTTTCTTACGACATCTTTGTCGTTTCAAATATCATTATATCATTACATCATTAAAATAGTTGTAGTAACACCACAAAGATGACATTTTATGTTCATCCGTGCAGCCATTGAATATCGTACATAATCTTTAGGTGCGTTTGTTGGCTTTTCTTTAAAGAAAACAGTCAAACCTTTCTGCTTTTTATTTATCATGCATAAAAGAAAATGTGTTTGTTTTGTCAAGATTATGCTAAATATTACACATTGAAGTGAGAAAATATTCATGTTTTCACTTGCCGTTTGTGCCTTTCATAAAACTATTGGGATTTCTTCACTTCTTGGTGTGAAATACAGCATATAACCTCAAACAGAACAAATATTCTCTTTAAAGTGAAACTTAAAACTTTTTAGCTCACCTGAGCTAACTCGGGGTGACTTAGGATTTTGAATCTAGGGCCATATTGCCCCTCTTGTTTTATAACAGAATTTGATTCTTAACATGTTGCAACATTCTCTTGTAGTGGTTGTTAAAAGCACAACATACATTTTTGACTATTGGTAACCTATTTTTGCTTGAAATTTGAGTTGTAACACTCACCACTGGCGATGAACATATTAACAAACTGCAATGTCAAAAATTACACTAATTTATTCAAAATATTTCAAATAGAAGCATTAAGAAATACAATTCAAATGCATGTAAAAATCAGTGTCATGTATTTCATTTATTTTTTTTGACTAATGAAGTCATATATTAAATGAAATCTCTATGAGGATTTAACAATTTCTTACGTTCTTTGTACAGACAATAAAGAAATATTTGGTATTACTGTTGCTGTGAAGAAGATAAAAACAGAGGAACATGCAAACCAAATCAGAAGGGTAACTCACTATTTCTGTGAAAATACATTGATTGCAGTATCAAAACTAATTTGAAAAACATGGTCTGTCATCAAATAACAAGCAAAGAAGGTTTAATTGTACTTTTTATAGTCGCCTCTTTGTTTGTCCGTCCGTCTGTTCGCTTTTCTTGTCCGGGACATAACTCTGAAAGTACAAGTGGTATGAACATGAAACTTTATAGGTAGATAGATTTAAATGGGTAGATGTTCAGTGCACAAGAACCATAACTCTGTCTTGCCTTATTTTGGAGTTTTTGCTGTTTGTTCATTTTTATACTTTAAACTTTGTCCGTATATAATTCTAAAACTTAAAGAGATTTCAACGTGAACTTTTTAGGAAGATAGAACTCATTGGGTAGAAAGGCAATACAAAAGAACCATGACTCTAGGGGCGTCCGTGGCTGAGTGGTTAAGGTCGTTGACCTCAAACCACTTGCCCCTCACCGCTGTGGGTTCGAATCCCGACAGGGACTTTGGATTCTTTCATGTGAGGAAGCTATCCTGCTAGCTTAAGGAACGTCGGTGGTTCTACGCAGGTGCCCGTTCGTGCCTAAAATAATGCAGACGAAGGGCACTTGAGGTCTTCCTCCACCAGTAAAGCTGGAAAGTCGCGATATGACCAATACTGTGTCGATGTGAAATAAAACCCAAAACAAACATAACTCTGAATTTATAAGAGATGTCAGCATGAAGCTTTATTCGTAGATAGATCTCATTTGTTAAAAATGCAGCGAATTAGAACCAAAGCTCTGCTTTGCTTAATTTTGGAATTATTGCCCTTTGTTCGTTTTTTCACTTTGAACTTTGTCCGGGACCTAGCTCTGAAACTATAAGATGTATCAACAAGACACTCTGTAGGTAGATAGATTTCATTAAAAAGAAGTGCAGTGCAAAAGAACAGTAACTCTGCCTTGCTTAATTTTGGAGTTATTTACCTTTGTTTATTTTTACACTTTCAACTTTGTCCAGGACATAGTTATGAAAGCATACTATATATGAACAAGACACTTCGTAGTGAGATCGATCTAATTGGGTAGATGTGCAGTGCAAAAGAACAATAACTCTGTCTTGCCCTTTTTTGGAGTTCTTGCTCTTACCTTTTTTTACACTTTAAATGACTCTGTATACTGTTATGTGTCCAAAACCTATTCGGGGATCATCACCTGACTCAACAGGCTTTTGTTTTAATTAGTGTAACAACACCTTCTAGCCTTAATTTTATTAAATCGATAACAACTTCCCATGCTTTCCCATGTTCAAATCTGTAAGCCTATACGTTTTTTTGTAATTTTTTTCCGTATTTTCTCTTTTTCTTTAACTTAACTATTGTTATGATTGATATACAATATTACTGATTTTCATTACAATATTAATACCAATTAAATGCTGTTCGTTTCAGGAGAAAATTGTGTCCAGACTCATGAACCCTTTTTTACTGCCGCTGTTAGCTGTTGTTGAAAAGTCAAATGAGTAAGCTGCAGTATTACTGTATTTTTGTTAAGTTTTCATCAGTTCATTCTTTATTATTGAAAGTGAAATTGCCAATAGTTCTTAAAATTAAGTATAAAGCAATCAACAACAAAAAACATTTCCAAAGTATTACACTTTAATGTAAACTTTAATGCTACTTAAATTACAGCTTACTTCGTTCGCTCGAACGAGGATCGCTCGAATACCTCCCTTCGGTCAAACTCATCGCTCAGTCCCGGCAAAATTCCTGTATAATAAATATTGTTCTACCTTTGATCACTCGAACAAAGATCACTTGAACTCTCGAACCTGATCTCTGGTCCCTCCGGCAGAAATATAGTGAAAATACACTTAGAATACAACACAAGTTGCAGGTTGACATGTTCAATAAATGACAATCGGCGGCATGTGTTTTTACACCTCGTGATCGTGACAAGACAAATTGATACAAAATAAGAGCTGTTGTTATTGTTTATTTGTCATTTATGGTAACAGTAGAAAGAAATAACTCATGAAATAAGTGAAATGTGCAAAAATCAATAAAGAATGACTTTTACCCAGACGGCTTTAATTACAACCGTGGTTCATGTAACGTGACTTGTAACAGTGTTATCTATAGATAGAATGATACTTGTGTGTGTGTTTATTTTAGTAAATGACTACAAAAAGATGCTGCTGTAAAATGATGTGTTTTTTTAAATTTTATTTACTCATTGTTTAAAATAAATTCATCCCATAATAAACATATTAATATATTTTGATATTGCCAAATCGAACTCAACCAATTACAATATGCATGAATATAGATTAACACAGTGTTCTATTAATACTGAATTGAAAATATTGGGATAATAATTCTTGATATGACGTATTAGACGAACAGATGCACTAACAAACAATTTATTGACGTATTTATCATTCGACCTATGTATACTGGAAAATCTTTAGGCCTTTGTTCAACGTAATAATAGTTCAAACTCGGTTGGCTCAAACTACCGATCTCTCAAACAAATTTGCACAGGCCCTCCGAGTATATATTCTAAAAATGACATATTTAAAGCTTTGCTTGTTATTTTTCATTCCTCAGAGAATGTTGGTTTATAACGCCTTATTGTGAAAACGGTGATCTCTATGATGCTATTAAAAGAGGTGAAAAAGAGAAAGATAACAAAAACAATACAGAAGAGATCAGCATAAACAATCAGGCTACAAGAGTGAAGATTTTACTGCATATTGCACTAGCGATAGAATATATTCATACTGAAGTTCCAAACGTCAGGTAAATGCTTACGTATTCCATAAAAATAATTACCTTTTGACAAATATGACAGTCTTTTTCCTGACCTATTAATGCAAAATCACAGTTTTTATACACATTATTACACTTCTTGAAGAAGTGATGTGTTGTTAGTGAGGTAAAAAAGCGTAAAATGGCTACGAAGGAATAGACTAAATGGAAAGGAATTAGTCAATTATTACCTGAAGAAAGTTGTAATGAATATGAAATGAATTGTCATAAAAGTAGCAAAATGTGATAGTATTTATTTTGACTTCCGTTTAAATACTAAATTAAGATTATAAATATACTAGGCCCCTAAATCTATCGGCAAATTATGGTTAAAATAACTAAAAATGTTGTTTTTAGCTCGACTTTTTTTTTTTTGAAAAAAAAGTAGAGGTATTGTTATAGTCAGGTCGGCGTTGCCGTTGCCGTTGCCGTCTCCGTTGCCGTTGCCGTTGCCGTCCGAAAACTTGTACCTGGATCATAACTTTTTTATTTCTTGCTGTATTGTCTTCATACTTGGCCACAACAACCCTTGGGACAAGACCTTTCAGTAGACCACACTAACCTTGACCTTCATCCATAAATGACCTTGACCTTCAAGGTTAAAAGTCCAATTTTTGCTTGTTCATGCTGTTATTGGCTGTTACTTTGTTATTTTTGAATGGATTGTCTTCAAACTTGAACATAATAATTTTCAAGGATATCCCTTAAAAATAACCAGTCAGACCTTGACATTCACTCATCAATGACCTTGACTTTGAAGGTCAAATTATTGAAATTTTCATTTTTTTGGCTATTATTGGCTGTAACTTTGTTATTTTTGAATGGATTGTCTTCAAACTTGAACAAAATAATCTTCAAAGATAACTGTTAAAAATATACAGAAAGACCTTGACCTTCACTCATTAATGACATTGCCTTTGAAGGTCAAATTATTGAAATTTTCATTGTTTTGGCAGTAACTGACTGTAACTTTGCTATTTTTGAAGGGATAAACTTCATATTATAACAGAACATTCTTAAGGACCAGACCTTGTTGTTTATCAAACCCAAATTTGCTTGGGCTCTTTAATGACCTTGACCTTGAAGGTTATATTACTGAATTTTCTCAGATTGTGCATTTATTGGTGTGTGTGTATGTATAGTATATGTATTATATATATATATATATATAAAAATGTGTGTGTGTATATATATACATATATGCAGGTATATATATATATAAATATATATATATGCATGTATATATATATATATATACATATATAGATATATATATATCAAATATATATATATATATCAGATATATATACATATATATACATGTATATAATTGCGTCATTTTTTTCTATTTTTAGAAATTGCGTCATTGTTGCTATTTTTAGAAATTGCGTCATTTTTTTCTATTTTTAGAAATTGCGTCATTTTTGTTCTATTTTTAGAAATTGCGTCATTGTTTCTATTTTTAGAAATTGCGTCATTTTTTCTATTTTTAGAAATTGCGTCATGTTTTTCTATTTTTAGAAATTGCGTCATTTTTTTCCTATTTTTAGAAATTGCATCATGTTTTTCTATTTTTAGAAATTGCGTCAGTTTTTTCTATTTTTAGAAATTGCGTCATTTTTTCTATTTTTAGAAATTGCGTCATTTTTTCTATTTTTAGAAATTGCGTCATTGTTTCTATTTTTAGAAATTGCGTCATTTTTTTATTTTTAGAAATTGCGTCATGTTTTTCTATTTTTAGAAATTGCGTCATTTTTTTCTATTTTTAGAAATTGCGTCATTTTTTCTATTTTTAGAAATTGCGTCATTTTTTTCTATTTTTAGAAATTGCGTCATTGTTGCTATTTTTAGAAATTGCGTCATGTTTTTCTATTTTTAGAAATTGCGTCATTTTTTTTCTATTTTTAGAAATTGCGTCATTGTTTCTATTTTTAGAAATTGCGTCATTTCTTTCTATTTTTAGAAATTGCGTCATTGTTTCTATTTTTAGAATTTGCGTCATTTCTTTCTATTTTTAGAAATTGCGTCATTGTTGCTATTTTTAGAAATTGCGTCATTTTTTCTATTTTTAGAAATTGCTTCATTTTTGTTCTATTTTTAGAAATTGCGTCATTTTTTTCTATTTTTAGAAATTGCGTCATTTTTTCTATTTTTAGAAATTGTGTCATTGTTGCTATTTTTAGAAATTGCGTCATTTTTTTTCTATTTTTAGAATTTGCGTCATTTTTTCTATTTTTAGAAATTGGGTCATTGTTGCTATTTTTAGAAATTGCGTCATTTTTTTCTATTTTTGGAAATTGCTTCATTGTTTCTATTTTTAGAAATTGCGTCATTTTTTTCTTCTATTTTTAGAAATTGCGTCATTTTTTCTATTTTTAGAAATTGCGTCATGTTTTTCTATTTTTAGAAATTGCGTCATTTTTTTTCTATTTTTAGAAATTGCATCATGTTTTTCTATTTTTAGAAATGGCGTCAGTTTTTTCTATTTTTAGAAATTGCGTCATTTTTTTCTATTTTTAAAAATTGCGTCATTTTTTCTATTTTTAGAAATTGCGTCATTGTTTCTATTTTTAGAAATTGCGTCATTTTTTTATTTTTAGAAATTGCGTCATGTTTTTCTATTTTTAGAGATTGCGTCATTTTTTTTCTATTTTTAGAAATTGCGTCATTTTTTCTATTTTTAGAATTTGCGTCATTTCTTTCTATTTTTAGAAATTGCGTCATTGTTGCTATTTTTAGAAATTGCGTCATGTTTTTCTATTTTTAGCAATTGCGTCATTTTTTTTCTATTTTTAGAAATTGCGTCATTGTTTCTATTTTTAGAAATTGCGTCATTTCTTTCTATTTTTAGAAATTGCATCATTGTTTCTATTTTTAGAATTTGCGTCATTTCTTTCTATTTTTAGAAATTGCATCATTGTTGCTATTTTTAGAAATTGCGTCATTTTGTTCTATTTTTAGAAATTGCTTCATTTTTGTTCTATTTTTAGAAATTGCGTCATTGTTTCTATTTTTAGAAATTGCGTCATTTTTTCTATTTTTAGAAATTGTGTCATTGTTGCTATTTTTAGAAATTGCGTCATTTTTTTCTATTTTTAGAAATTGCGTCATTTTTTATATTTTTAGAAATTGCGTCATTGTTGCTATTTTTAGTAATTGTGTCATTTTTTTCTATTTTTAGAAATTGCGTCATTGTTTCTATTTTTAGAAATTGCGTCATTTTTTTCTTCTATTTTTAGAAATTGCGTCATTGTTTCTATTTTTAGAAATTGCGTCATTTTTTTCTATTTTTAGAAATTGTGTCATTTTTTCTATTTTTAGAAATTGCGTCATTTTTTCTATTTTCAGAAATTGCGTCATTGTTGCTATTTTTAGAAATTGCGTCATTGTTGCTATTTTTAGACATTGCGTACTGTTGCTATTTTTAGAAATATGCTTAATGTTTCTATTCATATATATACAAAATATATAAACAAAACTAATGTGACAACTAGTCTGTCACCAACTAAATTTATAAAAAGGAAACATCAATATATGTTCAAACCTTTCTATGTTTGCGTTTAGAAAAAGTAAAAAGTCGAGCGTTGCCCCCGCCCGGCGGTGGCTCTTGTTTTGTTGTATTTTAGCTCACCTGTCGAAAGTGACCTAGTGAGTTTATATGACCTCTTTTCGTCCGGCGTCCGTCCGTCCGTAAAATTTTACTATTAATAAACCGCTAAGCCATTTTCATCCAAACTTCACAGAATTGTTCCTTTGTTGGTCACCTTTGAAAATTGTTCAAAGAATTATATTCAATGCAGAACTCTGGTTGCCATGGCAACCAAAAGAAAAAACCGTAAAAAATTGTTTTTTAAATACCCCAAAGAGCTAGAGCTTAGATATTTGGCATGAAACATTTTCTGGTGAGTGTCTACCATGTTTGAACAAATGGAAGTCCTGGGATCAAAATTGGCCCCGCCCCGGGGGGTCATTAATTTTCCTTATATGTACATAGTAAAAACTTAAAATACACGCAAAGAGCTAGAGCTTAGATATTTGACATTAAACATCTTCTAGTGAATGTCTACCAAGTTTGTTCAAATAAAAGCCCTGGGGTCAAAATTGGCCCCGCCCGGGGGTGGTCATAAATTTTCCTTATATGTATATAGTAAAAACTTAAAATATGTTCTTTTAAAAAACGTAAAGAGCTAGAGCTTAGATATTTGGCATGAAACATTTTCTGTAGGGTGCCTACCAATGTTCTTCAAATAAAAGCCCTAGGATCAAATTGGCCCCGCCCAGTGGGGTCATTAGTTTTCCTTATATGTATATAGTAAAAACTTAAAATATCTCCGCAGAGCTTAGATATAATATTCTGTAAATTTGTCAGGAAGGTTGTTTGGATGATTTCTAGGTCAAGTTTGAATATGGGTCATCTCTGGTCAAAAACCAGATCACTGGAGCTAAAAAAGGAAAAATCTTGCTCACACTTTAGTGGTTGCAGTTGACATTCAAATATTCTTGAAGTTTGTAAGGAAGGTTGTTTTGATGATTTCTAGGTCAAGTTATAAGATGGGTCATCTCGAATTAAAAAAACTAGGTCACAGGGGCTAAAAACAGATAAAGGTTGTTAACAGTCTAAAGGCTGCAGTTTTGATCCAAATATTCTGGAAATTTGTCTAGATAGTTGTTTTGATGATTTCTAGGTCAGGTTTGAATATGGGTCATCTCATTTGTTTCCACAAATACTTCTTGAATATTTTAGAATCAAATCAGTATATGTCAACTGGCTTTTAAAATGCATTTTTGTATTTCATTAAGGTTTAATTTGGGCTCAATGCCCCATTAGTGTATCCATTCTGTCTACTTTTCCACTTGTTGTATTAATTCAAATTTTCTGTAGGCAAATATGTAGCTATATTCTAGAATTTTTATTAACGAGTATTTTTTATATATTATGCAGAGGTCCAATTCTTCATAAAGACATTGCGTCTAAAAATGTTGTGCTAGATAAATATCTAAATGCCCGCCTTGCTGACTTCGGATTGGCCAGAGAAAAGGATGACGATATGTCGACCTTGGGAGGAAGAAAACATTATGATCATCCTAAAGTAGGGACTGGATGTGATGAAGACTATTTTGATTATTATAACTTTGGAGTCAGTAAGTTTCACAACTTATGCAACTTACTTTTAATCAATTGGTCATAATTTGTTATATTTCGGCATAATTGGCATAGTTTTACAATTATATTTTGTTTACATAATGCATCTGATACGCATGTAACTCATCTTTCTTTCAATAATTGAAAATAAAATGAGTTATCTTTGCATGGTAAAACATTTATAGGCATCGAAATTTAAAATGTGTTCTTAACTTTCAATGAAATTGGACAAACATTGTTGTAGTGAGAATATTGCTATGATGTCAATCTGCTTATGACATCATCGACACATGATCGTTATATATCCTATACCATAGTTTACTGATTGCTTTGAGTAAAATGTTCTATCTTAATTAAGTAATATAAATCACATTTCAAATGTGGACAGTCCATATACAGCTGTTGCGAATTTTGTGTTCTCTTTGAATATTAATGCATTACACTGGTTTACGTATGTGTAAAATGGCTGCCAGGAAGGAATGGTCAGCTGTGCACTATATACCTTAAGAATCCTACCTAGACGAATGTCTGTTTAGATACGCGCAGTTTTTGAAAGTAAAGGGGAAGCGTTTTGCCACGAAAATTTCATTGCGTCCGTACTAGAAGTACTCGTTTTATACTGTGACAGGACGGGTATGCCTTGAACGTTAATTAAAACAGCACACATATGACCTCTCTTTACGATATAAAAGATGGCTATTTAAGTTTTTAAACCAGAACTTTGTCCGCAAAGTACTATGCAAATCATCTCAAAAGAAAAATACAAAACTTTAAAGATAATTTTCTTCAAAATAAACTCGTTTCCTAGTTTTTGAAAGTCAGCAAATGGATTAAAAAATTGAGATATTTTATGATAGTGCTTTTTTGCAACAGCTCTTACACCGATGCGTTTTGTCCAAATTCGAAACAGTTACACTTTCAACTGAGACAACGTGTTTACGCATGATTGAATTTTAGCCTGGTTCAACGATATTAAAATCTTGATAAACTACAGACAGTTGCACAGTCTATTATTTGTATACGGAGATAAGAAAACATTGACTTTCCATTTGAAGAAATGTAAATAAAAATGTTTAGCATTAAAGCCAGGAATAAAATATTTGCCATGAAGTGTAAAGCTGATGTTCGTGAATGAATTTATGTACAAGTCATGTACTTGTATTTTTATTGACGATTTGTAAAATAAAATTATGTCATTCCGCTGTAAATCATGCGTCTTTTTCAAAATCATATAAGACTCAGCTGCTTTGCAGCCGAATAATTAGACAATTAAATGTACAATGCGCTAGTTTTAAGGTCTTATCTCTAATTTTTATAACCAAAGTCTAGGTTAAAAATATTTCTTCTTTTATCAAAATAAGTGATAGAAAGATGATAATTTTGAACTAGTGGAAAGAAGTCCCTAGCTAGAAATCAGATACCCGAGTGTTTCAATGTTTTTTGTCTTTTTTGTCATAGTCAAACAATACAATAGTTTTCCCTGCGGCTAAAATATGTTAACCCCAGAAAGTTGAAAACAGTCTATGAGCAAGTTAACATCCATGATTGTCACTTAATCAATTTAGTAGAATTCGGATACTTTTGGTGAAAATTTTATTATAAATCTGAATATGTTCATGTTTAAGCTGCTATTACTTGTTTCTTTACACTGGTGTGCTGCATATTTTCCCCCAAATCTCTAGTTATCTCTCTTCCCCCCCCCCCCAATACAAATTTCCAATGAATAGGTCGCTGACATATGATACAATATGTATTAAAAAGTTTTATAAAAAAATCAAAAACGGACACAAATGCATTGTCCCAACATAGGCTGAGAAGCTCAACTTTAATTAATTGCATTGAATGTTATATATTTTGAAACCTGCATACTATTTTTATTTTTTTACACCCGTCTGTATTTGTTGTTTTTTCTTTCAAGTTATTCGGGAAATGTTGACTAGCCTGGGACCAGAAGGTGAAAAAAATCATTTCTTAAAGAAAATGGACAATGATCAGATTGAGAAAAGACTGGATGTAAGTAATTCAACCGGATATTACATTTTCAATGCCCTTTAAATTATTTTGATATATTTCATTTTACGTTCTTTTTTCGACAACATAGATAAGACTACTTTTTTTGCACATTTATTTTCATTCAGCAACTTTATCAGAATTGTATTTTATGACTTATAATATGCCAAGAACTATGCATGAGCAAATAAAATGTATGTCGATTCTTGATATAAAATAGCATAAATGTTACTTCGTAGTCATATGCAAAAATATTCACCAATAAATTCAAAAGTAAACATTGTTTTGTTCTGCATTAATAGACATGAACGCTGAAACAATACTTTTCCAGAAGTTTCAAAAGAATTTTTCTAGAAATTGGCTTTAACTGTATTTGCATTTCTCAGAGTTTATGATTTTATAATAAAATTACATAAATATACAGGGTTTGAAAATGTTTTAAAAAAGGAATGAAAGCTAGCATGTGCTGCAATGTTGTGAAAGAATTAACTGCATCATTGGTGCCATTGATGTAAAATCTGAAGTCATAAGAATGATTGCATTAAATTATACATTCAATTTTATTCTGTCGGGATAGGGAAGGCAGAGGATTTGGAGCAGGTGGTATGGAAAGTAAAGACCCATGAGGGTTTAAAATTGTTTGAAAGTTCATGCTCACAAACATTTATATTAAGACAGTTTAATTTTCTTTTACTCTATTGCAGAAAAATGTTTGGAAATGTAAGGAAACAAGAGACAAGTTAAAAGAATTGTCACAGAAGTGCTTGAAGGAAGATGTTGCATGGAAAATCGAAGATTTTAAATCAAATGTGGTTGATACATTACGGGTATATCTATCAATTTTATTATCAGATAAGTGTAGCAAATTTCAATCAAATTCAGATAATCCCGAAAAGCATTTATTTGATTATGAAGCTTTAAGAACTGGATACCCTTTAAGGACGGCCTTTAATATCCATTGTTTTTATATGCCCGAAAGAATTTCGGACATATTATGTTATACCCCCTGGCGTCCGTCCGTCTGTCCGTCCGTCCGTTACCAATTTGGTTTCCGGAGCATAACTTAAGTTCCATTTGGCCCACAATATTCAAACTTCATAGGATGATTGTCCATATTGGGTAGAAGACCCCTATTGATTTTGGGGTCATAAGGTCAAAGGTCAAGGTCACTATGACCTTAAAACTGACAACAGTTTCCGGAGCATAACTTAAGTTCCATTTGGCCCACAATATTGAAACTTCATAGGATGATTGTCCATATTGGATAGAAGACCCCTATTGATTTTGGGGTCACAAGGTCAAAGGTCAAGGTCACTATGACCTTTAAACTGAAAACAGTTTCCGGAGCATAACTTAAGTTCCATTTGGCCCACAGTGTTCAAACTTCATAGGATGATTGTTCATATTGGGTAGAAGACCGCTATTGAATTTGGGGTCTCAAGGTCAAAGGTCAAGGTCACTATGACCTTAGAATTGAAAACAGTTTCCGGAGCATAACTTAAGTTCCATTTGGGCCACAGTGTTCAAACTTCATAGGATGATTGTCCATATTGGGTAGAAGACTCCTATTGATTTTGGGGTCACAAGGTCAAGGTCACTATTACCTTAGAACTGAAAACAGTTTCCGGAGCATAACTTAAGTTCTATTTTGCCCACAGTGTTTAAACTTCAAAGGATGATTGTCCATATTGGGTAGAAGACCCCTATTGATTTTGGGGTCACAAGGTCAAGGTCACTATTACCTTAGAACTGAAAACAGTTTCCGGAGCATAACTTAAGTTCTATTTGGCCCACAGTGTTTAAACTTCATAGGATGATTGTCCATATTGGGTAGAAGACCCCTATTGATTTTGGGGTCACAAGGTCAAGGTCACTATTACCTTAAAACTGAAAACAGTTTTCGGAACATAACTTAAGTATCATTTGGCCTACTGTGTTTAAACTTCATAGGATGATTGTCCATATTGGGTAGAAAACCCCTAATGATTTTGGGGTCACAAGGTCAAAGGTCAAGGTCACTATGACCTTAGAATTGAAAACAGTTTCTGGGGCATAACTTAAAGTTCCATTTGGACCACAATATTGAAACTTCAAAGGAGGATAGTTATTTGAAGGAGGTAATACTTTATTTTACTCCCATGTCTTACAAATGCTTCATCTTTACTTAAAAAAATCACTTTCGGGCATATAATGCTCCGCCTAGCGGTGCTCTTGTTATGTGTTTTAGCTCACCTGTCACAAAGTAACATGGTAAGCTTTTGTGATCGCTTTTCGTCCGGCGTCGTCTGTTAACTTTTACTATAAACAAAATCTCCTCATAAACCGCTTGGCCAATTTCATCCAAACTTCACGGGAATGTTCCTTTGGTAGTCAACTTTAAAAAAATGTTCAAAAAATATAATTCCATGCAGAACCCTGGTTGCCATGGTAACCGAAAGAAAAAAAAATAAAAAATCTTTTTTTTTAAACCGAAAGAGCTAGAGCATGAAACATCGCCTAGTCAGTGTTAACCAAGTTTATTTAAATTAAAACCTTATGGTCAAAATTGGCCTTGCCCCAGGTGGTCATTGATTTTCCTTATATGTATACAGTAAAAGCAAAAAAAATCTTCTTTTTAAAAATACAAAGAGCTAGAGCTTATATATTAAGCATGAAACACTTTTTAGTGTGTGTCTACCAAGTTCGTTCAAATAAAACCCCATGGGTCAATATTGGCCCCGTCCCAGGGGGTCATTGATTTTCCTTATTTGTATACAGTAAATCTTAAAAAATCTTCTTTTAAAAAACCTAAATAGCTAGAGCTCAGATATTAAACATGAAACATCTTCTAGTAAGTGTCTACCAAGTTTGTACAATTAAAAGCCCTTGGGTCAAAATTGGCCCCGCTCCAGGGGGTCACTGATTTTCATTATATGTATATAGTAAAAACAAAAAAGTCATCTTTTTAAAAATCAAGAGAGCTAGAGCTTAGACACTGTGTATATCCATGTGTATCCAGTAACGCCGGAATGTGAAAATAACGCACAATTCTTGCAATAAGTAACGCAGAATTGTACAATAAATGGCGGATACCTGACAGGATTTCCAAAGCGGTAAGTAAACTGGCCAATATATTTTTTATTTAACTGAACTGAAAAAAAATGCTGCAAAGACATTACTTTTTATCCCTTATCAAGATTATTTCCACGAAATTGTTTTCTTTTCACGATCATTCGTGAAAATGATGACTTGACTATTGTTTTGAGCGAGATTTTGGCTTTTTGTCGACTCTTATAAGTACAACAATGTATATTATACGGTATAATTTCGATTACAAGTAGGCAAGTGACAGTTGCTAAAATTCAGGTGATATAGAAGATGAAATGGGATTTAAGTCGTTTTTATGAGGTAACGCCGATGTACGTGAATAGTGATTTGCGGTAACGCCGGAAAATGTGATTTTTTTTCATATATGGTACTGAACTGTTACACAGGTTTAACGCCATTAATAAGCGAGTATCAACACTTTTCAAATATATATTTTGGGGAAACTTCATTTTATACAGAATTTATTTTAGTTTGCGTAGTAAAAAAAACACAGTCTCGAATCTGTCCCTGAAACCACAGGGCTATAAGCTTCCTAAGTCTTTATTGAAGTGAGTATGAAGCAATGCTTGAAAATTTTCTTACTCAAGGAAACAATGGGGTAGCAACAGGGTAGCAATTTCTCAATACCTAATGAGATGGTATTTATGAAAATGGGCTTTGTTAAATTATTCATTGTTCTCACCCTTTATTAATTATTTGACATGAAGAAGTGCACTTTAAGACCTTCATGACATGGATAGATGAAATCTTCCACAAACACATCTCTAGAAGCTCTCCATATACATGTACATTGAGTAAGTAACCAAAATATATTCAACCTATCTTTAGTCTATGCCACCTTTTACCTGGTAAATTTATGAAATGGTTTTGCTCAGCTGTGAACTTGGAACAGTTTATTCAATGTATGAGAGATTGCTATTAGATATTTAATGTATTTGTACAATTTGAGCTTTTAGGTCATTACTCCTGCTAGTTTTGTAAACGTCTATAGTAATGCCTAGCATAAACTCTTACGGTAGATTCATATGTTTTTCCCATACAAGTTAACATATAATACGAAACCCTAAGAGTAGCCCAAGGGTTATAATTTATTTAACTTTAGCAGAGGACAATGAGGTTATGCTTTTACAAGTTTTGGGCATTATTGTTTCTAAGTAAAATATCTTTTAAATACAAATTACTTCCTTTTATCAGGGAAAAAATAAATTAAATAATTTTTTCACATTTTCACAGAAGTGTCACCAGGCAATTGCTTCAGCCAAAAAATTGTTTTGGATGGGTTTCACTTCAAGCCAACACAATAAAGGACATATGGAGACTTACAAGCTTTACTGGTGCATTATTTCAGGCATAAAATATACAGACACTTCTTCGCTTGATTGTTTTCTATTTTTTCTTGATTGTTTTCTATTATATTTATATTCAATCTATTTGCAAACTAAGTTTATTGTTCTTATTTTCTAACAAGATCAGACGTGGGCAGCATGTTCACAAATAATAATTGTATTTCAGGAAACAATTGTCTAATTGTACTAAGTTACAATATGCAATCAAAATGTTGAATGTTTGTCAGGATCTAATTATCATATATTTTTAATAAGTTACGAAGAAAATACGTTGACTAAAGGTCTCAAAAAACTTGATAATATTCGCCGGAAAAAGGCGTAAAACCTGTGTAATAATTCTGTACCATATAAGAAAAAAAAAATCTGGCGTTACCGTGAAGCACAATTCACGTTCATCGGCGTAACCTCATAAAAACGGCTTGAATCACAGTTTTATCATTAATTTCAATTTTTCTATATCACAATAAGTTAGGTTTATGTCACTTGCCTACCGGAAGTCGAAATTATACAGTATAATATGCATTGTTGTACTTATAAGAGCTGACAAAAAGCCAAAATCTCGCTCAAAACGGTGGTAAAGCCATCATTTTCACGAATGATCTTGAAAAGTAAACAATTTCATGGAAATAATCTTGATATGTGATTAAGAGTGATGTCTTTGCAGTTTGTGGCTACTGATTTTTTCAGTTAGGTTAAATGAAAAAATATATTGGCCAGTTTTTTTTTTACTGCGTTGGAAATCCTGTCAGGTATCCGCCATTTATTGCACAATTCTGCGTTACTTATTGCACTTATTTTCGCATTCCGACATTACTGCATATACACGGTGTTAGATATTTAGCATGAAACATTTTCTTGTGATTGTCTACCAAGTTTTTTCAAATAAAAGCCCTATGGTAAAAATTGGTCCCGCCCCGTGTGTCATTAATTTTCCTTATATGTTTATAGTAAAAACTTTAAAAAAATCTTCTTTAAAAAAGACCCAAAGAGCTTAGATATTTAGCACAATCATCTTTTAGTGTGTGTCTACCATGTTTGTTCAAATAAAACCCCGGAGGTCAAAATTGGCACAAACCGGAGTGTCATTGATTTTCCTTACATGCATATAGTAAAAACTGTAAAAATCTTCTTTTTAAAAACCCAAATAGCTACAGCTTAAATATTTAGCATGAAACATTTTCTTGTAAGTGTCTACCAAGTTTCTTCAAATAAAATCCCCGGGGTCAAAATTAGCCCCTCCCCGGGGGTTATTGATTTTCCTTATTAGTACACATCTTTTTGAACCATTGTTTTCACTTAGCAATAGCAACCAGTAATGTATTTACACATGGACTATTTCAGATACAAATATGAACTTTGTGATATCAGTTTAAGATTTAGTTTTTATATTTTTTTGTCTTGTAACAGTTGTGTTTATTGACATTTTCGAGGGTAAGGGGCATGTATAAGTAGTAAAGATTCTATTTATTTTTTGATATCATACTGTGTTGAATATATGATATAAAACCATTTGTATTCTATAAAGTAATTTATCTAATATTATGCGCAAACAGAAGAGTTTCATGACTGTCATGTTTATGTTCCTTTCAGGTCATGTTTTCGGAATTCAGTTGTGATATATTTGAAAATAGAGGGGAAAGTACATGTCATCAATGTATCATTAATCCAATCGGTAATTCGTTATTAAACAAACTAAGTTGAATTGTATTACTTGTTTCTATAGTTGATTTGTGATAGTAATATCTTAAGACTACAATTTCATGTGATAAATGAATGATTTGAATTCATGTTTTGGAGATATTTAAAAAAAATAGGTTTCATCATGCTTACATTTACCCAAAGCCTGTATCAGGTTTTAGTCACACAAAAGCCAGTCGTGTTAAGATATTTTCATATTGTTTATGCATATTTAATATCTAATTTTTCTAAAGAGCTGCATTTCAAAATTGATCACTTGATATCAGTTTTTCCACGCTGAGAGGAGCAAAATACATGGCCTCAGAAAGCAACTACAACTACCGGTTTTACCATGTAAAAGCATGAATAACGTATGCTAGCTTTACGTTATCGGTTATGAGGTTCTCTTTGGTTCAAAGCACGGACCTACATGCATATATATTTTTGAATGAAATTATATCTAAAAAACGCACATCTTTATTTTAAATATACATGTAATCTACTTATTTTTCGAACTCTTTTTTCACGACGTTTTTCATTTATCCCCATAATTATACATTGTTGCAGTTTCAACTGAAAAATCATCCTTGACAAATGATTATGACAACTGCCGTCAAAGGATACAAGTGTGCATGGCTTGTGAAAAAAATATTTTTCTCAATCCAATAACCTGCTATTGTGGTGCAAAATTGAAAAGTGCGATAGGTATAATTGTATTGTTTCTTAAATTTAATCATATCAAAATTGCATATTTATACACTGTTATTTAACATTGCTCATGGTGAAGATCATCTTTACTGAACATTCTTAAGTTTGAATAGCGATTGCTTTAATCCCTGTAAAGTTACCATTGAGACAGGGAAATGGGTGTTCCTTACAGCAGGCCCCGTGTTCACAAAGAAAAGATCAGGATCAGGATCAAGTGATCCTGATTTTATTTTCATTGTTTTATGTTCTATAATTAATTATGGTTTGCTAGAATTGATAGTTAATATTTAAAAATGTCTAAAATTGCTGATTTACAAAGAAATCAAACTATTTTGGGATAAAATTAACAAATACATGTAACAAAACAAATAACAAAATATCGGATCAAAATAAGGATCAATTTTAGGATCAATATCAATATTTGGATCAACTGTAGAATGCCTGTATCTTATTAAAATAATAATAAATTTATTCTAAACTTTCATTAATTTGCTACTGCACCTCCAGTTTTATCAAATTAATATTAGATATTTAATCTATGAGGATAAAAAATGAAAAATATTAATATGAGAGTTTTTAAATTTTATCCTGATATTGATCCTGATCCTTAAGTCTATGTGAACACGGGGCCAGGTTCCCGGTTTTTGTGCCCCCACTTTAGGGGGCGGGGCATTTAGATTTACCCTAGTCCGTCCGTCCTTCCCTTTTCATTTTCTGTCGCATGTAGCTCAAAAAGTATTTGACCTAGAGTCATGAAACTTTAAGGAATTTTCATCAGCATGTGTAGTTGTGCACCTGGTATTTTCGTGTGGATTTATTCAGTATTTTTAGACTTATTGTCCTTGACTAAGTAAAAATTTGCAATTTTTAACTTGTGTCGCATGTAGCTCAAAATGTATTCGACCTAGGGTCATGAAACTTTACAGGAATGTTGATCAGCATGTGTAATTATGCACCTTGTTATTTTCCAGTGGATATATTAAGTTTTTGTAGAGTTATTGCCATTGATTTAGTAAAAAATTACATTTTTCAATAATTTGTGTCGCACGTAAGTCAAAAAGTATTTGACGTTAAGTCATGAAACTTTACAGGAATGTTGGTCAGCATGTGAAGTTGTGCACCTGGGCATTTTAGTGTGGATATATTTAGTATTTGTAGAGTATGTAGTGTAATTGTCCCTGACTTAGTAAAAATTTGCAATTTTCAACATGTGCACCACAGAGCACAAAAGTATTTGACATAGTGTCATGAAACTTTACAGGAATGTTGATCAGCATGTGAAGTTTTGCACCTTGGTTTTGCTTGGGAATTTATATGTTCTGTTAGAGAAATTGCCCTTGACTGAGTGAAAATTTGCAATTTGTTAATTTGTGTGTTAGTAGCTCAAAATGTATTTTACTTAGAGTCATGAAACTTAACACGAATATTGATCAGCATGTGTAGTTGTGCACCTAGCGTTTTTCTTGTAAATTTACATGTTTTGTTAGAGTTATTGCCCTTGACTTAGTGTGAAAATTTCAATTTCCAATTTGTGTCGTGCAAAGCTCAAAATGTATTTAACGTAGCGTCATGAAACTTAACAGGAATATTTTTCAGCATGTGCAGTTGTGCATCTTTAGTTTCGCTAATGGGTTTATCCAGTATTTATACAGTTATTGCCCTTAACTTAGTAAAAACCATTTCATTATGTTGTGTTATTTGTTCCTTGAGTGCTTGAGTTAGAATCAACCAACTTTATAGGAATATTTTGATCAACATCACTGTGAAGCTATGCACCTGAGATTTTGCATGTGGATTTTTTTTCAGTTTTGTTAGAGTTATTGCCCTTGACTTAGTATAAATTTGCAATTTTCAACTTGTTCATGCATAGCTCAAAAAGTATTTGACCTCTAGGCCTGAAAGTTAATTAGAATGTTGGTCAGCATTTGTACTTATGCACCTTGAGGTTCGCATGTGGATTTATTCAGTATTTGTAAAGTTCTTGCCATTTATTTAGTAAAAGATTTTTTTTGTTTTCAACTTGTGGCACATGACAAAGAGTCATAAGATCGACATAACGTGAAGTGTGGGGGCACCCGTGTCCTATGGGCACATTTCTAGTTCTACTTTGAAAATATTTATACACTTAAAATAATCAAAAGATATATGTCTGCACGTATTACGACGGAAGTAGTTGAACTAAAAAATTATTTGTAGTTATTATTTTCTTATTATTTTCGAATTCAACATACATATCATATTACTGGTAATTGTACATGTACTTAAATCAATGATACATTTGCCCTGACAATACTTGCTTATGAAGCACATCCAAAAGTAAAAGAATAAAAGAAATATATGTAAGATTAAATTAATTATTTTATTTACCTCTTTCCTTGTTTTAAGGCTGTAATTGGGGAGCATTACTTGTTGCTGGTGATGATGAAAGTCCGGATAATGCTGCAGTAATGAAGAGAGAAATACTAGAGTTGGAGAGATTAGTTACGTCACAGGCACCACGCATTATTGGCATAAGGTAACTTTTAAAGTTTTTTGTACTTAACTTTTTATCTAATAATTTTTTTTGTTTAAAATAAAGTAATAAAATATTATTTTTTTTAATTGTAGACAGCAAAATGTGAAGACGGTTTTACCCAGTGAAAACAATATAGAAAAAATGTCAGCATGGAAGCAAATTCAAAAGCATCTTGCTGCCTTCAATAAGGATGAGGAGATCAATACATTATTGATATACTTCTCATGTCATGGGGAAAGCTCTGTTGAAGGGAACATGTTTCATCTTGGGCAGAAAGAGTATATATCAGCGGATGACTTTCAAAAGGAGTTAGACAAATTGAATAGAATTAATCAACTGATTATTTTCCTCGATCGTTGTTTTCCTCCAATGGTAAAATTTACAGATAGAATGTTTATTCAGATAAATGCATGCAGTGATAAAGATGCGGCAGTTCTAAAAAAAGAAGGCAGCTGGTTTACAAAGTATGTTATTCAAGGACTGAAAGCTAGATCAGAAGAAAGAAAATGTTCCAAGGACTGTCAGCATTGTGTCGACTATTGGAAGCCGAAAACAGAATACATCTCTGTCTTTGATTTGTTTGATTACGTTAACAAGCACTTACAACGAAAGGCACCTAAACCACATTGGCAAGGCAAAGGTGTTGGGGAAAATATAGCTTTTTTCACAGATGAAGTAGTAGAAATAAGATTTACGTCAAAAGATGATAAAACAGATGCACGTCTGCCACTCGGGTATCTTAAACACTTTGATGAAGTAAAGGAAAGACTTTTTGAGGCTTTCGGAGGTAAAGTTTCTCTTCACTTTATACACATAAGGAAATAAAAAATTGCTACAGTTTCAATAAATTAGGGCTAGCATTTGATGAATATAAACTTAACTTAAATACCAGAAACATGAATTATCAACATAAGTAAGATAATCATCATAAATTCAGTTCATTTTGAATGTCTCATATACTTAAGATTAAAGCCGATTATGATATGGAAAACTTAGTAAGGGTAACGATTAAAAGGATCATTGTTTTGATATACCTTAAGGTCACTTAATGCTTAATTACACCATTATTGAAATGAAATACTTAGGTCAATTTGATGTACAAGTAATTGCCCATATATCAAAAGGGTACACAGGGGTTATCCGGACTAATTTTTTTCGATACATCCCACCCCTTAGGATAAAAGTCATGCTATCACGGGGCGTTTGTTATTTTGTTTGTTATTAAAAAGATCCCCCTGTGTCAAAATCCCCATGTAAACAGTGCCATTATAACCACTGTGGAAAATATATGGATTCATTAATGGGTACGGAATTACGTATATCATAGATATATAGGTAAAAATATAAGTGAAATTTGAAATACGTAGATGTACGGAAATGTATATCAGTCAACACGAATATGACTAATTTATACTGTGATCCGTACACTCGTTACATATAGGAACTTTGTATGAAGTCCGTACTTTACTATAATACGAATTTTTTAAATTATAAGGGCAGTTATTACCAAAATGTAAAATTTTGTATTCTTGCAAATACGGACAGAGAATAAAGATACATGAAGAAGTACTTCAAAATTACCCACTTGCTACAAGAGGAAAGAAATGATAGTCTAATCTGTTTTATTCCATTTACAAAACCTTTCGACAAATAAAATCACCTGTAAAGAAGAAAATGAGACGGTGACTCCCTATTCTTTTAGTCATTTAGTCTGAGTATAAATTTTAAAAAAAATCAAACATTTATTTGAGGAAATTTTAATTCGTCTTTAAAGCCGAAAATTAAGGCTAAACTGTTTGTCAAATTTTACACAAAATTGACAACTTTCTTTTACTTTTTCAAACATTTTTAGGCGTAAAACGATACTTTTTTCAGCTTAAAGGAATAAATAATTTCAGTCGAATGCTATAGCATTTAAGATATTTGTCCACCTATGTGGTACCACTAACAGTCGCCAAGGAAACACAACATCATGTTAAAAAAACGGGCTTTGATGGTCCACTTTGACGTCGTTTGTACAAAAATTGGCTAAAATGATTGGAATAAAATTAACGGAATCTAATCAGAAATGTGGTCTATTTTTTGTATGCCAATTTTCAAAACGTTACTTGAAAGTTCGCAAAATGTCGCGTTCTAACTTATATAAAAAAATGTGTAATTAAAGATGCCCGGACTACTCATCTAAATACGAAGCCCCTATGGTGACATTTTCCACACTTTTTTCCAGGCATTTAATTCGTTTTTACGAAACATTTATTCGTAATTACGAAATAGTAATTCGTAAATACGAAATAACGAAAAAACAAATTAATATTTCGTCATTACAAATTATTATTTCGTAAAAACAAATAAATATTTCCTAAAATCGAATTAATATTTCGTAATTACGAATTAATATTTCGTAATTATAAATATTAATTTGTTGTTTTTTTTCGTTATTTCGTTTTTACGAAAAAATAATAAGTAAATACAAAATAACGAAAAAATAAATTAATATTTTGTAATTACGAATTATTATTAAGTAAAAATGAACAAATATTTCGTAAAAACGAATAAATATTTCGTAATAACGAATTAATATTTTGAATTTACGAGTTATTATTTTGTAAAAACGAATTAAGTTCCGGGGAAAAGGTGTGAAAAATGTCACTTTAGGAGCTCCGTATCTGACATCACTAATGCAATTTGAAGGAAACTTTAGAGGATTGATTTGTAGCTCAATACTTGTGCATATTACTCCAGTTTTCGCTTGAATGATTTTTACCTCCCCGAAGGGAGAGCATATAGTCGCCACTTTGTCCGTCCGTCCGGATGTCTGCACTACCTAATAGGGTAAGAGGGCCATCTGACTGAAAACAAAACAAAAGTGAACAATAGAGTTCATTCCGTAATATGGAAGGGGCCAATGGCCTCTCTATTAAACAAAAGAAAATAACAATAGAAATGGCCCTATATCAAGATTCAGTTGTCCGTCTGTCCCATTTTCTTGTCCTGGGCAAAACTCTGAAACTAGAGGTATGAACAAGACAGAAGATAGCTCTCCTTGAGTACAAGTGCAGTGCAAAAAAACCGTTACTCTGTCGTACCTAATTTTGGAGTTACTTCCTTTGTTCATTTTTACACTTTAAGCTTTGTCGGGGACATAACTCTGAAATATAAGAGATATTAACAACACAGTTTTCAGGTACATAGTTCTCATTGGGTATATGTGCAGAGCAAAAGACCGGTAACTCTGCCTTGCCTAATTATCCCGCCGAAAGGCGGCGCGGGATGCAGGAATAGTCTCCTTCCGTCCATCCGTCCGTCCTTCCGTCCGACATTTTTTGTCCGGAGCATATCTCAAAATGTATTTGATGTATCAACTTGAAAATTCATGGGTGGATAGGAGAAATGCAGTGCTCAAGAATGATAACTCTACCCTACATAATTTTTCAGTTATTGCCCTTTGATATTTTTCAAACTTAATTTTTGTCCAGAGCATTACTTAAAAAGCCTTTGAGATATCAACATGAAACTTCATGGGTGGATAGCTCTTATCCAGGAGGTGTGCAATGCATAAAAATGATAACTCTACCCTTCATTATTTTTGAGTTATTGCCCTTTGTTATTTTTCATACTTATTTTTTTTTACTTGAGTGGAGCATAACTCAAAAAGTTTTTGAGATGTCAACATAAAACCTCATAGGTGGATAGATCTTATTGAGGAGGAATGCTGTGCTCAAGAATAATAACTCTACCCATTATAATGTTTGAGTTATTGCCCTTTGTTATTTTTTCATACTTTTTGTCTGGAGCTTATCTCAAAAAGTGTTAGAGGTATCAACTTGAAACTTAATAGGTTGATAGATCATATTAAGGAGTTAAATGCACAGAAATGATAACTCTTCCCTGCATAATTTTTCAATTATTATTCAAACTTAATTTTTGTCCAGAGCATAACTTAAAAATCCTCTGAGATATCAACAAGAAACTTCACGGGTGAATAGTCTCACTCAGGAGGTGTGCAGTGCACAAGAATGATAAGTCTACACTTCATAATTTTTGAGTTATTGCCCTTTGTTATTTCTCATACTTAATTTTTCACCTGAGCGGAGCATAACTCAAAATGTCTTTGAGATGTCAACATGAAACTTCAAAGGTGGATAGATCTTATTAAGGAGGAATGCTGTGCACAAGAATAATAACTCTACCCATTTTTAGCTCACCTGTCACAAAGTGACAGGGTTACGTTTTGTGATCGCTTTTCGTCCGGCGTCCGTCCGTCCGTAAACTTTTACTTTAAATGACATCTCCTCATAAACCACTAAGCCAATTTCATCCAAACTTCACAGGAATGTTCCTTTGGTGGTCACCTTTAAAAATTGCTCAAAGAATTTAATTCCATGCAGAACTCTGGTTGCCATGGCAACCGAAGGAAAAAACTTTAATTATCTTCTTTTAAAAAACCCAAAGAGCTAGAGCTTAGATATTTGGCATGAAACATCTACTAGTGAGTGTCTACCAAGTTTGTTCAAATAAAAGCCCTGGGGTCAAAATTGGCCCCGCCCCAGGGGGTCATTGATTTTCTCTATATGCATATAGTAAAACTTCAAAAAATCTTCTTTTAAAGAACCAAAAGAGCTAGAGCTAAGATATTTAGCATGAAACATCTTCTAATGAGTGTCTACCAAGTTTGTTCAAATAAAAGCCCTGGGGTCAAAATTTGCCCCGCCCCAGGGGGTCATTGATTTTCCCTATATGTATAAAGTAACAATTTAAAAAATCTTCTCTTAAAAAACTCAAAGAGCTAGAGCTAAGATATTTAGCATGAAACATGTTCTAATGGGTGTCTACCAAGTTTGTTCAAATAAAAGCCCTGGAGTCAAAATTTGCCCCGCCCCAGGGGGTCGTTGATTTTCCCAATATGTATATAGTAAACACTTAAAAAATCTTCTTTTAAGGAACTCAAAGAGCTAGAGCTAAGATAATTAGCATGAAACATGTTCTAATGGGTGTCTACCAAGTTTGTTCAAATAAGAGTCCTGGGGTCAAAATTGGCCCCGCCCTGGGGGTCATTGATTTTCCTTATAAATGTGTATAGCAAAAATTTAAGAAGTATTCTTTGACTAAACCTAAATATTTAGAGTTAAGATATTAAGCATGAAACATCTTCTAGTGAGTGTCTACAAAGTTTGTTCAAATAAAAGCCCTGGGGTCAAAATTGGCCCTGCCCCGGGGGTCATTGATTTTCCTTATATGTGTATAGGAAAAACTTAAAAAAACATCTTTGAAAAAAAAACAAATAGCTAGAGATTAGATATTAAGCATGAAACATGTTCTAGTAAGTGTCTACAAAGTTTGTTCAAATAAAAGCCCTGGGGTCAAAACTGGCCCCGCCCTAGGGGTGTCATTGTTTTTGTTAAACTATGTGTATAGTAAAAACCTAAAAAAAATTTTTTTTTAAAACCCAATGAGCTACAGCTTAGATGTTTAGCATGGAACATCTTCTTATGGGTGTCTACCAAGTTTGTTCAATTAAAAGCCCTTGGTTAAAATTGACCCTGCCGGGGTAAGGGGAGGGCAGATCATTGTTTTTCTTTATAAGTGTGTACATCATGAAACATCTTCTTATAGGTGTCTTCCAAGTTTGTTCAAATAAAAGCCCTAAAAACTGCTATAAGTCTACCACCGGTATACAATAGCTTTACATAAAACATCATGCATCGATAGTGTTATATTTAAACTTTTAAATCGATAACATTGCACGAGACCTTTGATATTTTAGTGAAATAAAATCACTTCTGAATCACCACTTGTCTTTGCTAAAGACGCAGAAATATAAGGTTAAAGATGTCAATCAGTTATTTCAAAAACATTATTATAGGTATGCTATATACAATGTTGCATTTAGTAAGACTCATTGATGTTATACATAATATTATTTACTAAGTTACTAAGAGAATAAATAGATTTTACTGCCTGTCATGTGGATGATATTGTACTTTATTCATAAACTGCATATTAATCTCATAATATTTCTTATGTTATTCCTGTAATGTTTTGCATTTACGGTTACCTTTTTCAATTTTCAGTTGATCAGAGAACGCACGATGTCAAAATACAGAAAGAAACATTCAGACAGGATCAACCATACGACGACTGTGACACCTTAGAAAGGGTGATGCAGGCCTGGCTTCAAAGACTTCCACTCGTGGTCACTTTCAGTGCTCAAAGCATTAATTAAGAAAATGTAGGTCTGTTATGATGAGACGTTCTTTAAAGACTTCATCTAATGCTTTTTAGAAGAAGAGAAAGAACATGTTTTTTTTATTTCTAAAACCAATATAGCCTTTGTACTGTACTTTTTGGTGTGTATGTGTGTGTTTGTGTGCGCGCATGTGTGCGTTTGAATTTTATATAATTTACATTCTGCTTAACCAGTCCAAACTGTTAATTTTTTTCAGAGGTTGAAGCCTTAATTTATTTTGGCTGTTTTTTGTGTTTTGTTGTGTGTTTTTTTAAATAGGAATGTGGCCTTATTCAAGAGCCACTGCTGAGCCGGGGCAACGCTCGATTATTTTTACTTTTTCTAAAATCAAAAAAAAGGTTGAAACAAATTTTAAACAAGATAAAAACGAAAAAAGTTTTTTTTCTTTAATTTCATTATATCAAGTCACACTTGTTGTTTTGTCAAAGTATTAATCTTTTCAATAATGTTCATTGATCAATTTTGCATCAAACTGTACACATGCTCTTAATTTCATAGCTGTAATCAACGGCAAGAAAGTAGGTCACTTCTATAAACTATCTTGATCATCTGATACAAAGTTCAATCATACATCTAAAACTGTGGTCATGGTCTGATTTTCATAGCTGTCACATCACATCAGAGGATAAGAAATTAGTTCACTTAGTAAAAATCTAAGTCAGCTGATATCAAAGTTTAATTAGTCCCCTACCGGTTTACCGGAGGGGACTTAAGGTTTACCCTACGTCCGTCTGTCTGTCCGTCCGTCCGTCAGTCCGTCTGTCCGTCAGTCAGTCAGTCCGTCCGTCCTCAAAACTGGATCTCGCGATAACGCAAAAAGTACTGAAAATATTTTATGAAACTTGATATATGGATAGATGGCAGTATGGAGATTATGCACGTCTTTTTCTTTTCTTCCTATGTTGAAAATTCTGGTTGATATGGCAACAAATAGACTGAAAATATGGCAAATTTTACACATAACCTGGATCCCGCGATAACGCAAAAAGGACTGAAAATATTTTTATGAAACTTGATATATGGATAGATGGCAGTATGAAGATTATGCACGTCTTTTTCTTTTTTTCCTTTGCTGAAAATTCTGGTTGCTATGGCAACAAATAGACTGATAATATGGCAAATTTTACACATAACATGGATCCAGTGATAACGCAAAAAGTTATGAAAATATTTTTATGAAACTTGACATATGGGTAGATGGCAGTCTGGGAATTATGCACATTCTTTTCTTATCTTCCTATGTTGAAAATTCTGGTTGCTATGGCAACAAATAGACTGAATTTCAAGATTTCTGATTCTAGTTTTTAAGTTTTTTCACTATAAGTTCTTTATTTCTTAACGTAATATCTTTAAACTTTAAATATAAGTTGCTAGTCATCAACCACATCATATGTGACAAAGATTTAAACTGCAGCACAAAATTTATCAGAATTACTTCCCTTGAACTTAAAATTTTCATGAAAAAAATATTGTTTTTTTTAATAACTTCTTTTTTTCTGAATGTATCTACTTCAAACTTCATATATATGTTTCTTATTATCACTCAACATTTGTGAGAAAGTTCAATACTCTAGCAAGACTATTTCCAGAATCATGCCCCTTTTGAACTTAGACTTTTTTTCGAGAAATTGGTAATTTTTACTCCAACTTCTCCAATCATGATAGGATTTTCTTCAAACTCCCACATCATAATAATATGACAAGGTTTATAAATCTAGCATCCATTTTTCCAGAATTATCTCCTCCTTAAACTTTTAATTTTTCTTATTCGTTCTTTTAACTTTCATTTACTTCAAAATCAAAATAAACATTCATTATTCATACCTTCATTACTAATTGTTCTTTGTTACACTCACATCATGTATGACATCTTGCATCTTTATTTCAAGAGTTATCTCCTTTTTAAAAAATTTGCTTTTAAAAATGTTATATTTTGATAACAGGGATGTTTAAAAATACATAAAAACTGTTTCCTGTGATCACTTTTAAAGAAATTTTTCAACAAATTTACTTAAAAAAGAAACATAAGTGAATGGCCAATACTCACTGCCCTTCAGAATGTTGCTGGGGTTCTAACCGGTAGGGGACTTATGGATTGCTTGCAATACTATGATAATTGCTTGTTAAATATCTGAAACTGTGCACATGGTCCAAATCATCAAAGGCCAAAAAAGTATATTATTTCGTCAAATTATCTAGGTCAGGTGATATCAAAGTTCAGTTCTACATCTAAAATTGTGCACATGGTTCAAATTCCATAGCTGTAAATCTAAGGGCAAGTAAGTAGGTCACTTTGTCAATTATTTAGGTCAGCTTTGATATCAAAGTTCAATTGTACATCTTAAAACAGTTCACATAGTCTAAATGTCAAAGCTATAGGGATAAAAAGGAGAATTTCATTAACTTGACATCAATTGAAGGTCAAAGTGAAATTTACTGTACATTATTTAATGTTTGTTTAATAGCAAATCTTGTCTGGTCCAATGATAAATCAAATCCGTATGTATATATTTAACAAAATCATAACAATTTAACCAAAATTCAATAATTTGACATAAACGATCAGTATGGTCATTTCAGCCTTTTTGAAGGCCTTGTTCAAATGTTGAAGGATGAAGTTAATCCATTTGTTAATTACCATGCTACTCTTCGGAAGCAAAAGTTAGTAAAAATTCAATAAGTTAACCTTCAAGGTCAAGTCATAAATGACCCAAAACTAAATATTTGATTTATTTCCTTTTCAAATGTGTAAAATTGATATCTTGTGAAGTCATATTCTATTACAGATTAAAGAATTTTTGATTTTCAAATGTAAATCTTTTAGCCGTCAGGTTAGCTCAGTAGGTAGAGCGTTGGACTGATCATGATTTTACAGCATTCATTCGCACTGTTCCTCTGTTCTGGCATGTACAAAGTTATCTGTTCCTTGCGAAGATGGAGGTAACTAGTACTGGTTAACTACTTGTCAGCATGCCCAGGAATGATGCATGATGCGTTGGCTGCACTGAGCTCTGGTAAAATTGATAATGCTATATGCCGTGATCCAGAGTGAAATATAAAATTTGGAACTTAATTCATTAAGTAAATTAGGTTGGCTTTCTGTATTTACCTTTTTCCATTCAAAGTTTTAACTTTTTAGCTCACCAGAACCGAAGGTTCAGGGTGAGCTATTAGTATCAAAGGGGATGGTCCGTCGTCCGTCTTCATACGTCGACTTACAATCATCTTCTTCTCTTAAACCGCTGAACAGATTTACTTTAAATTGGGTCTGTAGCATCCTTGTGACAGTCACACCTTAATTTGCTCATATCATTTCAATTGGCCTGTTTTAGGGGTCTATAGAGCTAGAAATATAAAACCTTTAGACATCTTCTTCTACATAACTAATCGATGGATGATCACAAAACTTTGTCTGTAGCATTCTTAGGTAGTCTTTTATCAAATTTGCTCATATTTATTTGATTGGTCCCTTTTTATGGTCTCTCGAGCTAAAAATAGAAAAAAAAATTAAACATCATCTTGTACTGAAGTAAATGATGGATGATCACCAAACTTGTCTGTAGCATTTTATGTAGTCTTTTATCAACTTTGCTCGTATTAATTTGATTGACCCCTTTTTAGTGCCTCTAGAGCTAAAAATAGAAAAACCTTTAAATATCATCTTGTACTGCAGTAAATGATGGATGATCATCAAACTTTGTCTTTAGCATTTTATGTAGTCTTTTATCAAATTTGCTGATATTTATATGATTGGCCCCTTTGAGGGGCTGCTAAAGCTAAAATGCCACAGGCCATGGCATTCTCAAATATGATGAAAATATTGATAATTGCTGTACAATTTTATTGTAAATATAAAATGAACATGTTTTGACTTAAAAACAAAGAAGATATAGAGGATATTTGTTTAGTTCAGTGTAAGATCGGAATATTTTTCACCGAGTGAGCACCAAAAGGTATATTTCACGAGTGGCGCAGCCACGAGTGAAATATGAACTTTTGGTGTTCACAAGGTGAAATATATTTTGATCTTACACTAAACTAAACAAATTTTCTTTTTATTATATGCAAAGAAACGTTTTAAAAAGACATAAAACCTAACATTGAATTAAAAGCGCGCCAAATAATAATACAACTTGACGTCATTTACGACGTCACATCATTAAGTTGGTACCCAGTACTGTGCACGCTGGCATTTCACTGAAACAACGTAATGGGCTTAAACTCAAAAAAGTGAAATTATCAAAGTGGTAATTTCACTGTTTCAAACAGTGAAATTACCAGTTTTAAATCACTGATATATTTCTATAAACCATCGAAAAGCATGTAATTAATGTTTAAAATTGTATACACTATAGGTGATCACAATATAAATATATAGTGTCAGATTTTTAAGACCAACTTTTTACTTGACCAGCTTCCCATACATAGTTTATTCATTCTTTTATTCACACTTGACATATTCAGTAAGAATTTAATAGATTTCAATAAGTTTCTGTGATTTAAATACTAACTCAAGGATGAGCAAAGTATATCTTTAATGAAAGACAAACAACTTATCTTGGAATGTCTTTCATACATGTGAACATGCTATGCAATTTTTATATAAAAAAAGATTCAATAGCTGGGAATAATATCTTCAGCACATTATAAAGACATTATGATTAACAACACCCTGTAACTTTTAAAACGTTATAATGATGATTTTAAATCGTAAATGTTTAATTCTTTATTGAAAAGATAATATACAGATATGTATTACAATAAATGCTTAATTTTTTTGTTAAGTAAGAATACTTAACATTGAATCAATAATTACACTATGTGCTTTGTATCTGAACAGTTAAAATACATGTATATGCACATTGTTTTTCATTTGACATGCTTAAATAAGACCCTGACCCAAAACCTCACTAGACATGCGCTATGGCAAAGTTTAATTGTTTAGTAAATTGTAGGCAAGTGTACAGTAATTTTCCTAGGAAATATAATTAGGCTTAAAGAAAGATTACATTTGTTTTCTGTACCTAACCAACAAGGATGAGTTTGTGTGCTTAATTTATTTTATTGAATTTGTTAAAATTGTTGTATTTTTTTCAATTTTTGTTGAATTGGTTTCAAACTTTGAGAAAGCACATTTCAAGAAATTTTGGGACACACTTGTTTAACCTGATGTTTCATGTGCATAATTGAATTTTATAATCAGTTGAGCTGTTATTGATGTTTTTGAAACCATATCACCTACCTTCTTGTTTTTTGATATACAGACTTGAAATTTGGAATAAAGACATCAAAAGACTACTTTTGATATAAATGATATCGCTTGACCTAGTTTCTTGTTTTTTGATGCACCTACTTGAAATTTGAACAAGGGGTTTAATTTCTGATCCTGAATTGAATTTTTATATCAACTGGCCTACTTTTGATATTTTTTATGTCACTTGACCTACTTTGTTGTCATTTATGTACAGACTTCAAATTTGGACCAGGGTGTCATTTCTGATGTTGAATTGAATTTTGATATCAGCTGACCTACTTTTGATATTATTGACAACATTTGACCTACTTTCTTGTTTTTTTTGACATAAATAATTTAAAATTGGACCTGGGGTGTCATTTCTGATGCCGTATTGAGTTTTGATATCAACTGACCTGCTTCTGATATAATAGATATCAGTTGACCTACTTTCTTGTATTTTGACGTACATACTTAAAATTTAGACCATGGGTGTAATTTCTGATGCCATATTGAATTTTGATATAATATGATATACTTTTGATATTTTTTATATCATTTTACCTTATTTCATGTTTTTTGACATACAGTCAGTGAGACTTGAAATTTGGACGAAGGGTGAAATTTTTTATGTTGAAATCAGCTGACCTACTTTTGATATTTTTGACACCATTCTAACTACTTTCTTTTTTTGACATACATACTTTAAATTTGGACACGGGGGTATTTTCTGATGCTGAATCCAAATTTGATATCAGTTGACCTACTTTTTATATCTTTGATACACTTGACCTACTTTTTTTGACATACAGGTTTGAAATTTGGACAATTTGAACCATGTGCCAAATGGAATTTTTATATTATTTGACCAACTTCTGATATTTTTACAGCATTTGACCTACTTTCTTGTTTTTTGACATACATACTGGAAATGTTAACTAGGGTGTATTTTGTGCCAATTTTAGTTTTGATATCAGCTGACCTACTTCTGATATTTTTTATACTACTTGACCCATTTTTGTGATTTACAGACTCTAAATTTGGACCCGGGTGGACTTTCTGATGCTGAATCGAATTTTGATATCAGCTTGCCTTCTATTGATATTTTTACATTGTTTGACCTATTGTCATTTTTAGTACAGTTATTGAATTGAATTTTGATAGCAGCTGACCTACTTATGATATTTTTTTTATATCATTTGACCTACTTTCTTGCTTTTTTAGCACAGACATGAAATTGGGACCTAGGGTGTAATGTCTGGTGCTGAATTGAATTTTGATATTAGCTGACCTACTTTCGACATTTTTGATATTATTTGACCTACTTTCTTGTTTATTGACATACAGACTTGTAATTTAGACAAAGAGTGTTATTTCTGATACTGAATCGAATGAATTTTGATATCAGCTTGCCTTCTATTGATATTTTTACATTGTTTGACCTTTTGTCATTTGTTTGAGGTACAGTTATGTTAACATATAGAATGTATAAAAATCTGTTGTCCAAAACTGTAAACTTCAAACATCTACACCTTACATATTATACATATTTTGTGTATTCATTCACAAAAGTTATAAAAGATTGTCTCATCAAAATTAATCCTGCTCTATTGGTCATTGATTCTGCTTTTATTCTACAAAGTGTCATAGGAACACACTTGCAACATTAATATTTTTAACAAAACATTTCCAAAATATTAGGACAAAATGTTCAATGTATATAGTGAACAATGAAATGTTGGGATCTAGGGCCATCTTAGCCATATTGTTTATTATGAAGAAGAAAAGAAACAATCAGTGTTGTGAAAGAATATAACTAGAGGGGCAAGTTAAAAGTGAGCTTGACTTGCCTTTTGGCAAGTTTATTTTGAAAATAATTACCAACTCTGAAAAACAGTTGTTTCTGGTGAGCGACTCAGGATCATCATGGCCTTCTTGTTAACTTTATTCTCTTTAATATGTTTTGATTTTATAATGTGCACACTTTTGATATTTTACATATTATGTCATATATTGTTCATTATAATACTATATTTTAAATATCTGAGATCTTTGAACCTTTCTCTTGTTTAACAAAATTAGTTTGTCCGAGGATAATGTATAGAATTAGGAACTAGATATTGTTGTCTTAGTTATTTAGTTATTGTTCCGTAATTAAAATTTTAGACGTTAGTTAAAATTTAATATAGTTGGTTTTAGATATTCAACCCAAGGTGACAAATGCTTTTATTCAATCATCAGTCATGGCTTTTAAATTATGCCGCAATTCAGTTTAAAAGGACTCTAAGGGGGGTTGCGTTCATTGAACGCCGCCCTTCCTTGTTGATCTTGTTTATCATATTCTAAATATCAATCAAGACCTTGTCCTCAGACTTTCAATGCTGCTTTTCTTGACGAGAGAGACTGGTCACTTTCCTTACTTATAAAAAGTTTGCTCTGAACAACTGGGTAAAACATAATGACAACTCCTGGAAAACTAGTAGTCATACAATTATTTTTTGGACAATGCATTTTGTTACATCATAATGCTATGTCTACTTGTCCATCGTCTGTAAATCATCAACTAGATAGCCTTGGATATAGTTATTTATGGAATAGACTAAACCTTGATATAATTTTTTCGCCAATATTAAAGTAAAGAATGAACGATCAGTACTTATAAGTATGGAATGATACAATAATGAATTAGTCCAAGTTATACTACTAAACAATTTAATTCTGAGTTTGAATATTAGATATGTTTACTAATGAATATAGATCTATTTGTTTTGCTTTAAGCTTTTTTTGTAAATCTTCTTGAAATAGCAAGTGGAGGATTTGATACAAACCTACGAGTATGTTAACTTACAAGTATTAATGTATTTGCGCTATGTAAATTGTGATATCATAGCCATCTTTTTATGTTGTAAATGGCCAAAGGTATTTTGTATATGCCGTTTATATGCCAATAAACTATAATTAAATACCCCAAAGTATGTATTTTAAGTTAAAATATTGCAATATTATTATAACTTGTTATAAATCGTATTGTAATTGGAAAGGACTATCCATCTTATTTTTTCACTTTCACAAAATAAATCATTTTGTCTAACAAATTTGAATCTTGGTTATTCATTTATCAGATATCACAGAATTTAAGCCACACTTATAACAGGAGGATACAAAGAAGCCACACATCAACGCCAGATTGATATTTAAATAAAGCTCGGATTCCCATCTGGTTCTTCAACAGGATAATAAATACTTTTAAAAGTTTCAATGGTTTAGGAATAATTCAGTTGTGCATCGACAAGTTCATAGATTTGTTTTACGAACTATCAAATGTTGACAGCAATGTGTCCGGAAAATGACTTAATAAGTATGGATGGAATTGAATTTAAATTTCACACAGTAATATGTGAGAGGAAGTGCATTTTTCATGAACCATAGTTTTACTTTTGGTTTTATTTGTATCTGCACTATTCGAAGTATATGGTGAGCTGTCCAACTAACCTCACGTCCGTGTATAGATTTGTAGATAAAGTTTATGTGTATTTAAATACTAATAATTTTCTATTGTGTAAAGGATTCATTTTAATTTTATAGAATGAACCTCTCCCCCTCCCCCACCACCAACCGTCTTTGAACTTAACATTTTTCCTTACAGTGTTATTTTTCTCAATATATTTATTGAGATTACTTCAAAGTTCAAAAACATGTACATATGTTTTTCATTATCACCCACATTGTTTGTGGTATGGTGTTTAGAATTATCTCCCTTTGAAATTTGAATTTTTCTTGAAAATTGAATTTTACTGAAGTTAATTTAATAGTTGGTTCTTCTCTTCACCCACAACATAAATGATAAATAAATTTCATAATTCATTACTCTTAAATCTATTTTTTGTATAAATGTTTCCTCGTGTCCATGTACTGAAGTGTAGTTATAAGGAGAAAAGGTCCTTTTGTTTATATATATCTGGTTTCCAACAAAAGACTTCTCACTTCCCCTCGGAGCGTGCACGTTGCTGAGAAGGCAAAGGGCATCGGCAGAAGATTAACAGCTTGGCTGGTAGCAAACACAACTCAACTAAATAGAAGCCCCCCCGTAGGCTGTAACAACGGGATCACTACTTCGACAACAACTGCGGACCAGCTGCCGGTATCCTGACTAATGCCGAGGGGAATGGCCCTACAAAGTAGGCTGAGACGACGAGGATGGTGTGCTAGGTTGCGTGAGCCCCTAGTACAGATAGACGGCTTGTAAGGCAGGCCTTTTGCTGGCACCAACAGCCCTTTTCAGGGCTACCCTTTCATATTGTCACAGGTTACTGTACATTTAGGTTCTCATTGGCCTCCGCGCAGTGACCTACTTTGGCTTAAAATTCATATATGTGGCTAATACTCCGTAGAAATTGCATGGAGGTAAATTATCACCAATTTGTGCTTCAAAATTAACTCTTTAAGGGCATGACTGGTGACATGTCCGGGGTCCGTACTCGACAGCGAAAGCTGAATTTTGTGCCCATTAAGCATTAACTACATACATACATCCAACAAAAGAGTAATAAACGAAAACATATCTTTTTTCGTTCCAAGATGGCGGCGTTTGTTTACATTTTGTAGGATACCCAGCCCTGGATCTGCACAGTTGCTGATATTAAAGGGGATGCGTTACGACACGTAACTTCCATAACGTCCATACTAGAATTAAGTACTCGCACTGTGACCGCGCTCTACTATATTAAAAAGCGGGTATTAAAGTTTTTGAAACTAGAATTATGTCCGCATAGCACCATCTCAATCATCTCAAAAGAAAAATACAAATTTTAAAAGATAAATTTCTTTGAAAAGAACTTGTTTCCTTCTAAAAGTCAACAAATGGATATATTGAAAAATTGAGATGTTTAATGACAGTGCAATATACGGACATAAGACAACAGTGTCTTTCCAATTGAAGAAAATGTAAATAAAAATATTCTTCAACAAAGTCAGAAATTTAAAATTTGTCATGAAGTGTAAAGCTGGTATACGTTAATGTTTTTATGTACTTGTGTTTTTTATGCACGACTCGGAAAACAAATCATGTCATTCAACAGGAAATCACGCGTCTTATTCAAAATCATATAAGAATTTACTGCTGCACAGCCGAATAAGAACAGTTGCATATGTTCTTCCAATCAGCCACATGCACCACAATATTTTATGTTGATCATTGGGAAAGGGTCTTTTTTTCTATGTAGTGAATGATGTAAATAAAAATATAAAGCAAATAGCATGCGATTTTAACATTCTTTTTGTATTTATATAGTCTTAAAATAATATTATGAAAAGTTACTAATGGAATTTTAAATGGTAATGCCATTAATATACGATTGAAATACAAAACTTATCAATCAATCGACTGTCATTTGTACATAAATCATACGACCATTTATTTAGTCAAAGGTAGCTTGTTCAATTATGTTATGTTCCAGTTTACCAAATTTTATAAGAAAGCTGAGAAATATCTTTAGTTTTCAAAAAAGAACACATCTGTTTGCCTGTCATTACTCACATTTGACTGACCACTGAATAATTTGGTTTGGCACATAATTAATGGAATGTTATGGACACACTCTAGCCAGTCGAGAGCATCTTTTTCATTGTATGTAGAGCATGTATCAACATTATTTCATTGTATTGTTTCATTTTGATGTTATATGTAATTATGAACTGCTGCATAAAATTTGAATATGAAATGTAATTGACAGAGTTTTCAGCTTTTTAAAGTTAAAATCAAAGACATCTGTTGAAAAAGAAACTATATAAGGGCATCTTGAGCTTTCTAAATCTTGAGGGGTAACTTGTACAGCTTACCTGCAAATAGATGATTTTGAGAGGGGCGTCTCCTGCTAAGGAGATTAAAAAATGTGTTATTTCCCTGACTTTTTAATGCCAAAAGCTACTTTGATGGTTATACATAAACATTATTTACATTTTGCTCATTTATAATATATGACACCGAGTTGTCAGACTCAGAAGGGCTTTTTTTTCATCAAATAATATATTTTGGATATTTATGTTTACTTTATTCAAGACTTATAATTACATACAAATCCTTATATAATTACAAACTTGTACGTGTGTAAATTAATCACTTCATCCTACAATCAATTAACGTGATCCAAATGACTTTAAATATGGTAAGCCTTCTTTAATACTGCATTTATACAGTTGATTAATATGATGAATAAGCAGAGTAATATGGTATCAGAGTTTGAACAGAGAAAAAGCTTATTTAGGAAAATGGTAATATGTCCCGAATGGGAAACACTGGGTCATAAAAAAGTAATTTGTGATTTGAAATGTTATTTCTAAAGCCTTACATCATCAGACAATGTTGCTGTTTTTTTCCTGATTCACACCACACACACTCTCCTCTCTCCTTCACCTCCCTTTAGACCTTTAGAAAATATTCACTGTGAGGGCTTTGATAAAATAGACACATCCAGAACCGAAATGAGATCCGATTAGTGATATTTTACGATTGAAACAGTTTATATTACTAGTACACAGCATGCTGCAAAATATATTTTTTAATCGGTTGAGAGATTTTATCATCTGTGTGACTACTTATTCGATGAACTGAAAGTTGGGTTAGAAGGAATTTTAAAGTGTTACAAGGGGAATAATTATTGCTGTAGCGGAAGTGAGTTTTGGAAATGGTTATTTACCATGTCATGGACCCGATATTATTATTGCATTAAAATTAAATCAGTTGTGTAAACATCAAAGAATTAATGAAAATTGAAGTTTTATTTAATCAATCCATTTACTTCCTAATTGAAATACAATATACTTGTAATGAATGAAAGAACGCTTTCTGATATTGAAATACAGAATTCATTTGTACTTTACAAACCTAACGACAGAAATTTATAATTTAAGTAACTGAAATCATTCGTGTTATATATAATATACATTTAACCTAACATAGCAATTCTTTTAATTACATGAACTTGTATTACAATAACTCATCTCAGATTTCATTTTATATCAACTGTTTACTACTTCATGTAAAGATATGCCATCGATCAATTAACTAAAATAAAATAGGTTCATTAAAGCTACACTGAATTAAATATCTTTTTACTTCCTATGAAAAATACATTAGTTAATAGTCTTTTCTAAAGATTGTTTACGAAAAAGTATCAAAGATTAACCAAATATAAGTCGAACACGATAACGTTTTTATTACTTGGTGGTACCATTATGATATAAATGTTTTGCAAATTATATAATGAGTATATTTTGCTTTTTAATGCAATTAAACGGAATAAAAGTTGGTATATACACATAAACCCGAGAAGCGAATTGGTAAGAGCTTTCAAGGTTAAAATTGTTCTATTTTGTGTTTGAATCTGCAATCGAGCACATTTTTAGTATGATTTTTACTTTCCAAATTTTCTTAATAGTTTTTTACACGTGATTGTTCATTTTCTCTTTTATAAACTTTTTTCATGAGGTTGTTTCATTTTAATTATTCGGTAGAAGGTAAAGCAAACAAAAAATATTCATCATTATACTTAACATAATAGTTTACTATAAAATGATATATAATATTGGTTCTTATTTTATTGTTTGAAATTCCAAATAGTTACAATGTATCTAAAACAAAAAATAATGTAAGATTGAATATGCCTTTTCATGTATTCAAACAAGAGTCTCTACACTTACGAAGAAAATCACTCTACAACAACGCTATTACGCTTTTAAATTCTGAATATGTAACGGTTTAGGTTGTTAAAATTTTGGGCGATAAGTCGTATGCTTTTATATAGAAATTATCGACACCCCTATATTTCAATGTTAATGTAAACAGATATGAAAGGAATAGCGGATTTTAGCGTTATGTTCAAAAAATTAATATATATTATTCAAGTCTTCTTATCCAACCATAATTTATCAGGCGATAAATTTCTTTATGTGCAAAATAATGCATTTTGTACGATCAATTTTAAGATCGCTCATAAAAAGCTGGTTGTTATTTAAGAGCCGATGACTCGACAACCTTTTTATAAGGTATAAATTGTTTACATAATGATGTCTTAATATGAATCTTTATTTGCTTTGCTAGATCTCACCCCGAGTGAATAGTATGGCGGCTGATTTCTTTCATTGTGTGTCTTAAGGCGAAGATACGAAGACACGATAATATGCTAAGTTATCGTGTCTTCGCCTTCGACGGGTTTTAAGTGAAATAACGATTTTTAATAGGCAAAGACACGACATCTTCTTCTGTGTAGTATCGGCGCCCTATATTTGTCGTGTCGTCGTGTCTTCACCTCAAAAGGCGAAAGGCGAAAATATGATAATTGGCCGATATATCGTGTCTTCGTGTCGACGCCCTAAAAAGTCGAAGGTGAAAACACGATGAGTGAGCATATTACCTTGTCTTCGCCTTCGACTTTGGGGGGCGAAGACAGGAAATGGCAGAAATCAGCCGCCATAGCATTGACTTACAATTGACGAGCACACGAGTACATTAAACAGATCACGGTTTCTAAACGTGAATTCATTAACTTTAATTACATTGGTTGTAATGTCAATCAATCAAGGCACAATTTTGTAGAGCATATTTTCATTAACTTGTGATTTGATGCCATATTCGAGTTCAGCTATGAATTTCTAATCGACAAAGTGGATAATAAGTTTCAGCAGGATATCGTATATATCATAAATCTCGGGAATAGTGTAAACATCAATATTTACATCACATTCGGATTTATTTATTTAAAGTTATTATCAGATTTAACAACCTCTTATTATAAACTGCATGTGAACAAAATGTGAATTTATGATTTAGACTGCATACCTTTTTATTCTTATCCCATAACATTTGTCAATAACAAATATTCTGCTTTAAATCTTTATCATAAATATAGTTAGACTATAAATCAGTGCGAGTAAAGATCTATACTAAGTAAAGTTATTTCCGATATTTAACAACGATGAACGTGGCCTTCATTTTTGTGTAAAAGTTACTTAAATACTTATTAAATTAACAAAATTCAAATGGATTTAAGAATTAGGCTTCTTTTGGTCATCAATGTGTATTTTTGTTTTCATTTGACAACTTACGCAAATGGTGAGTAGATATGTTTGCACGTATTGACAAATTATTTTTTTAATTCATGTTATGCTTAAGGATTCTATTGCGGATATTTGTATAAGTAGAACGTTCGGCAAGGTTGATTGCAAAACGATGTATCAATTTTAAATATGTAAAATGAATTAATTACAAAAGTGACTTACTTTTCTTGGACTTACTTTTTGATCTGCTTATATATGATATATGATTTTTTCTTTCAAACATTGAAGATTATACATTTTGATATGACAATTTCATATGTGCACAAATGAACTATAATTCACTGTTGTTCTCAAATGGGTATATCTACAATCTCATTTAAATCAGATCATCGTTTTCTCTTATCTAAGCAAAGGGTAATGGAGGAACAGTAATGATATGACGTTAATGAGATTGGTATAGGCTGTAAAAGTAGTAGATGAACAATATTTGCCACCGACTCTGTGCTTTAACATATCTTTCAGAAACTGGGGAAGCTAAAATCAATTCAAGTTTTGAATTATTTATTCTGTAATTAAGATGTTGCTTTCTGCTTTTCACTTTTTCCATATTTGAATAAATTTTCTGTTCTGTTATATTTATATCAGTTTTGTAAGTAAGCTGTGTTCTGTTTAATGTTTGATATTTTAAATTAGTTTAAATAAGTTCAGTATGGGGGCACTTGTTACGGTTCACTTCCTGCTGAAATCGCTGGCAAATATTTTTACTACTTGTACATGTTGGTTGTTTTGAGCAAATTGGTATAGTAAATAATATCATTTACAATAAAAATAATATCGCACTACAATAAATTAAAGTTAATACTTTAGAATAAACTAAAGTCATTATCATCATATATGATTTTTTAAGGCAATTTAAAGTTTTATGTCCTTAGTACTGAAATAACCTGAGTTCTGTTTCAAGCTACACGTAAAGATTAGCTCAAAAGCAAATAGGAGGTTGGGGTGTCCATGACCCATAGGTTAAAGCCGTTGACCGAAAAATCAACAGCATCTAACCGCTGTAGGTTCAAGCCGCGCCCAAATAATTAAGAAATAAAAAGTGATTGATTACTAAGTAAGTCATTGATTCTTGTTTGAAATAAGAAAAAATGATTAACCTTTAAATGCTAATTTCAAATGCAATACAATCAAGATCTTTTAACACTTGAACGATTGATATACTCATACATTTCAACGCTACATGATAATGTGATCTCACATAATCATTTGCATTACCACTGACGGTTTAAGATATTTTATTTCCATTTACAGTAAAATGTGAAGAAATAAAAAGAGGTGTAGATTCATATTTGTTTATTTTGCATCTAACAATGGAATTAAATGCTTAGCTTTAAATGTTTATTTATCTTTGTGCGTGTTTAAGAAAAAAAAACTTTCGGAGAGGGAAAGAAAATGTTAATTAATTTTCCTCTCGAAAGCATGGCGAAAACTACTTGTTTTTAGTTCGTTTTCTTATTCGATCATAAGTGTATGATGGAGGACAGAAAATGCTTCTAGCAATATTTCTCACAAATAATGTGACTTACTGACATCTATTTTTACAAAAACTAGTTATAAAATATTTTTCATGAATATTCATGTCAAAGATTTACAGGATAACGAACGACTTTTAAAATAAGTGCGTTCTTCAAGACATTAAGTGCAAAATTACTACTTATGTATTTTCTACTGAATTTAAGAACCTCACGAAAAAAATCAAGAACATGATACTGCATTTTAATATCTTTTTAATCAGATCCGGCAATATCAGCTTTATTACTGTTTCTTGTTAAAGGTCATATCAAGAGATAGAAGCGCGTGTTATTTTCTTTAAAATGACGCCTGATTTCCAATTGGCTTTAGATAGATAGAAATACATTTAAAAAAATTACGTACTGAGATTAAACTAACATAAAACTTCTAACTAAATAAGAAAATACTTGTAAATTAAAAACTTTTGCTCATAACCGCTTGGTCAGTGAAACGAATGTTACGCATTAACAATATCTGTCATATGTTGCGCGATGAAGCTAATCTGACGCCTAAGTTTTGCACGCCCCCAGATGAAAGTTCCGTCATGGGTAAAACTAACGGAAACACCAGTCTTATATTCAAGAATATAATATCTGTCATATGTTGCTGTTACTTTAATTCATTTCATCCATAACTAATTCCTAACAATATCATATTAAATTACAACTTCATTCATAACGGCGAAATGACATCATCCTTTCACATATTTTCATTCTAAATAACGTCATAAATACATCACTTCAACGCGGCTCATGCATGAAATACAATAAAGGACGCCAATGTCTTGCAAGATATAATAATGTGATTGAAAATGGTAGACAACTCTTACCTTATCATAGTAAATGAATTAGTATTAAAACTTAAGATCATGTACTATCGTTCCATGATATCGATTATCTTATTATAAAAATAGAATTTTTGATTGTTATTTTTCTGATGACTCTTAATGTTATTAATTCATACACAATCCAATTAAAACTTCCTGAAGATAAAAAGCTACAAGTATTCAATTATTTACGTCTGATGTCATACTCTTTAGACGAAGGACTATGTGTTATTTCATGATAAATGTAAATTCATGTTTATAAATGTATAAATGTACAATATGTTGGCTATTGATATGTTAAACCTCCTGCTAAGAAATAACTGAGGATAATTATTTAATGATTTACCTTTTAGTTCATTTATATTAATTTACAAGGGTCACTTACTATGTTCTACCTGACCTTAATGTATTTATATATTTCCTTGTTTACTTGTTGAAATATGCTCAATCAGGTGATTCCTATTATATTTACCTTCCTATTAAGAAATAACTGACTTTGTTTCTTCTGAAATGTGTCATTTAAAGTATTTATCATTAAAACAATCAATTCTTATTCAATGATCGATAATAAATTTTTTCAAAAGATTTGTATATCTTATTCAAGCCATCTTATCCAATGACATTGTATTTATTTTGCTATCTGTATCATTCACCATGATGTGAAATACTTTACATTATACATTTAGATATGTATTGATAAATTTTAAGATTAATATTTATTTTTCAGTTATGGTTTAGAATCTATATATCCTATAAATTTATTAAAATATGTTGCCGATATACGGGTATCCCGTTTGCTTTGCTTTTATATTCTCCCAGTTTTTTTTAACTTAATTCTACAAATCACTTGCGAATAAGTTAATTTGTTTTTTATGACGGTAATTTTATAAAAAACACAGTTATCTTGATTATTCTTTACATATTACTGGTAACGACTTCTTGTTATGGTTCGACTGTTTTCTCCGTTATCATTAAAACGCTCCAAACAGTCGTTTGTTTGTTTGCTTGTTTATTTGTCTCATTTAGAGGCAGGAAATTGATTTTTGTTTACTTTAGCATAAAAAAGTGTTGGACAATTTTTTTTCGGATTACAGCGTTTATTTTTCTCTACTGATTTCACTATGGGATTTAAGTTCTATTTTTCGATATTCGTATATATGTGCACGCGTTTCAGATTAAAACTTTCGCACAGGGTAAGTAGAGTCATTTTGTCTTTAATGCTTTGTAAAAATGTTTTTTTTATATTTATAGAGTGGAACTAAACGCTTTAAAACTAAATGTTACAGGTTTGGTTTGAGTAAACCTGTTAATAAAAGGCACTTGAACGTCCCGGAACTGCAAACCACGCCACCTCGCACCGGCTCCTGGAAAATTAAATATTTAATTATGAAAATGGTAAAGTTTAGAATTTCGAAACATCCGAAAATATGTTCATACGGCGGTTATCATAAAACCTTCAATTAGACACGTTCGAACTATACGAGGCGCATGGTCCTCAACGAAAACAATGCATGTGCCCTAAACCATAAAAACTGAACAAATAGAGAAATTAAGAATCCAGAACAACAAAACTGAAAATGTTACAGGCTCGGTTTGATTGAGCCTGTTCATGGACGGTACTGTAAAATGCAAATTACCGTTCACGCACCCTAGCACTTGCTTAAGCAAAATTTTGATAAAATTAAAAAAGTTATTTAAAAACGTGAAGGTAATATATCCTAAGGGTAATATCAAACCTAACTTGCAACATTTTCAATTTTACCGTTCTGTTTTGCTCTATTAAAATTGTAACCAATCTAGGAAAATTATTTTAAAATGGTGTTCTCGATAAACATTTATGTTTCCGACTTTTCAAGAAAGCAAACGACTTTTTATTTTTGTAAAGTGCAAAGAGCTGTTTATTCGATCTTATATATTTTCAATTCACCCGGTCTTTGTTTTGTTAAAATTTTTGGTTCGTATGAACACAATAATGAATAACAATTTGTAATATAAAAACAGTGGATAGAGTTTTTTCTATTGATATAAGTGGTTGTAAGACGTAACAAATTGAACCATTTCATTCTCTAGTCCTCTCGGCCCAAACTTTATTTTAGAAGTATGTGCCACCATATATGTCTTCTATTTTGTTTGTTTTAGAATGTCACGACGCAAAGCAAGCAGACATCATATTTGCTCTTGATGGTTCTGGAAGTGTTGGTGCCTCAGCGTTTAAGTACTCTCTGAACTTTGTTTCACAGCTTGTTGACGCCTTTCCTATAGGTCTTTCGGCCACACAAGTTGCACTGATTATTTTCGACAGTTCTGCTTCGAAAGAATTTGACTTAAATACATACCATGGAGTGGAAGAATTGAAAAGAGCAATTTTAAGGACAGAGTAAATATGAAACACGCTTTACTTATATAATACTTTTTGTACTTGAAAAAAGTCATATTATTTATAAAAGTAAGTGTATTTTTTAATGTAAACATTTAATCGATGTGAGTAAAAAATGAACACTATATAATAATTATCAACTGCAACTTAAATTTGAAAAAAAATCGATGAATATAAATAAAGTTGATAATACTATATGAAGACGGAAACACTGCTTGTCAAAGATCGACATGAAAATGTCACCTGGAGGTTCCATGAATTTGTCGTATGAACACATAAGTGATGTCTCAAAACTATGACATAAAACTTATTTTTATGTCAACATTATGAGTTTTCATTAAGAAGAGATTAAATGGTTTTTTTTATACAAAATGCAACTGCTGTTTATGATCAGGTCGTCCGTCAATTTCAATATTACGTATTCGCTCTGTATCCTTTGAACTGATTGAAATAGATTAAAAACCCTTAGGAAGAAATATTACTTATAACGAGACGATGGGCAGAACTTAGGTTCGGATTTCTTGCAATCAAAATTGGCCTGGGTATTACTTTTATATATTTTAAGATTCATTGTTTAAAACAATTATGTGTAGAGCTTGGATATTTAGCTACTAAAATTTTCTTTTTTCTATTTTACAATAATGATATGAATCATGCTCCTTGGTTCAATATTGTCCCAGCCCCAATGATCATTAAATGGATATAATCTTGTATAAGAAAACACATTTTAGTCTAATATTATTTATATAAACTATAGAAAAATACATTTGAGACTTAAAGTGTGAAACTACCATACCCAGAACTTAGATATTTGGCACGCAACATCACTTTGTATACTGCAAAATAACGGGTATTATTCATGCCCCTTGGGTCAATTTTGGAAATATATATCTAAATCTTATTCTAGTGAAACTATAATTCCTCGAGTTAAGATATTTGACATGTAGTACTGCCTTTTTGGTCTACACAAAACTTTTAATCATGTCCTTTTTAGTCAATATTGGTCCCCAGCCCTGTGGTTACTTAATTGATATATTCTTGTATGAGAAAACAGTTTCTTTATGAAACCACAATGCCAAGAGCTAAGATATTTAGCATGTAGCATTACCGTGTGAACTTCTGAAAAAAAACTGACATTAATTATTCCCCTTGGGTGAATAGGTTCACCCCGGAAGTAATTGTTTTATATAAACTTATAGTTATCCAGGGAAACACATTTAAATACTACAAAACCCAATTTTAAGGCTATAAAAGCGTTTCTTTTGTCATTGCGATATGTTATTCATATCAAACAATGATATGAATTACAAATCGGAATAACAAAAGAAAAAGTTTATACATAAAGCAAGTGACTCTAGGGATAGGGTCAATTTTAACCTGATGGTCATGGTTAATATAATTTTTGTAGAATCTACAATTTGATGCTACATGCAAAATAAATGTATCTAAGCTTTAGGTAGAAACTCATATCTTATTTTTTGTGGATAAATACTATTCCTCTATATTTGGCAGACGTCAATAAATGTTTAATCAATCATGCACTTCGGATTAAAAATGCCTCCATTTTGGTGTTTACATAGTATCATAATTAAGATTTAAATATTTTTCAGTTAATAGAGTCTCTAGCCTTATTGAAAGCTTATATAAGATTACTCAAACAATTAAAAATTGGAGCGTATGTAACCACGCCTTAGTACTGCTTCTGTTTTAATTTACTTTAGGTATCCGGGTGGAGGTACGCATATTCCAGCTGCCTTTTACACTGCAGCACAAATGTTTCAGACTTCAAGTCCAGGTCGCAGAGAGAGTGCCACTGGGATATTTATTCTTTTGACAGATGGTAAGACGGATTTCCGTTATTCCAATTTTTATATCTTTTTCTAATTAAATAAAATTTATTAATTTGTTTTACAGACATATTCTATTTATCCTAAAAGATCCTGTAACTCAATTTTATTATGGTTTTATATCATAAATATAATGCTCATATGAAGATTTATTAATATTTTAAGTTCAAAAAAGCATTATTTGTAAAGATATTACAGTATTTTTATTTCATGCTCATAGAGGGGGATATTAGAAATTTATTTAATGTAAAGTCTGAGTCAATTTTTGCAATAAGATATATTTTAATGATTACATATAATGTGAACAAATATTTTGAGTGCATATTTTACATAATAGTCGATGTTAGAAAATTGCTTTAGAAGCATTATTATATACATATATAAAATTCGACTGTCTTAATGTTGAGTTTTTAAACGCGTTTTTGTTTTTTTTTTCTTTTTGTTTTTTGTATTTCGTTTCCATATTTATTGGATCTTTTCTATGTACATATGTAATGTCACTTCATGACGTTGTATGTAAAACTACATTATATTAAAGGTCGTTCAATAGATAATATACAGGAGAGTATTTTTGCTGCACTAACGCTAAAGATCATGGGCATATTCATATATACAGCTGGTGTTGGGTCAGGTGTTAACGTTGAAGAATTACAAGGTGCGGCATCAAATCCTTCGTATTATTTCAACACTATCAGCTATGACTCCCTTCAAAATCTGGCTGGACCGATCACAATGTCAGCCTGTGAAGGTGAGCAAAGCGCTTTGTTGCTGTCAAGAACTGACATGAGTTCTCCTTTCAGAAAAGATTTATTGTTTGTTGTACGATAGCTATTTATTTTTCTTTTGTTATTCCGATTTATAATTCATATCATTGTTTGATATGAATAACATATCGGAATGACAAAAGAAACGCTTTTATAGCATTTAAATTGGTTAAAACTATGAATTGTTGTGATTCAGTTCACTTTTTATCAAGTGTATGTAATGTTGATTTTGTGACGAAAAACGCGTTGAACTGATAATGAACGATCTTCTTATTTGCTTGCAAAAAGATCTTGACGGATGCTTTTGTTATAATGGTGGAACATGCACAGCTAGAATTATTGGGAACAAGTGTGAGTGTCCTGCTATATACACAGGGTATCATTGCGAGACACGTGAGTAGGGTCTTTATCAAAACTTCCCGTTGATAACACATAAATTAAATCAATGTTGCCAACCTGCGACTTATATAACTCCACGTTACAATATTAGTGTGAATGAACTTTGAAAAAGCTTACCTTAAGTAAAACGATTATTCTGAAAAAGTTATACATTCCGTAGAATTTTGTTTTTGCATGTGAATGTTTTGTTTTCTTTGCTTGTTTTTTGACAATTGAACATCTTTATTTGAGCAATTTGTGACGCAGTTTCGTGCAGAAACGGTGGTGTGTGTATGGTATCTGGCGGCAACTGGTCCTGTCATTGTCAACCAGGATACACAGGTTTAGTGTGTGAGACCGGTATGTTGTTTAAAATACAATAAGCATTGGTTTTAAATGATCGACATAACAGCGATATGTGTTGCATCACATGGTATAAAATGTCACTGCAGCGTTACATGTGACAATTGGGTGTACGTGTATGCCTGGTTCACTGAAATTACCCCTGTAACGTCAGAATGTAGTTCTTTATTTACTTAGGTGTATTGTATTTATTTTCAAGGATTGGTAATGAGTAGATTTTTTTTAAATATCTTTTTTCTGAAAGTTTTGCGAATATTTAATTTTCTTTGAAAATAAACTGAAAGACGGGAATAGAAATGTTTAAGAAATACCATGAAATTTTGTATTATGACCTAGGACAATATCAGAGATATAACCCTGTAATACCAGATAAGGTTGGTAGCATTTTTCTGCCCTTGAAATGATCTGAAATAACACACACACAAAATGTTTTAGATACTAAAAGCAACCAAATTTTTTGCCTTACCAATAGTGGTAACCAGAAAAGACTAAAAGTCATTATACATATATTGGCATTGCATAATACAAATTTGGGAATAAAGTTGGACTTTACAAGTTAATTAAAAGAGGATTAAAAAAATAAAAAGAAGATCATTTCGTTTCAAATTGAATCATTTTCTTGTTTATTTAAAGATATTGATGAATGTCAGGATTCACCGTGCCAGAATGGAGCCACGTGTCGTGATTGGGTAAACGCTTTCTCCTGTGATTGTCCACCTAAATATTACGGCATTTTATGTGAAACAGGTATAGCAAATAGCCATCGTGTGCAGTTTATCATAACATATTATATAATATTTGACAAATTTGTTTCACAACGCATTGGCATATGCGATTGTTAAATTTATATCATCACGTTGCTAAAATGAATAATTTAAATGATTTAAGAGTTAACAAAATTATAATTACTTCTGTCACTGTTTATGAACAAAAGATATTGCTTAATCTAACAAAGATCTCATGAAAGTTAATATTTACGTATTCTTTCAGGGATATGTCAGCCTTCAGTAGCTGATCTTGTCTTTGTGCTCGACTCGTCGGCAAGCCAAACAAAAGAAGAATTTGGAAAACAACTAGAATTTATCAATAAGTTTATTGACAGAATTGTCATTGGAGAGAGAAATCTACAAGTGGCTGTTGTCACCTATTCTTTTGAAGCAGTAACTGAAATTTCACTAGGACAATATACTGATAATATTACATTAAAAGATGCGATACGACAAATTAAATACAGACCAGGAGCAACATTTACAAACAAAGGTCTTGAAAAGGCAAAAGAAATTTTTGACAGTACTTCAAGGAAAAGACCATTTGATCATGTCGCAAAACGTTACGCTTTTGTCTTAACTGATGGTATGTCCACCAATAGAAGGGCTACTGCAGAAGCGGCTCGAAGATTGAAAACGACAATAAACCACGTTATAGCTATCGGTATACAAATAAGATCCGATCAAAAATTGAAAAACATATATACCATACGTAATGACTTAAAACAATCACGAAATTTTACGTAACATAACATGATTAGTTTTTAACAATTTCAAGTACAGTAAAAATATTGCAAGTAAATGTAAGCACAATCATATGTACCATAAACATGCAATACCTTTTTAGATTTTAAAATGTATTTATGCCACAATTTATAAGTTATCCATCCTGACGTACGATTTAAAAGCTGCCAGTTGTTTAGCTGATTAAATTATTTTAGACGCAATGTTAAGATGTATTTCATAGCAATGGTGCCATTTCCTATTATATCCTTCAGGAATAGGCAAAGAAGTATCTCATCAAGAACTGATAAATATAGCATCTACGGAAAATACTGGACGTCAGTTTGTTTATTCTGTGCAAAACTTTGATGCATTGTACACCGTGATAAAAGAACTGGTCCACCTAACATGTGACGGTAGGTAGAACAATTAAATTGCAATGTAAAAGGATATTGAATGGGTGTAGATTCAATATAGAATTTATTGAACGAGTTGAATAAAATTATATTATGTTAGTCTTTGGCGAGCTTGATATTTCTTTATTAAACGAGTTCAAACAATTCAGTAATGAATATAGTATTCAAATTATCTAATACCTAAAATAAATACTGTTAAGTGAAAAGGAATCAGTTTTCATTGACGCGCCTATAGTATAACGCTAACTTTGAACGCGTCTTTACGTTATGTTTAGTAAAACGCAAATGACATCACGTCAAAATATATTCAGGGCCGTGCAATACTATTTTTAAGGAGTCGCAAAAGCGGCACAGGCATGTGATAACTGTAAAATAAACATATTTGGGGAAAAGATTATAACTGATATATTTTTTATTGAACTTCTTTAAAACATTTATCTTATTTTATCAATAAACCACTTGATTCCAAATATACATTTCAGAATGTTCATGGAAGACATCATCGGACATTGTTTTCTTATTAGACATGTCCGACAAAATGTCGGCTAATGATTTCCAAACTGGTTTAAATGCAATAACATATCTTACTGACAAGACATCACAAATGGAAACTGAAAATAACACCGTGAGAATTGCTTTAGTAACATATGGTGTGGAAGCCGATGCTCAGTTATACAGAGGTTTAAATGATGAAGAAACAAAACAAGTGTTCCTATTCTCGATTCAAAAACTTGTACAGTCCGATGGATATTGTCTATCGAAATCAAATTCATGTGATAAATCAAAGCTGCTTGAAGCATTAAACTACACTGACAAACATATTTTCAATACAACCAGAGAATCTGGGAGTAGAGAAATAGTTATTGTTTTATCCGATGGTCATGACCACGTCACTGATGAGATGAGAGCTGTACTGGACAGGATGGTTGAAAAGGGCAGGTCAATATATTCCATCGCTTTAGGAGAAGGTGCAGACATAAGTAATCTACAGAATATTGTTGGTGACCCCGCGCTGGTTTTCTCCGTCTACGATGATTCAACTATTAAAATATTAGATGCTCTAACTACAGAGTTCTTTTTCAACTCTTGTGACCTTTCAAACGACTTTCTTGATGGTGTATAGAAATATATTATATCTTATTAATCATGTATCTTTAACAAATGTCTGGGTTTTCCGCGTCTATTTTTCCAAAGCACTAATTTACAGTATGTAGCATTTGTATGTGTCACGATCTCTTGTACATATTGTATATATTATATTCGCTTGGGAAGCTAAATACATTTCAAGTTTTGAATTATTCATTGTGTAATTAAGATGTTGCTTTGGTGTTACCCTTGTCAATTATACCGGCGCAGTCAATATTCCAGGTTCATGTTTCTTTTGTTTATTCGTGATTTATTTTTTAAATAATTGACATAAGCGCTATTCAATTTGTTGTTGCTTCTATCTTATGATTCACCCCGGAGATAAGTTTCAAATGTTATTCTATTAGCAGTATTATACATGATTATGTACATAAAATAATTCAGCAATGTATTATTGTGACATTTTGTTTATGTTTATGTCTAAAGCGAACATTTTAGATATGATTGCTTTAGTATAGTGTTTTATTGTGCTTTTCACCTACAATTGTTTTGTGGCATATCTCTGACATATACTGTAGATACTGGTACAATTTTAATTGATTTTATGTTTTGGCAAATATTGTAATGACTGACAAGATTCCTTCGTGTTTTATTGTACAATGATAATTCATAAATGGAATTTAACAATTCTATTTCGGAATTGAATATTTGTACATTTACCTTCCATGTTTGTATGTCATTACATTTTTTTCAAGAAATTGTCATACAAAAAACTGTGATTCTTTCCACATTTGGATAGGTTTGTTTATATTATTTGCAGGTCTGCAATAAAACTAAATATTTAGTGCTTTGCATGCTCTGTTGGAGATAATTATGTTAATGACAGCAATAAATAGTTGCAAGTGACAAACATTTATTATGAAAGTGAAAGTATTAATACTGTAGATGAAACAGACTTTTATTTTTAAGGATAACGTACGAAAAATTTCTTTTGACCCTATTTTTCATTTTTTGTATAAGACAGTACAGAAAGTATGACACATTTGATGGAAGTGGCATGATACAAAACAACCGGTGAAATTCTGTAAAAATGCCGCATAGGACATTATCACATTAACCGCGGCGCAGTAGTGTAATAAAGCCATTTAATAAAAACGATATTACACTAGACGATATTACACTAGTGTAATAACACTTTGACGTCACGTCATTTGCACTATAAACAAAGAGTTAATTAAAGCGCGCTAATGTTAGCGTTACACTATAGGCGCGTCAAAGAAAAATGACTCTTGATAAGAGTTTACCGTTCTTATTTTATATATGTGATAAATAGAATATTATATTCGTGTAGATTCAATACTAAATTTATTGAACTCGTTGAATAAAACAATATTATGCTCGCCAAAGGGTTGCATAATATGATTTTATTCAACTCGTTCAATAAATTTAGTATTAAACCTACACTCATTCAATATCCTCTATATAAAGCACATTTAAAACTATAGTGGTTTTATTCAATTTATTCCTTGAAAGTCGCTCGCGGCCTAAGTATTTATAGAACAGAATCATGCTTATTCATAACTAAGGTTGTCATATAAAAATCGCTGCTATACATAACTTTTAAATCACTTTAATATATTAGAAAATAAAAGAATTTCCACATAAGTTATACCATTATATGCGGAATTTATTTTGAAATAAAATGGTATATACTTTGTTTTCGAGTAACTAAAAGACCTTACATGTCTTTCTAATGGCAATACCCCATACCGTGTTTTAATAACGCCGGATCTGCTAATCAACGCGGGCGATAATTACACGACTCCAGCATTTAGTTGAATTTGATTGTTTTTGTATTTAATTAAAAAGAAATCTCCTAAAAATCCGGAAACAAAGTGATCCCTCGGAAGCATTAATCACAACAAAATTACAAGAGAACTGCAAACTCGGTTTGATTGAGTCTGAACATGAAGGATAATGTAAATTGCAACATCCCTCACGCCCCTAGCACCGGCTTGAGCGGTTCTCAATTGTCAACACTTAATAGTGCTGGTATCAATGATCCCGAAGGACCAGAAAAATATAACAACACTGACGTGAAGTACGGGGCAACTTTTTACAGCTGCCACACAGCACTTGACACCTGCTGTTGTGATGTATAAAAATCCGGAAACTAGGTGATCCCTCGGAAGCATTAATCACAACAAAACTGTAGATTCGGTTTGATTTAGTCTGTACATGAGGGATAATGTAAAGTGCAACATCCCTCACGCCCCTAGCACCTGCTTGAGCGGTACTCAATTATCAACACTTAATAGTGCTGGTATCAATGATCCCGAAGGACCAGACAAATATAACAACACTGAAGTTAAGTACGGGACAACTTTTTCCAGCTGCCACACAGCACTTGACACCTGCTGTTGTGAAGTAGTAAACTCCTAAGTTTATTTTACAAACGTAGATTTACTTATGTTTGATGCATATAAGTATATAAAGGTATTAGCTCACATTAACACAGCCTTGTAAAACTGATTATCAAAATGACAGAAGCATAATATCAGATGAAACCAAATTTCTATCTGGCTCTTGATTTTAAGCTACATAATAGAAATGCGAAAATTTCGGATATTGAACAAGAATTAAATATCAAAACAACTGGGAAACAAAGACATTTTCTTATTTTTTATGTATCATTTTAGAGATTGGCTTGTCCGTGCTCTGCCTTGCGCCCTGTCCTGTTTATGTTTGGAGTACTCCTAGGCTCCTTGCCTTTGATTCTTCTTGCTGGGTCGTGTGGGGTTGCGTTCAATGAACGTCGCCTTTCTTTGTTGATCTTCTTTATTATTTTTACATAATTATACATGTATAACAATATGTTTACCATCGTAGCATTAATTTTCTGATATAATGAATAAAGAATTTTCTGTAAGATATTAAAATAAAAGATATAATGTTTCTATTTTTTCTAAATCACTTCAACAGTAATTTTACATATTTATAGTTACCACTTCCATAATTGATACTCAAACGGTTATGGACATATTTCTTAGTACGAAATTTCAATTTACAAAAATGAAGATCATTTTCAAGAACGACTTTTATATATGACTGATTGATTTGTTAAACAAGAATCACAAATTTTAAGTGTCGATTTTATGATAGTCATAATATACATTGACGAGTACTTCCTAGTTTGATTCAAGTACATGCAAGAATGACATTGCTTTTTTTATATTCAAGCAAATTATTTGAAGTCGAATTTAGGTAGATCTTTTACGTATTATTATTAGTATTATTTTTTATAGATTTATTTGGGTTGACTTGAAAGAAATAATGATTGATATGGAAATTCACATTCCCATTTGGAAACAAAGTGATCGCTCGGAAACATTAATCACAACAAAATTACATAAGAATTGCAGACTGCACTTTTAAACCTTTCTGACCAAGACACATATAGAGATGGTAACTGATTTGATTGCACCAGGAAGAATGGCATAAAAAATGATAAATCAAGCTCGTTATGTTTTTTTTTATCTTCCTGAACGTTAAGAGAGTATTGTTAATTAATATTTAATGAATAACCATTTACTCTATTTATGATGTACCATGTACAAGTCTTTGGCAGCTATAAAAAGTTACCCCGTACTTCACTTCAGTGTTGTTATATTTTTGTGGTTTTCGGGATCATTGATTCCGACCCTTTTAAGTGTTGAAAATTGAGTACCGCTCGTTGAAAATTGAGTTCCGCTCAAGCCGATGCTAGGGTAGGGGCGTGAGAAATGTTGCATTTTTTCATTATACCTCATGTACAGACTCTATCATACCGAATCGGCAATTTTCATGTAATTTGTTGTATTAATGTTTCCGAAGGATCACACTTTTCCAGATTTGAATAAATTTTCTGTTCTCTTATGTTCTATTAATATGTTTGTAAGTAAGCTGGGTTCTGTTTATGTTTGATATTTTAAATTAGTTTTAATAAGTTTAATATGAGGGCACTTGTACGTTTTACTTCCTGCTGAAATCGCTGGCAAATGTTTTACTACTTGTACATTTTGGTTGTTTTGAGCAAATTCATGTAGTAAACAATATATTTTACAATACGAAAATTCTATCGCACAATTTATATTACTTTAAAATTGTTTAAAGTTATTACTTTAGAATAAACTAATGTTATTATCATCATATATGATTTTTTATGGCAATTCAAAGTTGTATGTCCTAAGTACTGAAATAACCTGAGTTCTGTTTTAAGCTACATTTACAGCTTAGCTCAACAGCAAAGAGAAGGTGAGGGCGTCCATGACCGAAAGGCTAAGGCTGTTGACCGCAAACTTCCTGCATCTCACCGCTGTAGGTTTGAGCCACGCCTAAAGAATTAAGAAATAAGAAGTGATTGATTTACATACACTTAAGTAAGTCATTGATTCTTTTATGAAATAAGAAAATGGTTTACCTTTAAATGCAAATTTCAAATGCAATACAATCAAGGTCTTTTTACACTTGAACAATGGTTATGATCATACATTTAAACGCTACATGATAATGTGACCTCACATACAAATAAATCATTTGCATTACCACTGACGGTTTAAGATATTTTATTTCCATTTACAGTAAAATGTGAAGAGATAAAGAGATGTGTAGATTCATATTTGTTTATTTTGAAACTAACAATGGTACTTACTATCTATCTTTTAATGTTTATTTATCTTTGTGCATGTTTAAGGTTAAAAACTTAGGGTAAGAAAATATTAATTAACTTTCCCTTTCGAAAGCATAGCGAAAACTAGTTGTCTTTTTCGATCAAAAATGTATGGTGGAGGACAGAAAATGCTTCTAGCAATATTTCTCACAATTAATAAGACTAACTGACATCTATTTTTACGAAAACTAGTTATAAAATATTTTTCATGAATATTAATGTCAAAAATTTACAGAATAACCAACGACTTTTAAAATAAGTGCGTATTTTAAGACAATAAGTGCAAAATTACTACTGATGTACTTTGTACTGAATTTAAGAACCTCACGAAAAAATCAAGAACATGATACTGCATTTTAATATCTTTTAAATCATATCCGGAAATATCAGCTTGATTACTGTTTCTTGATAAAGTTGATATCAAGAGATAAAAGCGCGTGTTATTTTCTTTAAAATGACGCCTGATTTCCAATTGGCTTTAGATAGATAGAAATACATTTGAAAAATTCACGTACTGAGATCATAACATAAAACTTCTAACTTAATAAGAAAATACTTGTAAATTAAAACTTTTGCTCATAACCACTTGGTCAGTAAAATGAATGTTTCGCATTAACAATATATGTCATGTGTTGCGGTTCGCATGGGAATAGCCGTCCCGATGAGGCTAATCTGACGCCTAATTAAGTTTTGCACGCAACTCATCTGAAAGCCCCTAGATGAAAGTTCCATCATGGGTAAAACTAACGGAAACACCAGTCTTACATCCAAGAATATTAATATCTGTCATATGTTGCTGTCATCTGAATTCATTTCATCCACAACTAATTCCTAACAATATCATATTAAATTACAACTTCATTCATAACGGTGAAATGACGTCATCCTTGGCACATATTTTCATACTAAATCACGTCATAAATACGTCATTTCAACGCGGCTCATGCATGAAATACAGTAAAAGGACGCCAATGTCTTGCAAGATATAATAATGTTACTGAAAATGGTAGACAACTCTTACCTTATCATAGTAAGTGAATTAGTATTAAAACTTGTGATCATGTACTATCGTTCCATGATATCAATGATTTTATTATAAAAATAGAAGTTTTCATTGCTTTTTTTCTTTAGATTTCTGATGACTCTGTATGTTATTAATTCATACACAATCTAATTAAAACTTACACATATACATGTATAAATATACAATATGGTGGTTATTGATATGTTTAACCTCCTACTAAAAATAACTCTAGATAAGTATTTAATGATTTACCTCTTATTTCATTTATATTAATTTACAAGGGCTACTTACTATGTTCTACCTGACCTTAATGTATTTATATATTTCCTTGTTTATTTGTTGAAATATGCTCAATCAGGTGATTCCTATTATATTTACCTTCCTATTAAGAAATAACTGACACTATTTCTTCTGAAATGTTTCATATATAGTATTTATCATTAAGAAATCAATTCTTATTCAATGATCGATAATAATTTTTTTCAAAAGATTTGTATATCTAATCAACCCATCTTATCCAATGATATTGTATTTATTTTGCTATCTGTATAATTCATCACGATGTGAAATACTTTACATTATACATTTAGATATGTATTGATCAATTTAATGATTAATATTTTTTTTTTCAGTAAGGGTTTTTTTTATCTATATATTGTATAAATTTGTTAAAATATTATTGGGACTATAAATCAGTGCGAGTAAAGATCTATACTAAGTAAAGATATTTCCGACATTTAACAACGATGAGCGTAGTCTTCATTTTTGTATAAAACTTACTTAAATATTTCTGTAAATTTATAAATTAACAAAATTCAAATGGATTTAAGAATTAGGCTTCTTTTGGTCATCAAAGTGTATTTTTGTTTTCATTTGACAACTAACGCAAATGGTGAGTAAATTTGTTTGCACGTATTGACTAATTATTTTTTAATTCATGTAAATATGCTTAAGGATTCTATTGAGGATATTTGTATAAGTAGAACGTTCGGCAAGGTTGATTGCAAAACGATGTATCAATTTTAAATATGTAAAATGAATTAATTACAAAAGTGACACTTACTTTTTGATCTGCTTATATATGATATATGAAATTTTCTTTCAAACAATGAAGATTATATATTTTGATATGGCAATTGCATATGTGCACAAATAAACTATAATTCACTGTTGTTCTAAAATTGGTATATCTACAATCTCATTTAAATCAGATCATCGTTTTCTCTCCATTATTCTAAGCGCAAAGGGTAACGGAGAAACAGTAAGGATATGACGTTAATGAGATTGGTATAGGCTGTAAAAGTAGTAGATGAACAATATTTGCCACCGACTCTGTGCTTTAACATATCTTTCATAAACTCGGGAAGCTTAAATCAATTCAAGTCTTGAATTATTTATTCTGTAATTAAGATGTTGCTTTCCGCTTTACACTTTTTCCATATTTGAATAAATTTTCTGTTCTGTTCTATTTATATCAGTTTTGTAAGTAAGCTTTGTTCTGTTTAATGTTTGATATTTTAAACTAGTTTAAATAAGTTCAGTATGGGGGGGCACTTGTTACGTTTTACTTCCTGCTGAAATCGCTGGCAAATACTTTTACTACTTGTACATGTTGGTTGTTTTGAACAAATTTGTATAGTAAATAATAACATTTACAGTAAAAATAATATCGCATTAGACTAAATTAAAGTTATTACTTTAGAATAAATTAAAGTCATTATCATCATGAACTATAATTCAAATGGGTATATCTACAATCGCATCGTTTTCTCTCCATTAATCTAAGCAAAGGGTAATGGAGGAACAGTAAGGATATGACGTTAATGAGATTGGTATAAGCTGTAAAAGAGGTAGATGAACAATATTTGCCACCGACTCTGTGCTTAAACATAACTTTCAGAAACTGGGGAAGCTAAAATCAATTCGAGTTTTGAATTATTTATTCTATGATTAAGATGTTGCTTTCCACTTAACACTTTTTCCATATTTGCATAAATTTTCTGTTCTGTTCTATTAATATCAGTTTGTAAGTAAGCTGTGTTCTGTTTAATGTTTGATATTTTAAGTTCAATCTAGGGGCACTTGTTACGTTTTACTTCCTGCTGAAACCACTGGCAAATGTTTTTACTACTTGTACATATTGGTTATTTTGAGCAAATTGGTATTGTTAAAAATATCATTTACAATAAAAATAATATCGCACTAGAATAAATTAAAGTTATTACTTTAAAAGTGAAAGTTCCGTCATGGGTAAAAACTAACGGAAACACCAGTCTTATATTCAAGAATATAAATATCTGTCATATGTTGCTGTTATTTGAATTCATTTCATCTATAGCTTATTCCTAACAATATCATATTAAATTACAACTTCATTCATAACGGCGAAATGACGTAATCCTTGGCATATATTTTCATTCTAAATAACGTCATATATACGTCATTTCAACGCGGCTCATACATGAAATACAGTAAAAGGACGCCAATATCTTGCAAGATAAGATCATGTACTATCGTTCCATGATATCGATTATTTTATTATAAAAATAGAAGTTTTCATTGTTATTTTTTCTGATGGCTCATAATGTTATTAATTCATACACAATCCAATTAAAACTTCCTGAAGATAAAAAGCTACAAGTATTCAATTATTTACGTCTGATGTCATATTCTTTAGAAGAAGGACTATGTTTTATTTCATTCATGTTTATACATGTATAAATGTACAAAATAGTGGCTATTGATATGTTAAACCTCCTGCTAAGAAATAAATGTAGATAATTATTTAATGATTTACCTCTTATTTCATTTATATTAATTTACAAGGGCTACTTACTATGTTCTACCTGACCTTAATGTTTTTATATATTTCCTTGTTTACTTGTTGAAATATGCTCAATCAGGTGATTCCTATTATATTTACCTTCCTATTAAGAAATAACTGACATTGTTTCTTCTGAAATGTGTCATTTAAAGTGTTTATCATTAAAAAAATCAATTCTTATTCAATGATCGATAATAAATTTTTTCAAAAGATTTGTATATCTAATCAACCTATCTTATCCAATGATATTGTATTTATTTTGCTATCTGTATAATTCATCACGATGTGAAATACTTTACATTATACATTTAGATATATATTGATCAATTAAATGATTGATATTTATTTTTCAATTAGGGTTTTGAATCTATATATCGTTTAAATTTATTATAATATTATTGGGACTATAAATCAGTGCGAGTAAAGATCTATACTAAGTAAAGATATTTCCGATATTTAACGATGATGAGCGTAGTCTTCATTTTTGTATAAAACTTACTTAAATATTTATGTAAATCTATAAATTACCAAAATTCAAATGGATTTAAGAATTAGGCTTCTTTTGGTTATCAATGTGTATTTTTGTTTTAACGTGACAACTAACGCAAATGGTGAGTAGATATGTTTGCACGTATTGACAAATTGTTTTTTAATTCATGTAAATATGCTTAAGGATTCTTTTGAGGATATTTGTATAAGTAGAACGTTCGCAAAACGATGTATCAATTTTAAATTTTTAAAATGAATTAATTAAACTAGTTGTCTTATTCGGTGGAGGACAGAAAATGCTTCTAGCAATATTTCTCACAAATAATATGACTTACTGACGATTTTTACGAAAACTAGTTATAAAATATTTTTCATGAATATTCATGTCAAAGATTTACAGGATAACGAACGACTTTTAAAATAAGTGCGTTCTTCAAGACATTAAGTGCAAAATTACTACTTATATATTTTCTACTGAATTTAAGAACCTCACGATAAAATTAAAGACATAATACTGCATTTTAATATCTTTTTAATAACGGCGAAATGACGTCATCCTTGGCACATATTTTCATTCTAAATAACGTCATAAATACGTCATTTCAACGCGGCTCATGCATGAAATACAATGAAAGGACGCCAATGTCTTGCAAGATATAATAATGTTACTCAACTCTTACCTTAACATAGTAAATGAATTAGTATTAAAACTATCGTTCCATGATATAGATGCTTTTATTATAAAAGTAGAAGTTTTCATTGTTATTTTTTCTTTAAATTTCTGATGACTCTTAATGTTATTGATTCATACACAATCCAATTAAAACTTCCTGAAGATAAAAAGCTACAAGTATTCAATTATTTACGTCTGATGTCATATTCTTTAGAAGAAGGACTATGTTTTATTTCATTCATGTTTATACATGTATAAATGTACAATATGGTGGCTATTGATATGTTAAACCTTCTGCTAAGAAATTACTGTAGATAATTATTTAATGATTTAACAAATCAATTCTTATTCAATAAATTTATAAGATATTAATGCTCGATAATAAAAAAGATTTGTATATCTTATTCAAGCCATCTTATCCAATGATATTGTATCTATTTTGCTATCTGTATAATTCTTTACGATGTGAAATACTTTACATTATACATTTAGATATGTATTGATCAATTTAATGATTGATATTTATTTTTCAGTTAGGATTTTTAATCTATATATCGTATAAATTTATTTAAATATGTTGACGATATACGGGTTTCTCTTTGCCTTGCTTTTATATTCTTCCAGTTTTTTTAACTAAATTCTACAAATCACTTGCGAATAAGTTAATTTGATTTTATGACGGTAAATTTATCAAAAACACAGTTATCTTTATTATTCTTAACATATGTCGGGTAACTGCTTCCATATGTTATGGTTCCACTGTTTTCTCCATTATCATTAAAAACGCTCCCAACTGTCTTATTGTCTTATTGTTGTTGTTTTTTTTTTTTTTTTTTTTTTTTTTTGTTTTTTTTTAGATTTTTAGAGACATGAAATTGATTTTTGTTAACCTTAGCGCATACAAAAAGTGTGTGGGATAAGATTTATTTCGGATTACAGCTATTATTTTTCTCTACTGATTTCACTATAGGATTTAAGTTAAGGGTAAAATCAAACCTAACTTGCAACATTTTCAATTTTACCGTTTTGTTTTGCTCTACTAAAATTGTAACAAATCTAGGTAAATTCTTTTAAAATGGTGTTTTCGATAAACATTTATGTTTTCGACTTTTCAAGAAAGCAAACGACTTTTTATTTTTGTAAAGTGCAAAGAGCTGGTTATTCGATCTTATATATTTTCAATTCACCCGGTCTTTGTTTTGTTAACATCTTTGGTTCGTATGTACACAATAATGATTAACAATTAGTAATAAAACAGCAGTGGATAGAAACAAAACTTGCTGACCGGAGTTTTTTCTATTGATATAAGCGATTGTAAGACGTAACAAATTAAACCCTTTCATTCTCTAGTCGAAATCTCGGACCAAACTTTATTTTAGAAGTATGTGCCACCATATATGTTTTCTGTTTTGTTTGTATTAGAGTGTCACGACGCAAGGCAAGCAGACATCATATTTGCTCTTGATGGCTCTGGAAGTGTTGGTGTCTCACAGTTTACTTACTCTCTGAACTTTGTGTCACAGCTTGTTGACGCCTTCCCTATAGGTTCTTCGGCCACACAAGTTGCACTGATTATTTTCAACAATGCTTCTTGGAAAGAATTTGACTTAAATACATACCAAGGAGCGGCAGAATTGAAGAGAGCAGTTTTAAGAACACAGTTAATATGAAACAAGTTTGAATAATATTGTCTTTTACTTAAAAAGGGTGGGTCATATTATTTTTAAAATTAAGAATGTTATAATGTAAACATACAATCGTTGTGAGTGAAAAAAAAATGTATCACATTTTTTCCATATGAATCGACAGTTTACAACTTTAGTTTGAATTAATAATAAAATGAATATAAATAAAGTTGATAAAACTACTTGGAGACCAAACACTGCTTGTCAAGGAACGACATAAAAACGTCACCCGGAGGTTCCATGATTTTGCCGTATGAACATATTTACTGATGTTTCAAAATTCTATCCTTAAACTCATTTTTATGTTTATATACTGATTTATGATTAAGAAGGTGATGCGGGACCTAATGGTAGGCCGTTCATGATCAGGTCGTCCGTATCTCATTTACAAAATTTCGTGTCCGCTATTTAACTTTTGAACCTATAAAAAGAAATAAGAACTTTTTGGCGGACATATTGCTTATGGTAAGACAATTTGCAGAACACATGTTTGGCTTACCTGCGCTAAAAATTAACCCCACCCGGTGATTACTTGATTTACATAGACTTATATGGGAAAACACATTTACGTTTCATTGTGTTAAATTATGATGTTTAAAGATTTGATATTTAGCATAAAGCGTTGCCTTTTTAACCATTACAAAACTGGTATGAATCATGTCCATTGGTCAATTATGGTCCCATTGGTCAAATAATAATTTAGTGTTGTATGAGGAAAATTACACTAGACCCCTTGACTTCTCGACCCCTTAGGATATTAAGATGACTTCTAGACCCTCTTGACTCTTAGACCCATTTTTACATGACTTTTCGACCCCTAGTGGGTAAGACATTTCGACCCCTTTATCAATTTTGTACTTTAGAAGGCCAGTTAGATATTTTGAGAAATAAGTTAAGGCAAGTATTTTAATTATTTTCATTTTAAGATCCGGCAACATTTTGAAAAAGGGAAAAAGCAAAAAGTTAACGGTGTTTTTAATTAATTTAATGTTTATTACATAGCAGTAAATATATAAATTGTATATATTTTTTAAAGCTGAGACATGATTTATATTAAATAAGGATCCAGACAAATGTGAAGGAATTATAATAATAATAATGCGCTATTTGTACATTGCGTGTTTATTCATATCTACAATGTATAATTTGCAAAGATTTAGTTTATTGTTTCCGTGTGAAACACATTTATGTTAAATTGGCGATGAATATTTATACATGTATTCTTAATTAATGTAATATATTGAATTATACATTTACATTATGAAAAATTAACCAAAAAACCAATCAATCGATCAATGATTAAATGGTTGTGATTCTTTCATGTTTTCGACTTTATGTATTTCGAAAATCATATTTAACATCAACAATCTATATGATGGTATGTAATATTGTAGTTGTATAGACTGAAAAAATATAATATAGTCTCATCTATTTCTTTTATTGTAACTTTAACATAAAAAGTTAAGTTAATTTTAAAATTCCTTTTTAAATTGTAAAAATCTCGTATTTTATATACGCATTTTTTTCGCTCATAATTTTAATAAAGTATTGCCTCAAAAGGCTTCAAAAGCACTATTTTCAACAAACGTAATTATGAACAAATCTTTGTTTTAAATATCTTAAAGTCAATATGTGTTCCTTTTAATCTCTTGATCGAATACGCATGCCAAAACATATCAGTCGCGTGTCGTTGATGATTAAATTATCGGTAATTAACACCTGTGGAAAACACCCTGTCAAAAATATATTGTTGTTGTACTAAATAAGCAGTAGCTGCATTCTTTGTTAACGGGTTAGGTTACATTTACACTTATAGCGCATTGCATTTGATTACCTTTTCCAAATATTTATATTAAGTTCACATGAATTAAAGATATAGGTCTAACCTATGAACGAATATTCGTTTTACTAAGTATTACTTCATTTTTGAGACAGTTCATTCTAAAAACAATCAATTATTACTACAAGTTATTTGAAATTTGCATGGTGCAAGCTCTTGTCGACACTTAACGCGGTAAATATTTATTTGTGATTTTATAACATCAAACAGGGTTACTTTAAAAATGAGATATTGTGCATGTAAGAAATTCGGTTTCTGATAGTTATCAAACTATATTATTTATTTCATGTATTATACACGCACATTAATTTTCATTAAATAAAATTATTCAAAGAACTAAAAGGTATCAGGTTTCCTGATGTTAGAAGTTCGGTAGAAAGAAACTAACAACTTGTACATGGACAAAAATGACAGCTTGCAATAATCATGCCCCCTTTGGTCAGTACTAATCTCCAGCCTAATTGAAACATTAGTTTTGATTATTCACGCAAAATTAAAATTCATCAGGTGTATTTTACCATGTATAAATATTAATTCATAGATAATCGCCTTTGTGGTGCCCTCGGTGTTTTTATTTGTTTTGTTGTTGTGGTAGTTGTTGTTTTTAGGTATCCAGATGGAGATACGAATATTCCAGCCGCCTTTGACACTGCAGCTCAAATGTTTCAGAATTCAAGTCCAGGTCGCAGAAAGTATGTCACTGGGATATTTATTCTTATGACAGATGGTAAAACGGATTGCCGTTTCTCCTTAATTTTTATATATATTTTATTACATAAAATTTATTCATATGTTTTACAGAGAAATCCTATTTAAACCTTTTAAGTTATTTGTAGTAAAATATGCGGTGTCTTAATGTTGAGTTGTTAAACACGTTGTTGGGGCGCCCGTGGCCGAGTGATTAAGGTCGTTGAATTCAACCCACTTGCGCCAAACCGCTGTTGGTTCGAATCCCGACAGAGACTTTTGAATCTTTCATGTGAGGAAACTATCCAACTAGCTTACGGAACGTCGGTGGTTCTACTCAGGTGCCAGTTCGTGCCTGAAATGATGTACGGAAGGGCACATGAGGTCTTCCTTCACCAGTAAAGCTGGAATGTCGCCAAATGACTTATACTGTGTTTGGATGACGTAAAACCCAAACAAACGCGTTATTTTACCATTTCATTTTCATGTTAATTGGATCCTTTCGATGTAGATATGTAATGTCACTTCACGACATTGTACAGTACGTAAAACACATTATATTCAAGGTAGTTCAAGTAATATACATGAGAGTATTGTTGCTGCACTAAGGCTTAAGAACATGGGCATAACCATCTATACAGCTGGTGTTGGGTCAGGTGTAAACGTTGAAGAATTACAAGGTGCGGCAACAAATCCATCGTACTATTTCAACACGATCAGCTATACTTCACTTCAAAGTCTAGAGGGACCGATCACAATGTCAGCATGCGAAGGTGGGTAAAGCACTTTGTTTTTGTCATGTACTGACATGAGGCAGCAAAAGTGCTCCTTTCAGAAAATATTTATTTTTGTTGTACGATAGCTATCTATTTTCCTTCTGTTCTTCTGATTTGTAATTCATATAATTGTTTGATATGAATAACATATCGGAATAACAAAAGAAACGCTTTTAAAGCCTTTAAATTAGTTAAAACTATAAATTATCTGTCATGCTTGTTGTTGTGATTCAGTTCACTTTTTACCAAGTGTATGTGATGTTGATTTTGTGACGAAAAACGCGTTGAACTAATAATAAGCGATCTTGTCTTTCATGCAAATTCATGCAAATAGATCTTGACGGATGCATTTGTTATAATGGTGGAACATGCGCAGCTAGAATTATTGGGTACAAGTGCGAGTGTCCTGCTATATACACAGGGTATCACTGCGAGACACGTGAGTAGGGTTTTTATCAAAACTTCCCATTGATTACACATAAATTAAATCAATGTTGCCAACCTATGACTAATATAACTCCACGTTACAATGTGATTGTAAATGAACTTTGAAAACCTGACATTAAGTAAAAAGATAATTCTGAAAAAGTTATACATGCCGTAGAATTTTATTGAAGACGAAATTGCATCTTTTGTTTTTGCATGTGCATGTTTTGTTTTCTTTTGCTGGTTTTTGATAATTGAACTTCATTGGCTTGTCTTTATTTCAGCAATATGTGACACGATTCCGTGCAGAAACGATGGTGTGTGTATGGTATCCGGCGGCATCTGGTTCTGTCATTGTCAACCAGGATACACAGGTTTAATATGTGAAACCGGTATGTTGTTTAGAATACAATAAGCATTGGTTTTAAATGATCGACATAACAGCGATATGTTTTGCATCACATGGTATAAAATATCACTGCGTTACCAGTGACAACTGGGTGTACGTGTATGCCTGGTTCACTGAAATTACCCCTGTAACGTCAGAATGTATTTTTTTATTTACTTTAGGTGAATTGTATTTATTTTCAAGGATGGGTAATGAGTAGATTTTTTTTAAATATAATCTTTTTTTACTGAAAGTTTTGCGAATATTTTAATTTTCTTTGAAAAATAAATGAAAGACGGGAATAGTGTTAAAGAAATACCATAAATTTTGTATTATGACAAAGACAATATCAGAGAAATAACCTATAATACAAGAAAAGGTTTGTAGCACTTATCTGCCCCTTGAAATGATCTGAAATAGCAACAAAAAAAGTTTTAGATACTAAAAGCAACCAAAAATTTTTTACCTTACCATAGTGGGTAACCAGAAAAAAAA